CCTCCTGCCATTCCTGTCCTCCAGGTCTAGTGGAGAGTAGTGCAGCTAGGTCTGCAAATGTGGGTTTCTGCTTTGACTTTTGGCTCATCACTTCTGTTTTCTTGGAGATCATGTTGTTATCATGCCGGTTCATTTGACTCAATTGGGCATTGGTTGCCGGTGTATCTTGCTTCACTGGTCCAGTTCGCTGAATAGTGTGTTGGGCCTCCATGAGCTCTGTATGAAGCTTGCTGACTTCCAGTTCCAGATTTGTGATTCGCTCAAGATAGATTCCTTCATGGAGTTGTTGTTCTGCTTTCCAGTTGGATAGCTCCTCTGCCATGTGTGCTTGCACTTGTTCTAGGACCGCCTGGTACATTTCCTGTTGCTGTGTTTGGGCTGCTTCTAGGGCCCCTACTAACACCTGGGCGTGCTTGCTCGCATCCAGTAGGGAAGACTGGTGCTTTGACCTACCAATCAATGACTTTTGTAGGACCTTTCGTTGTCTGATTCCACTTCTAGCCTCGCTGGCCCGGCTGGGGCCCCGGCTGGATCCCCCAGGTCGCCCGCGCTCCTGGCCTTCATTTTCTTCCACGCTCATACTCTCCATGCTGCCTTCATTAATTCCAGGTTGCATCGCGTTCCCAGATCGCCAGCGGGTTGGCGTTGGGGTGACTGGCATGTCTTGTGTTTCCGCGAATTGGGAGGCCACGTTGCCCACTCCGGGGGGTGACGCGTGTGATATACCACCACCACGGGGTCTCAGAGCCTCCATGGTGGTTTATAGGTGCCAGAAGGCCCCTATCGGTCGATTGACGCGTGAAAAAGACGTGTTTCTCTCAATTGAAATTTCCAGGCAATTTTTTTATTTCTGATATGATGCCGCTACGGCAAGAAACCCCTTTTCAACACGTTGGAATTATGCGAGGATACGCGTCTCTTTGTGTGAGAACTCAGGATACTGATTTGGGTGGGTTTGGAAAATGTTATCAACAGGGTGTTGACAGATGACTTTCGCCTTAATATATACTGTGGTGACAATATGTGGAAGCAAGCTTGACCACAAATCCAGGAGAAGAGGATGAATGTGAGTACCCTTTACTAGCCCAGATCGCCCAGGTCGAAAGCAGTCACGCTCATCCTCACCATGTGTATCCCCAGGTCTCTATAAGCTTCCAGACCAACTCACTGACCCCGTCTCGATGGCCAAGGGCGTCTGCTCTGGCAATCTAAACGACGATCTTTTCGCATTTCTCTCCGAAACTTCAGACAGAAGCAAGGGTTTTTCCACAATTTACCAGGATGCCGGAGATGAGTCCACTGTGGGACCAAGACAGCCAAGGTTAATCGAATTGAGATTTAGAATGACATCGATCCTAAGCTCAAGAAGCTCGGCTTCAAAAGATGAAAGTTGAGCAAGTGGAGTGTCTCGCCATGTCAGCTACAGATAAATGATAGCGTACTAATACATATTAGTAGAAGTTGAAGAGTCAGATGCGGTTTGAAAGAAGCCCCCCCCAAACTGCAGCGGGCCGTTTGAACGAGAACTTGAAGGAAGGTTGAAAAATCCGCCAGCTCGATGCATCTCACCACGACTTCGCCCAGGCTGATCAACAACAAACCGTTATCCAAAAGTCTGCAGTTTCAAAAAACGCAGGTGAACTCTGATATATCCAGCGTATTTCATTAGAAATAATATCTCATGCTTAGAAAGCTTGATGTTACTATTGTCGTGACGAGTAGTGAGTGATGCGAGTCCGATTAGAATAACCCTAACTATGCCTTCCGCGCTTTACCTTACCAATGTAATTGGAGGAATGGCAAATGATATACTTCAGTCAACCTACAAGGTTATATGGAACAGAGCTCCAGTTATAAGACCCATGGAATTCGAGCTTGGGCTTTTTGATATGACGGGAATCACCGATGATGCGGAGAGATGCCAATTGATTAGTATCAGTCCCATTTGAGGACCTTTGATTCACAGGCGGAAAGGATTTTAAATGCTATAATGTTCTACTTGGAAGATGTGCTTATAAAGTCAAGAGGTTCTGTTCCACACTCTGAAGGGTACCAATGCACGACATTATTTATTCTCTAAACTTACTATACTGGGATTATCTCCGATAGAATAATGGCTGTACGTCGTCAAGTCCGACGTGGCTCAGACCTGAGCTTAGAGTGTTTGCCGATGTATCCATCATTCGCTATTAAAACTCTTGATATAACCCTTCTGCCTTTTCTGATTGGTAAATATATCTTCAGTAACCCTGCCGAAATCCATGACCATGATAGGCCACAGAATGTGTAACCTGGTTTGACACCATGAGTCAGCCATGTATTTGTCGTCCATAACCAATATAAACCAGGATATACCAACTACCTTCAAGCAACGCATTTTCCCTCTTATGCTTCAACCAGCATCCGTCAAAATGTTCCTCCTAGCCCTCCCGCAGGAGCTAATCATGGACTTTGGGACTGATGTTAATTACAAGGGCTACGATGGTCGAACTCCACTGGCGTTAGCGGCGTCCGGGGGACATTTTGAGGTCAAGCGTTAACAACGGGGAGCCTAACGAGGATACCTCCAAGTACAATAATCTTGAGAAGAAAGTGGGCAAATTGGAAGCGATTTTGACTTCAAGCATAAGAAGGATAACCAATCATGTTGAGCAAAGAAATGACCAGACAATTATGGGGATTATACCGGCGACGAATGGACTAAGCACCAAACTAATCTCTATGGATGAAAGACTGACAAGATTGGAATGTGAAATAATGCGATAAGGAAAAAGCTGTGTGATTATTCCGTTTGTATAGTCTCGGTTCTTTTCTCCTATTGCCCAAATCATTTGATCTTTACTTTGTTTACGTCTTACACGGCATCGATACCGTCCGGAACTTCAGAAAAAAGTTGGTGAGATGCACAGGGCTCTCTCTCTTGTTCTTAATTCCGTCAAGAGGTTGCTAACTCGAATGTCACAGGATTCGGGGTGTCTTGTCCGGAGTTTCCTGTTATTCTACATGATTGAGAGGGTCTATTTTATATCATTGCTGCATAGGAAGAACCCGAAGATAGACAATAAAATCCTAAATATTTATCGACTGCTCCATTATCTGTCTAGATAGAATAGATATTCACTTTCTCTCTCAACTTGCCAAATACTTAATATCTACAAGCCACCACCTAGCCACATCAATCGAATCAACCAGTTGGACTGTCATTACAAATTTCTGCTGTCAAAAACTCAGAAAAGCAGTACACAATGTACAAGAATCACAAAATGGCAAGATAACTTGCAAAAATAAAACATATAAAGGAAAAAAGAAAAATCCAAATCAAAGTGAATGAAATGCAAGACCAGTCTCAAGAGTTAAGAATGAAGATGTGTCAAGTCAAGGCAAGTCAAGTCAAGTTGGCAATGTGTAAATATATCGATCAACATAGGAAAGAAAACGAAATGAGTCTAGTAATTCATGCGGTAGGTTTTCGAAGGAAAAGAATGAATGACAAATGTTGTCGAAAAAGAAACCAGGCACCAAGAAAAAAAAAAAAAAAAAAAAAAAAAAGAATGAAGGAAGGTCAATGGATGACGGAACTCGAGGAAGAAATTCCGTCGCGATTAAAAAATAATGCAGTGTAGCGTAGTTTTGAGAGGTAGATCAGTGCCAGTGCCGGGGTGGATGAGCCCAAGCGATGAAAAGCAAAAGCAGAATAAAACGAAACCGGTCGCAGAACAAGATGCTAATCGCGCTGATGAAGTTGGAAATCCGCTGCAAATCCGCAATGTATCAAGTGCAAGGTGAATGGAAGCGATGATGCATGGACCAAAAGATGCACACACATACACAAAGGAGACTCGTTGAGAAACTTTTCAATACACGGCGCAGTCGCGAACTCAAATCAATGATGCGAGTGGATCCGGTTAGCGCGAGGGCTATATTTGCTTGTCCGAGAGAGGGCGCTGACATCGTGTTTGCCTGGGATTATTAGTTTCAGTTTACCAAGATTGAAGAAGGACGGAACTCACCATCACAGCACGCGCGGACATTCTCAAGACCGTCCGTCTCACGATCTTCCCTCTCAATCGTTTCCCCCAAATCGTCAATGCTCGGATGTTCATGAACATGTTCATGAACGCTTCCATCATGAACGCTCGAGCTTGAGTGCCCATGACGTCCCTTACGGCCGAATGACCCCTTAATCGTCGTGTTGAAGATCGTGCTGAGCCGAGAGGAAGAGCCTTGTCGACTTTGGTCCGGAACCAGAAACGGTGAGCTCTGGGAAGGCGCACTCAACGCTGGAGATGCGCGGCCGGGTGTTGTGGCCTGTCGCATCGACATGGCAGATCCTGCCCGTTGCTTGGGGGGAGGGTTGTTGCGTAGAGTACGGCTTTGCGACGAAGAGAACGACATGCGCTGAGTTTGGCGCGAGCTGGTTCGGAAACCGGGGTTGAATTCGTCAATGTCTTCCAGCGTGATGCTGTTTTCCGGCTCCTCGCCATTCTCGTCCGAGTTGCGGAGCAACAGGTACGACAGCGCGTTGAACCAAGTCTCGTGTCTCTGGCTCGTGGTAGCAGTGAACCTCACACGACGACCAGGGCTGACGACTTCCAAGCTACGGCAATGGAGACCCGGCGGGTAGGGGTTGTCATCGGCCACGACTCGCACAGCTTCAATCGGAACGCTCTTCGTGCGGAGTTCGCTCTTACCAGCGTGTTGCGGGTCTGACTCACTCCAGTACAAAGTACGTGTGTAAGGGTGGACCCAGAAGTAACGACGGTGTCTGGTACTCGACATCTCGCCAGAGATGTTCTTGCGCGTGTATTTCCACAGGAATTCACCAATCATCGTCTGCGTGATCGCTTGAATCATGCGAGGATCAGTGCTCTCTGCATAGCCATGAGGAGGCATAGCACCAACGCCATTGGGGTACATGTTGAAGCGCTCTTCGATCTCCGAGGCAAACGAAGAAACGGATGATTTCCGCGATACTTGACCTTGGCTTTCGCGCCTCAACTTCGACCGCGAGGAAGTCGTCCGGGATGAGCTGGCCTGGACACCTTGCTCGTTTGGAGTGCGAGGGCGCTGGTTGGGGGTACCGTGATGGCGAAGGGCGGAAGCGGGAGCAAGAGGCGGGCCCATAACATTGGGGGACGCCGGGCATTGCTCCGGCTTCCCGGCAGCCAGGATGGCTTCCCGGTGGTCAGCTGGCAGAGGCGGGTGACTGTGAGTGCTGGAGACATGACTAGCAGAGCTGTCAGGTCGCCGGGATCCGCTTGGCAAGGAAGTTGCCGATGGCCGGTGGGTAGGGCGGGTCTTCGCCTTGGGAGTCGCAAAAGGCGAAACTCCCATCTCCTTTGCGCGATCACTGTCAGGAGGCGACAGTGGGCGGGTCGAGACCCGGTCCATGAGGAGCTGATCGATCTGCTTGGACGACAAAATTGTCTGAGCTCCCTGGTCCGCCAGGTTCGACTTTGTTCGTCGGTGAGTGCGCGTAGCATTGCCAGAAATGGCGCTCAGCGGCCGTGCCCGCTCGCCGGTGGCCTTGACAGCACTGTCGGGCTTGTCATCCTCAGAAGCCATGACACCAGAAGAGACATATCGTGATTCAGCTGGTGGCACGTTCTCCTCATCGAACATAAGGGGTGCGGCAGCGGCGGTTCCGTTTGGCAGGAACTCGATAGGGCTCGTCTCCACAGAACGGATAGTGGAGAATGACAACTCAGGGATCGCGATCGCGGGGACGGCACGCTTCGTGGGCATCTCCGGCTCAGTCGACTCGGAGCTGATAGAGGAAACAGCCATTTCAGCGTTGTCATAGTTGGCAGTTGTTTCCTCAATAGGCACTGGCACTGGCACCGGTGCCGGCTCCGGTTCGGGAAGCTTAGCCGAGATCGGCTCGGTTTGTTCCGACATAATGGATGACACCGATAGTGCGGGAAGATCCGTACCTGTACCACGGTCCGCAAGGGAAACCGGTGGCTCGGGCTCGGGGAGAGTTGCCACAACAGGCTCAGTAGCTGCCGAAAAGACTGACGAGAATACCATTTCCGGCACATAGACCTCAGGCTCAGGCAGTCTTGCGACAATAGGCTCCGTAGATTGGGAGTAGATCGATGACACAAGCGTTTCTGGCATTTCCGGTGCAGGTGGTTCGACAGGCTCCGTGGACTGGGAGTAGATCGATGACACTAGCATCTCTGGAACTTCCAGCGCGGGTGGCTCGACAGGCTCCGTCGTACCTCCAATGACATATGAAGTGCTCAATTCGGGGAAGGCAGGGGCCACTGGCGCAGTCTCTTGAGTAGCGATCGAAGAGAGCTCCAGTTGAAGAGGCTCGGGAGCGGACACGCTTCTCCCCAATTCACCTGCCTCGGTATCGTTTTCGTCTGAGGTCTGCACGTTCGCCGAAGTTTGTTCGCCGTCTGTCTCAGGAGCTCCTTGTGTCGCAGAGTTGGCCATGGCCGGAATATCCTTGGACTCGGTCGTCTCGGAACCCGCAGCAGTTGCAGCGCTTCCAAGAGCAGCCCCGCCAACGGCACCAGCAGCGGCCACAGCCACAGCAGTAGTACCAGCTCCAACGGAAGTCGGCTCCCAGGGGTCGGTCATCACACCGGAATCAACCATAGCCGGCTTGGGCGGTGCATCCAGAGCGGCTTCAGATGGTCTCCTCGAGTCGGGAGTAGGGTCCATACGGGGAGTGGAGGCCCGAGAAGCAGCATCGAAAGAGGTTGATTGCCCAAAGTTAGCATCCACAGTCTCCTCACTCTCGTCACCATCAAGCTCAGCCAACTCCGCAAAGAGACTCTGTCCTTCGGGAGTCGGTTCTTCTTGCACAAAGCTTGTCGCGGGGGAGTTCCGGGCGCTCGAGGGTCGGCTGTTAAAGGCCATAGGTGCCTCGCCAGATGGTCGGCTTTTCCGTACCACACTTCTCTTCATACGAAGACGGTGTCGAGGGGGAGTGTGGTTTTGAGTGGGCGAGGAGAATCCGGCATCTTCGTCTTCACTGGTTGACGTCGAAGCAGTACTGTGGTAGGGGGAACGGTCCCGAGCCTTGGCCATCATGAGCGAAGACACGCGACCACTACGGCTACGCGGGGTGCGTCGGACCGTCTCTTCCGTCTCGGTGAGTTCCTCAGTGTCAGAGCCAGAACTGTCGGCCATGCTCTCAACGCCAGTCTGGAAAGCTTCGCTCTCCGTGGTCGTCTCCCGCTCGTTGGCAGTATCAAATGAATCGTAGGCCTCCGTGGCGGTTTGGTAGTCGCTGGGTTCATCGGACGATCGCTCACCGGGATGGCTGCGAACAGGTCCAGGAGGAGTCTTGTGAGGTGGACTAGAGGTGGTGCTCTTGTCTTCCCAATCAGATTCCTGGACCTCTTCGATCTCTGTCTTGCCCTTCCTTCCAGCACCAAGCAGGTCCGGGCGTGGGGCCTTTCTGAGGGCCTCGGGCTTGGTCTTTTGGCGTTTGTTGGAAGGACCTCCGGTTGTGGCGGCTTGACGTTTTTGCTCCACCTCGTCCCGTGCATCTTGGAGCATGCGCTTCAATTCGATCTTTTCGGTCTTCTCACGATGGATGGTGCTCTTGAGGTTCTGGATCATCCGATGAGCGTGACCGAGGGAGCTCCGCAGAGTTTCAGTCTCGAGCTGGTTGTGGCGAGGAGTGAACTTGTTCGGGGACGGTGGGGGTGAGTTATCGGGCGTCTCATTGCCTTGGTCGTCCGAGTCGTTGTCGTGAGAAACCTGGCGAGTGTTCTCTTCATGTTGTCGCAAACGCATCGCTACAGCCTTGGCAAGCTCTTCATTCTGCGAGTTCAATTCCTCGAGCTTTTGTTGCATGGCAACCCGTTCAGAGTCGCCAGAAGTAAGGTTCCGGCGCAGTTGGTGGACTTCCGCATCGTTGGCTTTTTGGGCCATCATGTGATCCTCTATGAGTCTCGCGTTGGTCTGTTTGATGTCCTCCAGTTCGCGCTCGACCAAGCCCTTATCGTTGGTGAGAGCGCTTAGGTTGCTGTTCAGCTTGGTCTCGCGATCAGTTGCTTCCCGAATTGTGGCCATGAGCTCTTGTGTTCGTGTTTCGAGGGCCCAGTTTTCGTCCTTGTAGCGCTCCTCACTCTCATCGAGTGCGCGAATCCGTTGGGCATAGCCCTCAGCCTCCAGTTCCAGGCGTGATTTCTCCAGGTTGATGGTCTTGAGAGCATCCTCACGCTCCGCGAGCAAAGCCTGCAGCTGTCGAACTTGTGCCAGCAGCGAAGTTGAAATCTCTGTCGCGAACTCGATATCATGAACGCGATTGGATGGCTGGTTACGCTGCTTTCGTGAAGGGACACTGACTTTGCTGGGCGAATTTGTACCTTGGTCGGCAAACATGGTGGCAGTGAGCGGCGACTATAAAAAACAAGGGTAAGATCATTGATTAGCAATCCGAGTAGACCTCTCAGCGGGCGCATGGAAAGCGGTCAGTACCTTTGAGTCTGCAGAAGGAGTTCCCAAATGGCCGTCAGCACCCATGCGCTTAGGAGCCAGGAAGGCGCGCGCTGACTCCCGGCCGATTTCATTGTATTCTCTTTCCAAGTCCGCGAGCTTGCGGCGCAAGTCCGGTCCAATCTCCCCTTCATCATGCTGCTCCACCTCTTTTAACTTGTCCTCGAGCTCCCGTTGCTGTTCGATGAGGGTGGTTCCCAGTTTGGACGCCTCCTCAAGCCTGCGCTCCGTTTCCGCCAGGTGAGCCTCAAGGGCTCGCTTGGCCTGCGCTGGCGACGCAGCATTCAGACTATACAGCTGGGTGTCGAACGATGAATAGCGATGCAATTCGCGAGGACCGGTGCCCTCCGCTGGGTTAGACACAAAAGGGTCATTCATGGTGAAACCACTCCCCGTTGGAGAACTATCCTCCGCACCGTTACTGTATAAAGACGTGCTCATCTTCAGACAAGTTCTGTACCGTCAGACGGTCCGTGATCCTCTGCGATTGAGGATTACAGCCGCCGTTGGAGGGGAAAAGTTTCCCGTACAGTCGTCGCCTCGATGCTCGTAGTCGTATTCTTTGTTTTCACTTTTCAAACCACGGTCATCATCCGACCTGTGTCGATTCGCGATCCAAGGGTCCTCGTGTACCGGTTTTCCTCCGCGGGTAAAGTTGTAACGAGCCGTCCAGCGACCAGAGGTGGGTGAAATGCGTCTGGGGTTGTATATGCGACGGTAAAAACAAGCTTACAAATAGCTGTGTACCGTCGGGGGGTTGGGGGGGGGCGAAACCGGTCCGCTAAAAACGAGGTCGAAGTGGTTGCGATTTTTTCTGTCGGTGTCGACCCACGATAAAGACACGGGAAACACCGAGTGGGGAAGTGAAGAAAAAGATCGTAAAGAAAGCGCAAAGTCGCAGCCACGAGGCGGGATAAAATAAGAACGGAAAACGGAGAACGTAATATAACCTGCGGGTTGGAAGGAGACAAAAGGACGGAGAGAGATCAGTGGTTGACAGGGGCTCTTCCGGTCTGGGGGAGGCGAGATCCACGACAGCAGCGCAACACACAGGAATAACAACGACAACAACAGCAAACACGTTGTGGCCGTAAGGTGGGAGGCAGTGCGTACAGGTCAACCATGAACAATTCAGCGATGCGGAAGACAGGCGCAGGAATTGGTTGGAAGTCGCAGTGATTTGGCGAGAGAGCCGAGACGCTTACGAGCTGAATGGGGAATCGGCAAGTAAAGGCAGCGCGTGCGCCATGCAGGTGATAACAATAGTAGTATTAAACAAAAGTGATAAATGAGTGACAGACAAATGAGAATCGTCGAGTTATTAGAAGAAGAACTAGAGAGAGAAAGGGTCAGGTTGAGGTAGCCTGTCCGATTCACAACGAGACAAAGCGACTCGCTGCGACAGGAGGAGAGGGGGGAGGGGGGAGGGAAATTAAAGAATTAAACACAAAAAAGAAATAGAAAAAAGATAGAGAAAGACACACAAGAGATAAGAGAAGATGAGAAGATAGAGATGAAAAAGAAGAAGAAGAGAGAGTATAGAGTAGAGAGAGGGGGGATAGAGGAGAAGAGAAGACCGAGAGGAGAGGAGAGAGAGGGAGAGAGAGCGAGAGACACAGGCGAGGGACGGAAAGAGGATGAGACCAGCGCGCGGGACCGTGCGGGCAATAGTAGACCAAGGACTCGACTGATACGTGACTATTGTGCATTTACGGGGTAGTAGTTCAGGCACTAGAGCTATGTACGATTGTCACTCATCTGTCTTCGAGAATGGATCTATCATTCTAGTTGAGGTGATCCGTATGTTTGTTTGGTTCTGTTCCTGAATACGCGTATGTACCGCCGATACCGTCCCACTGGTTTATTACGCTGTTTGTGCTGTTTGCTTATCATGTGACAAGATCATGTGACGCTGATGTAATGACACTATCGCCACGGCCTCCATCCCCGTACAATTTATCGCTTTTGATCATCGCGATTGGCAGCTTTGTCAACACGACTCACTTTCCTCACCATGACCGAAGAAACAGCAGCATCAGACGTCCCCCAATTCACCTTCAAGAAACGCTCCGCCAAGGCCAAGGCTAATTTTAGAAAGAAGCCCGAGTCGCTGCCACCCGCTGCCTCCGATTCCGACTCCGATTTCACCTCAGACGACGATGAAGAAGGTCGCAAGATCAAGCGTCGTCGCAAGAATGTCGCTGTGACGGCTTCATCAGCTACAGATGCAAATAGCCGGAAAGCAGCAGCCACAGACGAGCAACCTACCGGTACCGCCACTGCGACCGTTCCAATCAATCAGACAAACGATGCGACGAAACAGTCCAACTGGTACGACGAGGCAGATCTAAGTGAGAAGAATCTGCTGGGCACAACACGACCCAAGCCCGGGTCATCAGCAGCTCCGGATGGTACCTACAAAGGTGCGGCGAATTACCAGTCCTTCATCCAGAAGAACCCCAATGCGCCAAACAAACAATTCGGCCCCATCAAAGCCCCTACGAATATCCGCACAATCACCGTGATGGACTTTGCGCCCGACGTCTGCAAGGACTGGAAACAGACCGGCTTCTGCGGTTTCGGCGACTCATGCAAATTTCTGCACGCCCGCGAAGACTACAAACAAGGCTGGGAACTAGACCGCGACTGGGAAATCGGCACAAAGGGCAAACAGCTAGGTGGCAAGGTGGTATCGGCGCGGAAAGGCGGGGCAGCGCATGATAACGAAGAGGACGACGAAGACGAGGAGGACGAGTTTCTTGAAAGTATCCCGTTTGCGTGTATTATCTGCCGGAAGCCATATAGTAACCCCATTGTCACCAAGTGCGGGCATTATTTCTGCGAATCGTGTGCGTTGCAGCGTTACCGCAAGAATCCATCCTGTGCGGCTTGCGGTGCGGGGACGGGCGGTGTGTTTAATACAGCCAAGAAATTGAGCCAGTTGCTTGATAAGAAGCGGGAACGCGCTCGCAAACAACGTGAGCAGGCTATTGCTGCTGGAGAGGAGGTGAGCAGTGAAGAGGAGGATGAGGCGGAGGACTCGTGATGGTTAGAGTTGTCAACGCGAGGGATATATATGCATGTTTGTATAGGGTAACTAATGGACGACTTGCAGCTGGCTGCAGATATATACCGTGCTCTATTTCAATATATGCAGGGCGCCTTGTCCATGTCTAACACACATTGTATACGTCTTCTGTAGTGTCTATGCAGTACGGCTGTACTTTCCGTGTTCGTATAAAACCCATGCAGCAACAGAACAAATCAACACACCTCCTAAAATCCTATCTATCGGAAGGGTCGCTTTTGACAAAAGGCCTCCATCCATCATCACACTTCGCCATAGCCAGAGACCTGTTCCTGTAGTGTGCATTTCGGACTCTACAATACCCCAACCACTCACGAGAATTGATATGACAAGGAGCGAATAAATACCAATAAGCATCCTCGCGACGCATTGGATGAATGGTTCAGCGGGCTCGGCCATCGTTCTCTAGGAGAAAGCTTCAGCTCTAGAGACATTGACTCATCGTTTGGTTAAACTGTTAATGTGGTAGTTGATTCTTGAGAAGAGCATGCCAGTCGACCTACTTCGGTTCGGGCCAAACAGCTACATCCATAGATCTTCAAAGACACTTTCGCTGTTTCCTGAAGTTTCCAGACGGTATGGACCCTTGGTAATTGAAGTACTGCTATTTCATACCTTTACAGAGAGACATACATTGAGCGGATGAGCTTCGCTGAGCGACGAGTATGTAACAGGTCTCGTGTGCGGTGTCTAAATTGATCATATGGGCTAGTCTGGCCCTTTAAATCCACAAAAGAGTGGCTGAAACGCCTGAATTGTGTAAATGGAGCATTGATATAATTGGGAACCGTACTTGTCGAAGACCGGAAGCGGAATAATTTGGCCTTCCACTCTAGACAGAACTATGAAGTTTATATACAGAAAGTTAATCTCGTCGCATTCTGGTAGTATTTTTACACGACGGTTGGTTGAAAAGCTGCTCCAAAGGTTATTGTGATGGTGTCTGCGGTATGGTCATCATGATCATCGTCGTCATTCTCTCTGTCCTCTTCATCCTCATCCTCATATTCACGGGCTTGGATGAGTCGTTTTGGTCCGCCGTAGTCGTAGTATTCATCAAGGTTAAGATGAACATTGTGCTGGTCCCAAAGCTCTTTGCACCACTGTTTTATTCCATCTGATAGCGCCACGCTCACTTCGATATGAGACATATTGACCCGTCTCCCGTTATACGAAACCCCTTCATCGTCAGCGGCCGGATTCCAGGCTACATTGGGGACGATGGTGGTTGCAGTGTGCTCGAACATGCGATGCCGCGGCTCAACCTGCTCTATCGAGTAGTCGTCGAGCTCAACACAGCCACGCTCCTCGATTTTAGACTCCAGATCGCGGAGGTACTTCGGGTTATGGCTCTCGCGTGCATCGCTCATCAGATTGACATCTGGATCTGTGTCAATCTTGTCCCATGTTTCTGCGTAATCGGCTAGGATGCAGACCCGCGCAACGGCGGGTTTCATCGCCGGAACGCGCCGGAGAAGCTCGAGGCAAGTGGACGGATGTGGCACGGAAGGGCACCAAATGCAGTACGGGAGGAGGTAGGTCTCTGGCGTGATGCGGGAGAGGTCGTTGTTCATGATGAAACGGGCATTGATTGCCTCTAGCACATTTGGCAGTTGGGGATCCGGTTGGAGTGACCACCACTTTGCAAACATGGTGTTGTGGTAGATACCCCGGACAACACAGTGCGACTCTGTTATTGTTTTGTCCATTGTGACCGGCTCAATCCTTTGTTGCGTTCTCAACCATTTTATAACGCCTTGGGAATAAGTCGACTGACGTAAATATTTCACGGTGTTAAAAGCCTGCAGAGCATTTTCAAGAAACGTTTTGGCTGAGGCTTTGCCAGAGCCTTCAGTTTTGCCCTGTAGTTTGGCTAAGGCACCGGAGACCTATGCAATGTTATCAATACCATCTCAGATTAAAAGGCTTCATCAAAAGATCTTATACCTTCGTAAAGAGCGTCGGTATATCACCAACATCGGTGACCATGTTCTTAAGTTGGTATTTCCCTGTGTACCCATGATCCTGCAAGATCTGGGTCAACTCATCGACGTTTTTCCCGCTGACATCTTGGGTGACCGGTTTTGGGTTTGAGCTGGCGTCAATGTATTCGAGAAATTCCTGGGAAGTGCATTTTTTGACTTTGCTTGGCTTGCCCGAGGTGCAATGCGAGACGATCAATTGAGGCCTGTCGTTGATTTCGGCGTCAAGCTGATAGGTAAATCAATAAAGAGCTCGTTTGTAGGCACCATATTGGCCGAAGCAGAAGACCAGGGAGGTCAAATAACCCAAAAGGGCGAAAACAGAGAATCTCATCGGGTGGTATAAAAGATCATAGAGTAATGTTCGAGTAATCGGCACGGTCAAACAGCATTCAACGAGATTTATGGGCATGACAGACTATAGGCAATCTCGGAAGGCATTTCCATGAATAAGTCTTTTCTCTTTCTTTACATTACTCCTCGGAACTCTTCCTTCAACCCCTGATCAAATTACGGTTAACAATATTAAGTAAGTGCAGTCCGGTTAACCGTGGAACGGAAATAATGTCTCAAACCATAAGATATCGGTCTCAACGCCTTATTGCGCTTTTTGCTGTGCTTGTTGGGTTTAGGGGTGAGACTGGGTTTTATAGGGCGGCTGAAGTCCGGCGTGGAATGACGACTAAGGGGGTTTCGGAATTGGGCTCGGCTATTAAGGATAAGATGGATATGTTGGATTTGATTCGGAAGATATGTAAAGGAGTCTTGTATATTAATTATTAATTTCGTTTTTAAAGACGGATAGAAAAAGTTACATGTATATATTTGGTTTATGTTAAAACGTGCTCGATCTGCCATCAGTACGCATTTTCATGTGTATCGTTTTTGGTCATATAAAATATTCTGTGATACATAAAATGGGAGTTTGAGAGACTATTGGGCGTTGAGGAATATGCTGAAATTTAGAACTGGTTAGGGCAGATCTTATCGGCCTTATCTCGGATCGGCGACATATCGGAGACTTTCCCGCTGATCCCCGCTGACTTTATTTAAGCCTCATTACATCTTCACTCCATTTAATCCAGATACAACATCCCATCGAATAAATACAAACACTTACCTTGTCGCTGTTATCCAAGTCAAAATGTCCACACCATCCACAAAAGACCGCATCCTATCCCTCGTCGAACCAGCCGTGATCCTCAGCATGGCTGTAAAGGGTACCTCCCTTTTCTTCCCCATAAAACAAATTGAATACACCCCGATACTAATAGCATCAGCATACATCCGCATCCTCCTCGAATCCATTACCAACGGCCAAATATCAACACTCCTAACCCACCCCCAAACCCTCCGCGACGAAGGATTCAGTCGCTTCTGGTTGGGATTTAGCTGTACCTCTCCCTTTCCCCCACCCCCTCCGTCACAAAAAAGCACACAAGAGTACTGATGGAAACAGCATCCCCAACACGATCAAACCCAGCCCAACTAGAAGGTTCCGCAGCGCTAATCCCACCACTCCTCGCCCGGGTCTCCGGGACGGTATTAGATGTTGGTCCCGGGACAGGAACGCAGATGCCGTATCTGTCTGCACGACGGGAGTATGTTAAGGGCATTTATGGCGCGGAGCCGTGTAAGGGACTTCATGGGGAGTTGAGAGCGAATGCGTCGAAGGAGGGGTTAGATGGGAAGTATCATGTTCTGGGGTGTGGGGTTTCGGCGGGGGAACTTGTTCCAGAATTGCGGAGGGAGGGGTTACTGCGTGATATGGATGGGGATGTTGGTGCTGAGCAATCAATGCAACTGGTTAAAGAAAAGGGTGGTATATTCGATACGATAATCTGTGTCCGCGTCCTCTGCTCAGTCCCCGACCTAGAGCAGCGCGCGAGGGAGCTTTATACTCTCCTCAAACCCGGTGGCCAATTACTCGTCGCGGAGCACGTGGTTAATCCCTGGCAGACGCCGAAGGGTTCGCTCGCTGCGAGGATGGCGCAGGGTGTGTATGAGTTGCTGGGATGGCAGTGGTTTATGGGGGATTGTTGTATGGTGAGGGATACGGAGGGGGCGTTGAGGAGGGCTGCGGAGGGGGATGGGGGGTGGGAGGTTGTGGATGTGGAGAGGTCGTTTGGGTGGTCGGCTTTGCCGTATGTTTCAGGGGTTTGGGTTAAGAAATAGTCCACGAACCGTGGTGGGAGTGTTACGATGGAACGTGTATAATAAGGATATGTAAATAACATTGGGATCATGGTATCATTATCATTACGGAACATAAAAATATAGTACAATATCATACAAAAACATATTAAACAGGCTTCGGCCTTTCCGGCGGCCAGAAATCAAACAGATCCAGCGCCTCAACCGTCCATGGTCCCTGTTCTTGGACACGGTCCTGTGTCTGCTCTTCTTCGTCTGAATCCTCTTCTACGAGCAGATCGAGTGTACTCGAGGGCAATTGGCGTGATTGGATGCTATTGACGGTGTGAAAGGCAGCAGGATCTGAATAGGATTTCTGGAAACCACGTGAAGATTGTTTGGCGGGTGCTGGTGGGATGCCTTGGGAGCGCGCAGCGTGGTTGACTGCAGCAGGGGGAAATTCCGGACATGGATCTGGTGGAGCTGGTCGTGGAGGTTTGTTGGGAAGAGGTGCTGGTTTGGTTGCTTGATTTGAAGAAGACTCTTTTACAGCATTGGTTTCTTCGACATCCGATTCAAAAGGCGAGTCTTCTATCATCTCAGCCAGGACATCAAGAGTAGAATCGCCCGATGTCATTTGCACATCAGTGGGGACCGGATCCGGAGCCACGGGTTTTGGTGCCCCCCTAAAAGAGTTAGCTCCATCCTCGCGGGAATCCACATTGTCACATACTGACTGTGGCTCTCTTTGCTCCGACTGAGGGCTGGTTCTGTCCGATCCCGTTTCCGACGTGTTGGTTTGGCCGGGTAACAGCGCACAGTACATTAACTTTTTACGCGGCTTTTCTCTAGACAGCTGGAGCGTATTCCGGGGAGTTGATGACGAACTGCTGGAGAATGAGAAGTGCGTGGAAGGTAGTGCATTTTCAGATGGTCTTTGCTGCGTCTGCTCCGGTTTGGATCTGGTATCATTGGACGTGGATGGTGTAGGTGTAGGTCGGGCGGGAGCTGCAGGCCGCGGGTGTGGAGGTTGTGCGCGCTCAGGTCGTGAAGTCGGTTTTGTAGTTGGTTCTTTGGCCGGCGCCCGGACGGAAGACGGTTCAGACAGGTCGATCACAGGCGAGCGCTGTGGAGGATGTGAAGGGACTGTTTTTTGTCGCTTCGCGGGTCTGGATCCCTCTGGTATTTCAACCGGTCGTGGTGGGGGACGTTCGGAGGGCGATCTGAACCGTTCAATCGGAGTCCGCCTAATCCCCAGGAGATCGTTCAAAGACCGCGATGACTGCGAAGACGGCTGCGACGATCGCGTCGGAAAATTCCTCGTTTGCGACTGCGACGGCTGCGACGGCGAAGTCTGACTGGCTTTCCTCCTCTCGAACAAGGGCGACAAATCCGTCTCGGTTTTCTCCATGGATTCCCCGACCTGAATCAACACGCCTTTATCCAACTCCAACTCATCCCCATCCTGAATCGTCTCCTCTTGTCGCCAATGTAAATCGCCGACGAAATTCCCCTGGTCATCGAAGACCATAACGCGTTTGTTGAAGGTGTGGTAGCGAACGAAGCCATCTTGCCAACGTTTGGCTTTGCGGCGGAGATCGTGGGTGAACAAGCATCGGAATTTGAAGACCTGCGCGGTAGATTGAGTTAAAGGCACGGTCAAGCTGGGAGAGCTGGAGACCATGGTGGCATGACAGCTATAGAGTGCACCATGGGGACGAGTTGAAGAGCGTTAAACGTTAGCCGTTGTGGTGGTTGTCGCGGAGAAGACGCGGAATTAAGAATTGAGGCTCTCCGGCGGAACCATGGAAGCTTTTAGTTATGATTACAAGCATACAGTACAGAGTATATGCTTATCTTATGCGCATAATTGTGTTATTTTTAGACAGCAGTGAACCAGGGACGCAACCAATCAATCCATGGACGCTGACTGTACCTGACACTTAACCATGCTCAAGCCTGTAAGCACACAATCAATCCGCGACGATAGAAAAATTTCCGTATGAAACGAACTAATCGCAGCGACATGAATCCTTCGAGTCGAAATGTCAGCCAGACCCCCTGCAAAATAGCGGGAATACGAGGTACAGCCCCTCTAAGTCGAACATCTCATACGAGAACGAACGCTGGATACCTGCAAATGGAACAAACACTCGACAAGGCAAGGATAGTCATTGCACGAGGCTGAGGGCGCAAGGTTGAAACCCTCTTCGCTCTTTTCATCCCCTCATCTCATCTCATCTTTCTCTCTTTACTCCGTATATTTTGTCCATTTTTTCCCAGCATAAGAGAGGCGTTTCTTTGTTTCTTCCACCATCTTTCTTACAGTTGATGGTCTATTGACCTCTTTGACTCATCCCCGCAACCCTTCCCTCTGGGGTCCTCGTCAAGATGAACCGGTTAAACAGGCAGTTCGTGAAGCTCAGGAAGAGGTCAGCTGATGAAAACGACGTCGGAATCCTTCTTCACGATTTCAACGAAGCCGACAATCTGCTGTCCAAAGTATGTAACTCCTTTGCTGACAATACCCGATAAAACTGGTGCCTGGTGCCTAGATTTCCTGGATACTAATTCCGGATATTAGTTGATTGAGGACACCTCCGCCTGGCGCGATGGCTGGTCAGCTATCCTCAATTACCAGGAGCGTGTCGTCGGCGAGTTCAAGTCACTCTATGCTCCCATCCCCGGAAATACCTCAGGCTTGCAAACCTCCACTACCCCGGATGATGTGACGTCACGGACCACCAAGCTCCACGACGACTATGCCCAGCTACGCCAGGACTTGCTGGCAGAGCTCAATTCCGTGGATGATTCCATTATTATGCCTGCAAGAGTGACCAAGGATTATATCACACCCATGAAGAAGACTATCAAGCAGCGTCAGGATCGCAAGGTATGTCCCGCGCCCTATACGAGGCATAAGTCAGGCTAACTAGAACAGCTGGACTTCGAACATTACCAAGGGAAATACGACGGCTACGCGAAGAAGCCCAAGCGATCGGACCGAGACAATGCCAACATGGCGAAAACAGAGCAGGAGCTGGTCAACGCCCAAGATGTACTTCCCCCCCCCCCCCCCCAAATCGCCCAGAGCAATGAATCCATACTGACAGCCCCAGATGTACAACCGCGCCGACGACACCCTCCGCGAACGTCTCCCTCGAATTCTCGAAGCAATCTACTCCCTCCTCCCACGCATCCTCGCCGTCCAGATCCGTCTCCAAAATACCATGCTGGCGCACTACTACACCATCCTGCACACCTTCGCAGAGGACTACCAATTCATGTCTCCCCCACCACCAATGGACCAAGTCCTCCTCGAATGGGAAGAATCGCACCTCCCCGTCCGCGAAGAAATCGAAAACTTCCGCTGCCTCATCCACGGCAAAGCCCGACAAGGCAGCACCGCTGCCACCAACCAAAACAACCCACCAAGCCCCCCTTCCCTCCGCGCACCCCCACCAGAGAACGACTACCTCTCCCCCCGATCCGCCTACGACAACGACAGCACCCGCCCCCCAAGCCCCGCAAGCAGCTACACCCAGACAATCTTCAGCCAGCCCCGCAACAGCATAGACACAACATACACCGTTCCCGAATCCCCAGAAACAGGCCCCAAATCGTCCTCTGGCTACAGCAATACCCAACCCCGTCGTCCATCTCGCATCCCCTCAACATCGACAATACCAACTTTCAACACACCCGACTACGACACCTCCAACTCCAACGCCAACTCCAACACCAACTCCCCACCAAAAGTCCTCGCCCCAAAACCCTCCTCCTCAAACCTCTCCACAACATCATTCTACACAGCCAAATCCTCCCCCTCCCCTGCCCTCTCAGCAAGCACAACACCAATGAGCACGGGCTACGCCCCCGCCGGCCGAAGCCCGGATTACTTCACCCGTCAAGCCGCTTCAAAACCCACCGCCCCCAAACCAACACTCACAACCACGTCCACCAAACCTCAAGCCCCAGTCTGCAATAACTCAATCGACCAACGCATCTCTTCGCTCGGTGCTGCGGCAGCTGTTGCTGCAACCAAGAAACGGCCTCCGCCACCACCGAAACCGAAGGTTCACTTGGTGACGGCATTGTATGATTTCCAGGGGCAGAGTGAGGACGAATTGGTGTTTTATGAGGGTGATAAGATTCGGGTTATTGAGAAGACGGGGAGTTCGAATGATTGGTGGCAGGGGGAGTTGAGGGGGGTGAAGGGGTATTTTCCGGCGAATTATGTGGAGTGAAGGGTTAGAGAATGGGGTTAGGTTTGATTTTGATCCCTGCTGTTCACTGGTAGTATACCATGGATTTAATAGATTGGCGTTATTGGAATGATATTTTCTGTGCAGTTAATGCTAGACTGATGCGACACCTTGTCTACCTTTGTGCCTCAACGCCATCGTTAGACAACTAATAAAATAAATGCATTTGATACTATCTAACAGACTAAGCGCACCAATATTATACCAACCCAAGAGAATGACCAATAAAAAACAAAAGAATAGACATACAATTACAGATACCCAGATCATCAAATAAACGCCCCAGTACCATCATCGCCCGGCATCTCCATCTCAATCGGTCGCCGGCGACTGTCCAAAAAGCTATCAACCATTTTCTTGGAGGAGATCGGGGAATGATTCTCGTCTGTCACCGGTCCGCAGCCCCGTTGGTCACGAATGGATCGGAAGGGTACTGATTTGGCATCGCGACCCATCGGCACCCGGGAAGTCTGGTAACGACGATACTGCCTTGTGGCCATTTTTTGCGGTGATTCTGTCGTGTTTCTTTTCGGGGTAGGAGACTCGGGGGTCTGGTGTCGGCTACTGGTCCTTAACGACAGCGAGGATCCACGTTCCAGATCTCTGTGGTCCGCCGCATAGTTATGCTGGGATTTTTTTGCACTGCGGACACTTGAAGAACGACTGAACGGTCGGGAGAAGTTGTTCGTCGCAGGAGCGTTCATGTTGATCGAAAACTCGCCAGTGTCGCTAAGGCCAATGGTGGGATTGAATCGTTCCACCGTGTCGCTGCCGCTGCCCATACCCAATGTGACAGCATTGATTTCATTGGTTTCATCATCGTCGTGAATCTGCGCGTCCTCTCGGTAATGTTCTCGCGTTGGGGTTTGTTCGATCCTCGCAATCTGCGAGTTCATCCACTTCTGCCAGTCAGCACTCGGCTGCACGGTTGCAGTAGATCCAGAACGAGCTGCCCGTTTCGGAGACCTGTACACCGCCCTTTGACTCCCGTATACCATCGCCATTCCTGGTTCCTCTTTCGCTTCGACAATACGGCCAGCAGCCTGATCGTTCCTCGTAGGTGAGTCTCCACTTGTAGTGCGGGAATATATACTAGGAGAGTCTGCATCGACGTTCTTTGACCGATCAACAATGACGCTCCCAGAGCCGTCGGAATCTTCTCCAGCCTCATAGAGAGAGCCCAGAGGCTGTCTGCGCACGCTCGAAGTGTCTTCAGACCGATCGTTTTCTTTGTTGTGAGAGTATCTCGATCCATGTTGGACATGACTCTTGGGTTGGCGTGGCCTCTGTCGCTGAGGAGTGATTGCGCCGCCGTTGGCCGTGGCAAATGACAATCGAGAATGTAATGATTCGTCGCTAAGAATCTGGCGGATGGTCTGCTTGCTACGGCACTTGCGAAGGGACGAAGTGCGTTCTGGAACCGGACGATGTTCCTTCACACGGCCGAGAACGATCTGTTCGTCAGGGTCTTCCGCCTGGGTTCTGCCAATGTGTTTCATCAATGCAGAGTACAATCGCTGACCTTCGACAGATGTGTTGGGTCTGGGAGAGCCCGATCGAGACCTGCCACCGGGGGTCGAAGTCCCGTTCTCGTCAATTATTGACAATGGATACATGTCGCCAGCCCTCTTAGTCGTGACAGTGTTCGGAACGGTCGAGTCTGCCCAGCTGGTGACACGCGATCGAGACGTAGCAAGACTTTCAGAGCTGCGGCTACTACGCAGAGTAGGTGGCCGGGCAGGACTGACAAATCTTTCTTCAGGACTGTCAAGGTAAGAAAAGTCGCTACCAGCCATGTACTCTTGGTTGGTGCTTAACGGAGTCGAAGAAGGCGGATAGTTCCATTGAGATTGAACGACAGGTGATTCCGGTTCCAGGGCTGGCTCCTCAGCAGGCTTCGACAGTCCTAAGACACGCTTCAGTCCCTTCTTGATAGACGAAGAAAGGGACCGTGCCTTGCCGTGGATCGCACCGCCGTTCTTGGACCGTTCACTGACTGGCGTACCATTGGCCTCCGTGATAGACCCACTAGGAGTACGGAAACTCTTTCTAAACGGCTTCTGCTCTTTCCGAGGCCTCAGCGTAGTCAAAGACGGCTTGCGGTCCTGAGCGAACTGCGTACGGGCCAATTGAATCGCAACATCCTGACTCTTCGCATGTCGAATCGATCGAGTCCGCTGGCTCCCACCTTTCAGAAAAGACATTGAGCGCCGCAAGGTACCGTAAGGACGAGCAGTGTCCGTTGAACTCTCCTGACTAGCAACCGGACTGCTATATCGCTCCGAAGAAATCCCACCATAAGGAACTTGAGACGCCCGCTGCCTCGTAGAAAACATCGACTTGGCCTTCCTCAGCTTCCGATACGACGACGGTTGACTGGACATACGTCCATCAAGTCCCCCAAACTCGTTGATCGGCGGCAAAGCAGCAGGGTAGGTATCCTGATTTTCCATATAGCACATCATCGACAAGTTTGGCGAGGGCTCATCCATCGAAGACGTTTTTTCCGTTGGTCGACGTCGTGAAGGAACAGCCACGTTCTCAGGACCACCTAATCGATCGTACGAGCGCTTGTAGTCCATCGACGATCGATCGTTGGAGCGACGCATGGCTTGAGTAGCGGCTGCCATGGCCTGGGATCTGGCCAGGTCTGGATTGAAGGGCTCTGAGGTGAAAGAAGGTTGGTGGGTTTTGCGGATGGAACGGGTGGATTTTGTTCTCCTCAATCGGTCTCTGGCGCTGAGAGATGAAGAGGGAATCATATTGCCAAAATCATGCAAATAGATAGAATGGAAGCAGTATGATTGATGAACTTGGACGGAGGTATTGTCATGGATATGGAGGGCAATTGGTATATTGACACGGAAAGGACTGTCAGGAACTTACGAAACAGGAAGGAACAATGAACGTTGATGGTTAGGGCAAGTGCATTCTGCCACGGCGTGACACCGCCCATCTAGAAAACAAAGAGAGATTGTCAAAGTCCAGGCATTGCGCTCTTCAATTGATAGTTTGACTATGGGATTCACTGTTTCGATATTTATTTGTTTTGTCCATCGATTACTGTGTACGACATACCTTCATCATCGACAACTTTGTAATTATGCCTTCAGCAAGACCCGTACCAACGGGTCCGCCAGAACAGACAACCCAAAATCTAGTGAGTCCACTGTCCAATAAGCGAGAATCCAGCTTTACTAACGACCTTGTAGCTCGACACACCTCTATCATCCTCGGTCGCAAACACCAAATGTCGTCATGATGTCCTCTCAAGCGCACCACCAGTCGCGAATGCCAAACCACTCGATAGCCACGCCTGCACCACGCCCCCGACCAAGGATACAAAGCCACTCGATACGGAAGTCCTCTGCAAGCCACCAGTCAAGAACCACCACATCTACATCAATGGCAACACCCACGAGGGCGGTGGCCAGGTCATCCGCAACGCCGTCACCCTGGCAGCCCTAACCTCCCATCCTCTCACGATTCACTCGATCCGCGCCAACCGTCCCGGAAGAAAAGGGCTCAGAGACGCGCATGTCGCCGCCATTGAGTTTCTTGCAGAAGTAAGCAACAGCATCGTTGAGAGCGCGGAAATCTGGTCGACGAAGGTTACTTTCCGCCCGCCTGACAGGATCGATGGTGCAGCAGTGAAGAAGGTCTATAGTGGACATACAACGCCAGGGTCGGTGTTTTTGACGTTTCAGGCGTTGTATCCGTACCTACTCCATGCAGGGGCGCTTTCAGGTGACAAGGAGCCAATTTGTGTGGAGCTCCAGGGAGGTACGAATATACACTATTCGCCAACGTTTGATTCTGTCTCGCAAGTGTTGACCCCAAACCTGGAGACACTGGGCTTTCCTAGGCTGGATATTGAGTTACATAAACGTGGCTGGAACACAGGACCAGTCAGATTGGGTTCTGTGAAGCTCTTTGTCTATCCCCTACCATCCAGCACGGGACCTGATGGAGGAATAAAGTGCCACTTGCCGAAGATTAACCTAGATCAACATCGAAGGGGAAAAATAACGAAGATCGATGTGACTATCCTCGCTCCAGATAACGACGTATCTTGGGAGACTCGTGGCACGACAAACAAGGAAGATAAACTCACGGTCCGCAAGTTTCTGGAGCAGGGAGTCATTGCAGAGCTCCGCGACAGGCTATATGGATCATCGTTACCGTCGCATGTAATCGATCAAGACGTCCCCATTGGCATCCACACCTCCGAGCCCACTCAGCACCACACGCATATCTACATACTCATCGTGGGTCATACGACGACCGGGTTCCGTATATCACGGGATGAGCTCTTCGAAGGGGACTTAAGCTACCTTGTCAATACGTGTAGCGATGTATACAAACGCTTTCTCGTTCAAGGGATGGGCGATGCATGTGTCAGACATTTTGTCAGAGAACTATACGACCGAAACCTGGAGGAGTTTAGCCGTCGAGAAGGGAGGCACCAACCATGTGTGGGTCGCACCATGCGTGATCAATTGGTGGTTTTTGAAGAGCTGGAAAGGTTATATTATCCTCAAGGGAGCAGGAAGGAGGGCCTGAGCGAGGACGACGGGGGGCAGGAGAACAAGAAAGAAGATGTCAACAAGGAGGGAGAAGAGAGTAAGAACAGAAGCGTGGACCAACAACGCAACCACGAGGACGGTGAGGACGGCCTAGAGAGCAAAGAAGAGCCCGAGAACGATGGAGGACAAAAGGGTGATCACGGGAATAAGGAGGACTGGCAAGAGAGCAGGGAAGAACCCAAGAGCCAGGAGGGACAAAACAGCACTGAGGACGACCGATACTGGAGCGGCCACACAACAAGTGCGCGGCGAGTCTGCCGGGAGATTCTTGCTACGTGCATCCTTAGCAACCAGTCACTTTGATGTATAGTCCAATCCCCGAATATCTCCAAGAGGATTTCTTATCGTTACATTCGTTTTCAGCCTGACGCGGCAGTGCTTAGCCTTACCCCACTCTGTTGCCTCCCACTGTCTTACTCTATAGCAACGACCAAGCATTGATACCCACGGCGTGTTCCGTATATGCAGAGCACAACCCATGTTTATATCCTACCAGTACGAATAGGTTCCTTTACACTTACAACCTCATACAATAACCAGTAACCATGACAGATTTTCTTGGACGACCACCTGTCCTAAAAAGGGTGCCCCCACGCTCCACGAAAATAAAATCTATTGAGCAGCTCCGCGAGGAGCTTTCACCGATAAACAAAGGTATAAGGTATCTTGATATGGGGAAAGCTTCCCGCTTTTGAGCAAGTGACGAAGAAAAAAAGTCAGTGCTTAATTAAAAATAGACGATGTACTTTGACATCATTGTACATTACTCTGCCTACCAGGCCCCCTCCAGATCGATGGCAGCACCCTTAATGGAGGCGACCAAGTTCTCCGCAATGCCATCACCCTGTCAGCCCTAGCATCACGCCTGGTGACAATCAACTCTATCCGCGCGAATCGCCCTGATGGCGTAGGTCTGAAGACCACGCATCTTCCCGCTATTCAGTCCCTTGCGCAGGTGAGCAACAGCGTTGTGAAAGGCGCAGAGCTTAGATCAACCAGTCTCACTTTTTATCCACCGGAGAGCATCGATGGTAAAGCGGTGAATATGAAATACAGGGCTGTTGAGACACCGGGATCTCTCTCTTTGGTGTTCCAGACATTGTATCCCTATTTACTGCTTGCGGGGGGGGGCTTGCAGAGGGTGAGGGAAAGGGACCGATTCAGGTGGATTTCAAGGGGTGTACGAATATCTCAGGTTCACCGACGTTTTAATATATTGAGCAAGCACTGGCGCCGAATATGAAGGTGCTGGGGTTTCCAGAATTGAATCTCGAGTTGGTTGAGCGGGAACGGATGATTGGATTAGGTGGACAGGGGAGTGTGAAGTGTTGGATCCATCCTTTGCCCTCAACTACAGGGCCTGATGGCAAGGTAAAGTGCCATTTTCCATTACTTAATCTGGATAGGTATAACCGGGGCAAAGTCATCAAAATCGACATCACCGTCCTTGCTCCAGATAACAAGGTTTCCTGGTTAATCAGTGTCACAGGGAAGAAGAAGAAGAAGAAGAAGAAGAAGAAGAAGAAGAAGAAGAAGAAGAAGAAGAAGAAGAAGAAGAGACAATTGCAAAGCTCCGCAAAGGGCTCAAAGGCATCCCATCAGAATTCATCAAGCCAAACGTCCCTATTAAGATTCACGCCTCTGAACGAACCTATCATCTCTCGCACGTCAACGTCCTCATTGTAGCCCATACTACAGCCGGCTTCCGCCTAGGACGTGATGGGATCCTGGATGGTAATTGTTTTCACTTCACTGATGGTACTGAGCAAGACCAGAATATTCGGAACCTGATCGGGACATGCGCCAAGAACTTTGCTCTCGAGCTGTACGACCGACAGAAAGAAGAAACCTGGCCGCAAAACGGAACACATCGAGAGTGCGTGGATCGATCTATGCGCAACCAAGTGGTTATCTTTAAGGAGTTGGGAAGATTGAGTGCGTCTCAAAACGGTTATAGCTGCAACTATGGTTGGGAGGGACGAACGACTAGAGGATAGCCGGTACTGGAGTGGGCATACTAGGAGTGCGCGGTGGGTTTGTCAGAAGATTGTTGGGAGCATAAGACCTGCATAGAAATAAGTCAGTAGCTACATGGTAAGCTCAATATCTTTAATTGTTATTAAAGTCTACTCAGACCACACCCATACCATTCCATTCTTTCAGATAACAGCTTAATATCCCGCTAACTCATAAGCATACAAAGCACTTACACTCGTACCGTACTTCCATAGCACAGTATAATAGTAATATGTGTCGGTATATGCAACATGTGGTTATAGCTCTAGACTGCTAATTTAATCAATTCATTGTGTGTATTGGGATTATGGTGTGGAATGCCCTCATTCCATTTACGGTAACCGGTGTCTGGGGATTGCCAATTGAACTGTAAATCGCCGTACAACTTTTACACTTCGATACTCGAAATATCCTCATCTAAATACCAATATCGACCACCTTAACACCCACCTACTGTCAACATGTCAACCACGCCCACGCCGTCCACACCGCCATCACCCTTTCAGCTCTAACCTCCAAACCCCTAACAATCCACTCCATCCACGAAGGGGGCCTCGAAACTGCACAGCTCGCTTCTGCCAAGGCTCTAACTGAGATAAGTCACAGTACTGTGGAGGGTACAGAGATTGGATCTACAAGTTTGTCATTCTATCCACCTACAACGGAGCTTCCGCCGGTGAAGCAGGAGTATGATATCAAGATTGAGGATTCAGAGAGTGTGGCCTTGGTTTTCCAGACACTATACCCATATATACTGCGCGCAGGAGGTCTAGCAGGGGCTGATGTGATTCAGTTGAATATCACAGGAGGTACAAATGTGGTATCTTCACCGTCATTTGACTATATCAAGCAGGTGTTTGTGCCAAATTTGGAGAAGCTGGGTTTTCCACCATTACTAGTGAAACTGCAAAAAAGGGGATGGACAATAGGATCTGTTGAGCAGGGCACTGTGCGGCTTCTGATTCACTCTCTTCCATCAACCACCAAACCAGATGAAAGTATATACTGTCCCTTCCCAGACTTCAACCTGAACAAGCATCAAATGGGAGATATCATCAAAATTGACATTACAATCCTCGCACCAGACGATAAAATACCCTGGAGAAGCAACGCGACCTGTCCCAAAAAGGCCGACAATGTCCCGCTCCGCAAGTTCATCGAGGAAGAAACGATCGCAGAGCTCCATACCGATACATGGCTACGGCATTATTTTAAGGAACCAGACCCCATCCCTGTTGAAGTCGTCACCTCTGAGCATACCCATCACCACTCGCACGCCTACCTCCTTGTCGCACATACGACAGGAGGTTTCCGCGTGGCGAGCGATTTCCTCATTCTCCCAAAGAGCCCTGGACCGGGGGAGGATAACCATGAACACGTTCTCATGCAAGATATCGAAGATGTAGCCTGGGGATGCGTCAGGGATCTCCGCGAGGAACTATTCAACTACATAAACGAGATGGTCGACTGGTACGAGGGAGAGCATCCGCCATGTGTGGATTCGCGTATGCGTGAACAGTTGGTGATCTTCGAGGCGTTGGGGAAGTTATATCCCAGAGATGGGAAGGGAAAGACAGACAAGGAGGAAAGCGTCGAAGATAGACGATATTGGAGTAATGACACGTGCATCGCGCGGTTGGTTTGTCAGGAATTCGGATTGAAGTTGAACTGGGCTTAATCCTAATCGGTCCTCTTGAGGCCAGAGCTAAACCTTATTGCTACTACTATCTACCGAATCTAAGCTAGCTCGTCTCGTTCCGTCCATCATATGTGACAATTAGGACACGACGTGACACCGGGGACTACAATGCAGGAATTGGGATTAAAAACGAGACATTTCAATGATCGAATAATTGATTGAAGGTGGTCTACGATGGTGTTGAATAGCAATAGACAAATATTTATAAATTACTGAACAATCGACGATATACTTTGACATCATCACCAATTGGCAACCAGGCATCACTCAATAGAAGGAAGAGTCAGTGTCCGACAAGAGTCAAGGCAGCAAGCACCCGTATATAGATAAACCCTCAACACACGTCAAACATGCCCGACCTTAATCCATACCAAACCTGCCCAAAGTACCCAGCCCGCCAAAATGTCATTTCCAATCAAAGAAATCCCCCTCCTAATCGACGGCAGCCACCTGGAAGCAGGCGGCCAAGTCCTCCGCAACGCCATCACCCTCTCAGCCCTAACCTCCCGCCCCATCAAAATCCACTCCATCCGCAAACACCGTCCTGACAGACAGGGTCTCAAGAACTCACATGTCCACACCATCGAATCCTTCGCGCAGATGAGCAATAGTTTAGTCCAGGGTACAAGCCGTGGATCGATGAGTCTCACATTCTATCCGCCGGAGAACATCAACAGCGGAATAAAGACGGAATATCGTGATATTAAAGCACAGGGTTCTGTGTTTTTGGTGTTTCAGGCGATATATCCATACCTTTTACAGGCCGGGGGGCTTGCGGGGGTAGAAGGGCCGATTTGTGTGGGGATTCGGGGGTGGACGAATTTAGAGGATGGGCCATCGCCGGAGTTTATTTCTCAAGTTTTTATACCGAATATGAAGAGGTTGGGGTATCCGGAGATGCAGATTGAGGTGATCGAGCGGCAGTGGTACAAGGGGTCACCCAAACCAGGGTCTGTGAAGTGTTTGATCAATCCTCTCCCTTCAACTAGAGATGCAGACGGAAAGGTTGATTGTCATTTCCCACCGCTCAATCTGGACCAGTATCAGCGGGGCCAAGTTACCAAGATCGATATCACCGTCCTCGCCCCAGACGACGAGGTATCCTGGTCGACCAACTTTCTCGGGGAGAAGAAAAAGCAGACTCTCCGCCAATATATCGAACAAGAAACCACCTCAAGACTCGTCCGACTAAAACTCCCGGAACATGTATACGACTTTAGGTCATCCATTAACATCCACACCTCCGAACGTACCTTTCACCGCACACATGTCTACATTCTAATCGTCGCACATACAGATACAGGCTTCCGGCTCTCATGCGACGTGTGTCACAAACCGAAGGGTTATATCTTCTCGCCCGATCCCAAAGACGAGGATAAACAGCGACATTCTTACATTAGAGACCTGCTCGATTCATGCGCTGTCAGGTTCGCCATGGAAATATATAATACCTTCCATGAGAAATATAAGCCTCGAGAGGGGACACACCGGTCCTGTGTGGACCAGAATATGCGTAATCAACTGGTCATTTTCGAGGCGCTGGGTCAGCTAAACCCTTCTCGGGAGAGCGAGGATGAAAAGAAAGATGAGAGAAAGAACAAGACAATTTTATCTCATTGGCGGTCGTTGAAGACTGCCCTGGCCTCGTGGAAGAAAAGGCCTGAGACTAAGACTAGAGAAGATGACCGATACTGGTGCCTGCACATGAAAAGTGCACGATGGGTCTGTGGGGAGGTTCTTGGTATTAAGCTTGCGTAGCTTAGTACCAGGCTCTATCGCAGGTCTCCAGCTTACCATTTTATTTGCTGTTGCAATGTATCTCATTCTGCATGTTCCTGAGCAAATAATCTCTGCCGCCCCTCCATTAAAAGTAGTTGATTATGTATATTTCAAATCGCGAGCAAATGGGAAGCCCGATACCCTTCAAACAATCCAATCGCCCAGAACCCCCAATTCTCAATACCAAGATCAAATCTCTCGGTTGAAGAATTAACAATTGAGACACCGATCCTGGTGGCCGTCTACCTGTCCTCTAGGCCCGGAGGAGGTCCTCACACTCCGCAAATACATCGAGCATGAAACTATCGTCAAGCTCCGTGAGGAGCTGAACCATATACCATCACATATAATCGACAAAGACGTCCCCATAATTCCCACTGTTCCGAAGCTACTCATCACCCCACACACGTCTACATTATGGTAGTAGGACATACGACGACGGGTTTCCGCATCGCGCGACAGCCTCCTCAATCTTGAGGTTTATTTCAGATTCAAGGAGGACAAGAAGGACCCTGGTGATTACAGGGATTACGAGAAGATTTTGACTCGGAATACCATTGAAAACAGCACATACTGCTTTTGCATGGGAACTATACGATGAGAGTATTAAAGAAGAAGACGGCTTGCATCAGCCATGCGTGGATCGGTCGATGCGGAATGAATTGGTTATTCTGGAAGCACTGGGCAAGTTTTATTCTTCCCAGGGCGAGGATAAGGATTGAGGATGGGAGTGAGAAAGAGAACGCGGAGAAACAGAGACCTTCGAGTACGGAGAATAGTCGGTGGTACTGGAGTCGGCATACGAATAGTGCACGGTGGGTTTGTGGGGAGGTTCTTGGGGTGGAACTGTGAACCCGCTTGTAGCATGGGACGCTCCATAGGGTGAATGCCCACGCTCTTTGTATTTGCTATTACGAAGTACAATTTGGGCGCATCCATCCCGTTTGTCTTTCCGGAAAACTACCATCCCACTCTCAGTCATAAGCAAGGAAAAAGCACTTATTACATCGCCAGCGTATCGCGTATATGCGACAGCCAACCTGAGCTCACCGTACCTCCTCCCTACAAGCGAACAAACATCCTACCCACGCCTGCACCTACTCCATCCAGTAACCATACCCATATTGATATCCATACCCAACGCTACCTGTGGCTGTGTCTCTCCGTCCCGCTCGGCTCGGTTAGCTGCACAGCCATCCCCATCCATCACCATCCCCATTGAAGCTAGCATGCACCGCCACGATCCATACACCCACCCACCATTAATAAAGCCGACCAATCACAGCCCCCGGAATTAAATTGAGCTGGCTGTGCGGGTTGTGGCTGTGGCGGCTTGTATGCCGGAATTGGTATACTGGTTGTTCATTCGGGGTCTCCGTTTATTTATCTGAGATTTTTAGGCGGTGAGGTGTGATCTGCAGGGCAATGGGAAAAGGTACCGGTTCAGGGACAGGTACGGGTCAGGTACAGACAAGTACAGGTACAATTGGCGTAAATGCAGAGACCCGGTGAATACGGAACCGCTGGGACAGGTGACACAGGAGAGGTGATGGTTTCGGATCTAAGTTTGATGTCTCACCTGGGTATACATGTCGCTTAGCCTTGTTTTGACGGGGTGAGTAGCTATGGGGTGCTAGTAGAGGAGTTGTGGTCTAGGGCCGAATAGTTATAGCCAGGTGCTATTCAGTGCAATAAGAATGTCAAAAGCGATTGTTTGAAAGATGCTGACATGTAGAGCTATAGCGATGGGGTATGGTGGCTTAACCACAGCAAATGCAACAAAAAAAGTGCGATAACAAGGATTAAACGAATGTCCATAGAATAGAACGGCATGCGCCACTGCTCGCCAGCAGCAGATTCAAACATCCAACCCCATGTACAGATATGAACCCGAGATTTTGCGATTCCCGACATCAATCGAGAATTCTTCTTTTCCCTCTCTTGTAATTTTTCTTTTCCCCTTAGAAGCACCGAACAACAGTGCAGGTCCCAGACCAAACCAAACCAAACCGAAAGAAGCAACCAAAATGAAAACCAGAGAATAGCCGCCCTGAAATATGTATAATGAATGACTGAAACGAATAAACTCCCGGCGATGCATCTCGGTGATAACTTAGTGAAATAGTGAATAATAGCGAAAGTAGTAGCGAAAAGCGAATAGTGAATAGAACTCATTAACGGAACAAGAACCACAACTCGGAAAATGGGCCCTAGCCTGTAGGATATCGGTTGGGTGTCGTTGTGTCCCGCCGGAAAAGAATCTCATCGACTCATTATTTTGTTGTTTATTCAAGGCGGGTTTGCCGGAATGGAGAGTCTCTCTCTGAGGGGAGAGATCTGCGGTAATCCCTGGATTGCGCGAAGGGGGATGAGAAGGCGGATGGGCGACGGAGTTTGAGGCTCTACATTTATTAGCATATTTTCATTTGGATAAGTGTAGGAATGATGCATACCACACAGTCAGCGCACTTTGCTCCATCGATGTTAACACGGCCACGGCATCCGCGGGGGTAGTTGGCGCAGGAGTACATGATGTGATGTAGGATTTGATAATAAGGAACGGATTAGATCGTAGATAGATATCGTCGTTGTTCCCGTCAAGGGAGCTTTTTTCGTTGCTTAGGGTTGGTTGATGGTATTAAAGGAGTGAAAGCGGTGGACAGTGAAAGAAGTTGAGAAAAAACACAGCCCAGATCAGTGTTTAAAAAAAAAAAAAAATGAAAAATGAAAAATAAGACCAAGCCGCAATAGGAGAAATGACGTCGGACTAGTAAATTGTATGGAGCGAGGCTGATGCTTGGATTTCTTGCAGATAATAAATTAACACCGCGAGGCTAGACTAGCAGTGGAAATGGGCCGACGAATGATAACTAGACCGACAGTTGTTGGACTTGAAGAAAGTAGACGACTGGCGTTGATATTCGGAGATCTGAGAATCAGAAGTAAAATAATAAAGGAATGACGGTGTCAAGGAACGACGTAGAACCAAGGGAAGGGAATGGTAATCGAGAAAGAAAAGACCGGAAGGGACCAGAGATTTATATCGACGGGGTCCGACAAGAACCCACCGAACGGGGATTCTAGAAGGAAGAAGCGGAATTCCAGGCCAAAGTCAAATCCCTTTCTCTACTACTACTATACTACTAACTAGTATTAGGCAGGAGAATTAGCAGAAAAGAAATTTCAGATTGGGATCCATCAATGCCGGCAGCCAGTGGGTATACAGAGACAGGCGGAGTCCGGGTCGAAACAACACAAATCACACCGGAATAATCGAATAATAATGCGAAATAATTATTATCAAATTAGCCGCTAAAAAAAATTATGGAATAATCGAAAAGGAAAAAAAAAAAAAAAAAAAAAAAAATCGGGCAAGAGTGACTGGCCGTTAGGCTAGGGGCACATCAATTTTTTCCCTTTTCTTCTCCTTTAGTGGAAACGCCGATGTTCCCGGAGCTCTGGATTGGTCGATTGAAAGAGATCCGGAAAGAAGATGTAAGTCTGTGTTGCTGTCTGCATGTCATGTTTGTTTCCTATAATCCCGAATGAATCTGAAATCTGAAATCTGAATCTGTACTGTATTCTGGACATCTTGTTTGATCCTGTCTTCGACTCCGGACACGTCGGATCAGCAACACCAGTTGATAATACTACCCGGCGCGTTGGATATCGACTGGGTCTGACTCCGGGATCGTATCGTAATGACTCGCAGCACATCAATCACACTTTCCCTTTCCCCCCTTGAAAAATAATCAAAAATTTCCCTCGCGATTCAATTGCCAATAGTCGCAGTCGCACCGGAGCCAGCGTGATCTGACATGGGACATGGGTCAAGGGAGAGAAAAGAGGAGATCAAATCCTGTCAAACTTCTTTTTTTTTTTTTTTTTTTCCTGTCCCGGGTTTGCTGGACGATCGAATACAGGATCCGGATCCGGAGTCTCTGGAATTCGGGGGATTCTCTAAGTAAGCACGGAATCACAGTAATTCTGGCGCTGTAGCAGTCGTACTCGTACAGTCCAACTGTTCCTCATCCCATGATCATAATCATAATCAAAATCCCATAGAACAAACAGGCAGTCCCACCTCCTATTCAGCAATGACCAGCAGTGACTCCATCCGTGGTTTCGGGTTGACAAAAGCCTAGCATTTGCCCACTTTCTCCTGAACAGCAAGCAAGCAAACGCCTCGCATGGGCCCGACGGTTTGTCGCACCATCAAAGTTTCAACCTCTTTCTGGAATTTCGCCCATTTCAGGAGTAGTTGCCCCTCTTTTTTTGTTTGTTTCCTTGTCCTCCGTCGGAAGGCGCGGGATTGGGGGGACTGAATCCAATCATTTCGGTTTATTCAACCGTCAATCATGATGCAATTGTACATGAGTGCTTCTCCATACTGCGGAGTATTCTTTGAGGTTGCTGCAGGAACAGTCTGGATATGGTTAGTACACCTTCATACCCTGCGCTGTACCTTCACTTTGTACTCCGACTTGAGTATACACAAATTGTATTCAAAGCTAGCTATTCCGTGTCTCAAAGTTTATTCAAGTCCTGTTGAGAAGACGCCGGTCGGTAACGACACATTACAACTGGCATCGTACAAGTCCGTCCTCCATTAACTGCAGGCCCAAGGTAACAAGAGGAAACGATCGTTATAGATGTACGGTAGCACCTTGCCTGAACTAGTTGGAGGTCCTGGCTTCGTGTCCCGACTTTCTTTCAACGTGCACAACGACTCTAATTACTGATTGTACAACATGCGGCTCAAATTGCTAGGGTCAATGTCAACTTACCAGATCCTGTTATTCGTCCACTTTGGAAGCAAAAAAAAAAACTTGAGTGTCTGCAATAATACACAAACACCTGTTGCGGTATACTCCCTTCTTCTCGTAGTATTGGTTCTTGCTGCGACTTGTACCAGCACCTGTTTCGGGGAACTGGAGCGGAAGAAGTACCATTCTCAAGCAGCATAGCACCAAGGCGTCAGTGAAGCTCCCGATACGTTCTTGTTTTTCATACTGTGAAGATAGGTCTCTGTCTCTGTGCTCTTTTAATCAAGATACTTGCTGGGTATCAGTACAGCGCTTGGAGTTTTCTCGGTGACTCAACCCTTTTCGACAAAGTCCGTTTTTCAGAATCAGACCTTCAAACCCGACGGACGGAGCGGGAGGATCCTCCTTGTCGAAGATAAAGGCTGTAGCATCTCTGACACTTGGTGGATACAATTTCGTTACCACGTCTGTCGAGGTATGTATTTCTTGGACGGAAAAGCGGCTATAAGGCAGAGTCCTAATTTGACTGCTTGGTTAGTACATCGCAGCTCTGCTTGACGCATGGAATGAGTACAACCAGAAGAATAACCTACATCAGAAGATGCAGTCAATCCACATTATGAACCATCCGGCATCTTTCTTCCATTCGCAGTCTCTGGCGCAAATAAGAAAGCACAGAATACCATCTTATGCGCAAACCAAAAGAGACCTCAGTCCAGGAAAGTCAAACCCTGAACTCGAGTACTGGTAAGAAGTAACAAAAGTTGCCTTTAAATCGCCAACACCATTAACAACTCTCGATCGTACAATGGGTCATTGGCTGTTCTCCGGATCTGGTTCTTTGAAATCGAATGACTTGAGTATCCGGTAAAGATGCAAGGCTGCTCGCTAGAGTATCATGGTTGCGGCAGGCAGAAGGGTGGTTGAAGAAGAAGAGGGGGTATGAGGACTTGGCTGAGTTCTATGTAATATGCTTGGGCATCTGTATATTCATTCACTCAAGAATACTACGGTATTATTCTATGATTATTCACTGGAGGGATAATAGAGATTATGGCATGATGTGATGTACTCGACTCAAGAACTCAAGAATAATCATTTTATGCAAACCGTCCTAATTTTGAATATCCCCGAATCATACCATAACCACCTTAATTTAATATACCTGAATTAAGCTAAACGAACTTCTACTCTCCGACGTTTCGATAAACGAGTCCGAACTAACTATATATCCCAGGATCATCTAATTAGCTGCGCTATCAAATCAAAAATAAACACGACCACCACGACCATAAACCCAAACCAGCTAGCCAGATCCACAATAACCATCTCAAGATTAAGTCCTGGTCCGTCCGGTCGCAATGATAGATGATACACTCGGTGATTTTTGTGCCATGTTTTTGGCAGTCGGAGGTTTTTGGGTGGTGTTTCAGTGCGGCAGGCTAGGTTTCATGACCCTTGAGGATGTTCAACAATTGTTCATGGGTGATGTTATTTGTTGGTTTTTTTTTTTTTTTTTTTTTTTTTTTTTTTTTTTTTTTTGAAGTTGCCAAGGGTAAAGGTTGTTAGAGGTTATTGATGAGGGGGATAATGGATTCATATAGGTGGGGGAGATATCGCAATTTGGATTTTGAATTCGGAATTCGGTAGAGTCCTTCGTTCATTTCTGCGCTTATAGAACGATTCCATGCCTCAAAGTAATTTGTACGATTCGTATTCTGACCGAAGAGTGGAAGCGTTTGATCCATGTTACGGATTCGAGAACCCTTAAAAGACTTCGAGAAATTTCACGCATAAGGCATGATCGGACCACACCGGACAAGGTTCCATGGATTGGACTGAAAATCCGGGGTCTGCTTATTCGCACCCAAATATAGATCATATCCGATCGGCATAAGACATGTATGTCTTGCATGAAATGTCCAGGATCATTTTCTGAAACACCCAGCAATCTTAGCTATACAGCATCGATCCAAGCACGAGCCATACTCCAAACAGTCCAAGCAGTGTCGCAAGCATGTACCCATTTCCTTCCCAGGTCCATCCAGCGTATGCCAAGTAGCCGACCAGGAGCTCCTTAGTCCTTGCGGCATCTCGCTTAGATTTCCATTCGGGATCAACCGAAAACGGAGCAATGAGTCGTACGTCGTTCGTATGGTCAACATCTCTGGGGACTTGGATCGCATTCAGCGGGACAGAAACAGAGAGCGCAACCGGACGGTGGTCGGATGTCGGGAAGAGAGGTAATGCGTCGTACTTATGAGGCTGGAGATTGCGACTCCCCTTCATCCACGACGGTGTATCCAAGTATAAAATACGGTCGCACCAGCTGGGCCATCGGCTACTCGTCCAGATCTGTTCCTGCAGCTTCGGGTCTCCGCTGTATAACGCCTCGCGCGCGGTTTTGCGGGCTGCTGATGTATACTTGTACGTCGGTGGAAAGGTAATGGGGGCCTCCGACATACCCTGGAAGGATCTAGCCTTGCGCATTTCTCGCGTAAGCTGGTCATCCTTCAATAGCTGCGAATAGTGTTGGGGACTGGAAGGATCTGCGTTGAATCGAGGGAATCGGACATGGTCTCCTTGGAGTGGGCTGGTGTTGGATGTGCGGTAATTCAAGTCCCCGCCAAGGAAGAGGTAGGTCGTAGGAATGAAGACTCCGACTTCGTTGCCGGTTCTCTCAGAGCTCGACCCTTGAAGCAGAGCAGCGCTTTCTTCGGAATCGCCTTCAGCTTCCACATTTCTCTGCTTCGCATCCTGTTCTCGGGAGAACACCAGACGTTCCACGATACTTCTCCAATCCCGGTTCCGCTGCTCCCAAGCCCATTCCATCGGGGCCAAATGTGCCGCAACGAAAGTCAAATCCACCGTATTGCCGGGCTGCCCATCTGCAGAGTATCCCAACCGCGCACCAACCGCACCTTTGTTCCCCATCTGCTGGAATCCAAAACCAACACGGGCAGAGTCAATCCATGACACCTTATCGACAACATCTGAGCGAGCAAAGACAAGAAGTCCCGTCATGCCGGAGTTGTCCCGCACCAGAATGTCATAGCTCGTACCATCCCACCGTTGCGACACCGCTTGGTCGATCACACGGCGGAAAGCATTGAAGTAGGTATCCAGGTATGAACCCCCGAGAAAGGCATAAGCGATAGGAGCGATCTCTTGGAGGCTGAGCACGATCAATTCGGGGGGTGTGAGGGAATCGTCGGTTGAAGTGTCGGTGTGGGGTAGAGCGTCGAAGAAATGCGATGCGAATAGATCGATGTCGACGGGAGTTCGCGCGCAGTTGAAGGTGAGCATGTAAAGGCTGAGAGAGTCCATTGTGACTGTTGCGATGGTACTATCGCTTGTTCATGAGATGTAGAAATCAAGAGAAAAGAGAGCGAGCGAGTGGGAGAGAAATGGGAGAAGTCGAGTTCAGCTGATGACGTCCTTGGGCCCACGTGTCCCGGCGATCTTGAGATCTGATGAGGATCTGTGCGGCACACTTGTTAGCAGTATGGATTGGTTTTTATTCTTCGTTCAATCCGACAGTTAAGTAGAATGGCAAAAGAGATCAAATCATGCAGAATACAAGTTCTGTAGTAGTTTGGGTAAGAGGTGCAGGGAAAAAAAAAAAAAAAAACAATAAGATAAATAAAAAATTAAAAAAAACAATGCATCGTCCGTGAATCGAACACGGGCCTCGTCGATGGCAACGACGAATTCTACCACTAGACCAACGATGCTGTAATAGACCATTCGGCTATCTGACTTCTTGTGATTTTTTTCCCTTTTAGTGACTTATCATTATTTCTATCAGTACTAGTGATATGCATGCTCAATGCTGTCCTGTGCTCATACTACTGCTGAAGAGCATGTTCTACGGAGTACACTGTCTATAATGAAGAAAATAATGATGTTTCTGCACAATACACAGCGTCCATGGGCCACTGACCCCGTACCAGCCGGCAAACTCCTTCCGCATAGCCGAGTCATCTTATCTGATCCCCCACCTGACATGGTGTGGGTCCCAGTCCCTGGTTTTCCGAAATGCCACTCTTTTCCTACAAATACCGTTGATTTCCTTGTGAGGGAAGTTTGTCTTGCAATGTATTAGTACGACTGGTTCTATCCACGAATACAGGATGGATACTTTTGACGACACAAGACCAGATACGAGACCAGGACAACATGCGGGATTCTCCGAGACTTCACCCTTGATCGAGCACGGACTCGACTCGAATAAGCACCATGACCAATATTATGAACCAGAGAGCAACACAAATCTACCCGGGACCAGCGCACCAGGTGCTACCCGTATCGAGTCTTTTTCCTCCAGAATTTCGGCGGTAGAGCAGGGATATATATTGACGGGCATCCTCATCATCGGTTGGTCCTATGGTTTGGATGGTCTCCTGCGGTCTACATACCAATCATACGCCGCATCCAGTTTTGGAGTGCACACGCTATTATCGACGATCAATGTCCTGAGGAGTGTGATCGCAGCTGCTGTTTATCCACCGGCAGCCAAATTAGCCGATGTCTTCGGCCGGTTCGAGCTCATAGCGGTGTCGGTTGCATTTTATATCGTCGGGACTGTTATTGAGAGTACAGCGTCGTCGATCCAAGCGTTTATTGCTGGAGCAATACTCTATCAAACAGGGTATACATGCATTATCCTGCTCGTTGAGGTAATCATAGCCGACATCACGTCTATGCGCTCCCGTGTCTTCTTCAGCTATGTTCCTGCGATACCGTTTTTATTCAATACATGGCTCAGTGGGAGTCTTGCTTCCGCAGCCTTGAAAGTTACAGACTGGCGATGGGGGATTGGAATGTGGGCTCCTATTTATGCCGTTTCCGCGACTCCGTTGCTTGTTGGGCTATACAGGACGAGTCTCTATGGCAAGAACAGTGGTGATAGCCATGAAAGTCACCGGACGACACTCCGCGCAAAAGCCGTCGAGATCTACCATCAGCTCGACATCATCGGTATCAGTCTCATGATGGCTGTGTTGATCCTCATCCTGACACCCCTCACCCTAGCTGAAGGACAACTCTCCCAATGGCGTAGTCCCAGCATCATCACCCCATTGATCCTCGGCTGCTTATGCATACCAGTCTTTATCTACTGGGAGACACACGGCGCCAGACACCCCTTTATCCCGGGCTACCTCCTCAAGGACCGCGGCGTAGGAACCGCTCTCGCCGTACGCTGTCTGCTCAACATCGCCTGGGCCGTTCAAGGGAACTACCTCTACACAGTACTTATCGTGGCATTCAACTTCTCCGTCTCAACATCAACACAAGTCTCCTCATTCTTCACTTTCTTCGGCGTCATCAGCGGATTAATCATAGGCGTGGTTATCTTCCGCGTGCGAAGATTAAAATACTTCATCGTCACCGGAACCATCCTCTTCCTGATTTCTTTTGTTCTCTTGATTAGATTTAACAGCGGCACTTCCCACAGCGCAGCAACCGGAATGCTCAGCGCACAAGTCCTATTGGGTCTCGCAGCGGGTTTCTGCGCATACCCGACACAAGCCTCAATCCAAGCAACAACAAGTCATAAACACGTCTCCGCGTTAACAGGTCTCTACCTCGCGTCTTTCAACATTGGCAACGCACTCGGAACATGCCTCTCAGGTGTAATTTGGTCCGAGAATCTCCTTCGAACGCTCGAATCGAACCTAAGCTTTCAGTCCAATGAAACTCTCGCGCACGAAATCTACAAGTCTCCGTTCGAGGTTGTACCGGACTACCCCGTTGGTACCGAGATACGGTCTGCTATTATTGATAGTTATGGACATGTGGAAAGGATGCTTTGTATTGCGGGGGTTTGTTTGTGTGTGCCGATGATTGGATTTGCGTGCGCGATGATGGATCCAAGGTTGTCGAGTGGGCAGAGTCAGCCGGAGGCTGAGAGGGAGGAGTGATTTTGGCGGTTTGGATATGAATAATTATGATTTATGATTGTTGCATGTTAGATTGGTATACAAGAATCGATTTTAAGATACATCTGATGTTTGGTCTATGTACAGCCTCTGTCTGTTTCTGTACGTACTTCGCTGTCACTCCTTTTGTTCATACCCAGATTGATAACACCAAAGGCGTCAATCCCATCCTGTCGAAATGATACACAACCACCACCAACACTCTCAAGCCCGCCACTCCTCATCATCAACCCTTGTTCTCTTCCCATCCCTCCCCGCAAAACAAACCAACATCCCCAAATCATAAATCCCCTTCAACCCCCCGGCAACACAAAATGCCACCCCAAGATGCCCCTTCGCCCCCAAAACCCCCGTAATAAACGGCGCCACACTCTGACTCGCCGTCTTCACCACATTAACAGCACCCATAATCGCCGTGCGTTTATCAGCCGGTAACGCGATCGCCAGGAACGCGGAGCGAGGGGCGACGTCCATGCTTTGCGTTGAGGCGCGGAGGATGAGGAATGTTAGGGATGGGGGGAGGGTGGAGGGGAGGGGGATTAGGGAGAGGAAGATGGCGGAGGGGAGGTGGGTGAATACCATTGTCTGTTTCCTTTGTTAGTGATGGATTGGGGTGGGGAAGGGGAGGGGGGGTACCTTGACGTTGCCGATGCGTTTGGCGATGGAGGATGCGACCAGCATTGAGATTGAGCAGATGATGCTGGTTGTGAAGAAGATGGAGGCGAGATTGCCTTCGGGGAGGGAGAATTTGTTGCGGAAGAAGTATGTCATCCAGGACCTGCATGTTGTTAGTATAGTTCAGAGGGAGGGGTTCGATAACGTACATCGATGCAAGTCCGGAAGCAAACGAGTCCAGGGCAAACAGGACGAATAGCTTGGTGATCAACGGAATAAGATCCTTGTCAAGAGAGATACGGAACCAACTCTTCTTCGGAGGGTTCTCATGCTGCGCCTGAACGGCAGACGTAGACTGCTCTGCTAGCAGAGGCTGCGTCTCATCAACACCCTGCTCCTCCTCAGGAGCCTGTCTAGCAACAGCCTCAACATCCCCACTCAACCCCAACGTAAAGACAAGCTTCACACCACCAATCGCAGCATACATAAAGAAAACCACCCGACAAGCCGCAATAAACTCCCACCCCCTGAGCTCCTGCAGTAAATGAACAGCCCATCCACAAGTCATAATCCCCAGCGCCGTGCCACCCGTACCCAGTAGTGAGTACCACGCGAAGATATCAGGGAGGACTTCGTCGGGGGTTAAATGCGCGAGGGTTGATTCTTCGACTGCGCGGAAGGGGCCGATTTCGTTTCCACTGTCGCGATTTAACCACTGCCCTCGTTCGAGATACTTTTAGTTGAAGGGAATGAATGCTCACCTCGGACTAATAACCCCAAAAACCGCTGCTAGCAAAAGAATCCAAAACTCCCCAAATAACCCAAAAACAACCCCACTACCCGCCATCAAACCCGACCCAAGAATCAGAACAGCCTTGCGCCCCATCCTATCCGCGAAAAGCGTCAGGAAAAAGCTGATCACCACATCCCCGACCAGAGTCAGTGTCATGAACAACCCAATCCGGTCATCGGAAATACCCAGGGCAGACAGATAAGACGCTAGAATCAGAGTTGAACCACCATAGGCGAAAAGCCGGACGAAGCGCTGCGCAATGAGCAGTTTGACATCGGATGAGGATTGGAAGACGGTGAGGAGGCCGAGTTCGCGGAGGATATGCGTGAAGTAGGAACCCCGGCGGGATTCCGGCGCGTTTGGGGACATGCTTTGGGATGGTTGAAGGTGTTGCTTCTTTTTCTCTCTCTCTCTTTTTTTTTTTTTACGTGGGTGTTTATTCCTTTAAATGAATTTGAAGTGATTGGCATTTATGCCTAGGCAGCAGTTCAATAATTCCGCGGCTTCGGTGAAAGATGGATTTTTCTCCGAGTGTTGATCTCCGGGAATCTAGAATCTCCGATGGATCGGGTCGGGGTTGCTCTATTTCAGCCCTACGCCTTGGCAGGCTATGTATGATTTTAGAACAACTAGTCATACATACATGATGTTCGACATTGACTAGTTCTAGTCACGATGCAGGGGCATATGGTTAGTCATTCCATCATTGTTACGGACATAGGGCGGAATGCATGTATATTAGACAAGCACCGAAGGTCTACTGGCACTAGGCCGAAGTAGTAATAGTGCGGTCGTAACCCGTTTAGGTACAGGGCCGCCCGGAGCGGGCACGTGACCCCGACATTCCTTAAGGAGACCGCTGGGCGAACGTTAGAGAGACCAGCGTTCAGTCTAATCACCAATGGGACTGGCTATTACTACCGAAGTTGTTACATACATATACTACCTCCATATACACTCCATCACGCTTCTACCATAGTTTACCCCCGCCGGGCGGACGACCAGTTTAACAATCATCTAATAATCAAGTATTCAATCGGGTATCTAGGGGCGATATGCAAACATTCAGGGGCCATATAAGCGACCAGAGGCTATGGGCGATTGAGGAAGATATGCGTGGGGAAATAGTCATCTACTAGACAAGGAATAAGGGTGTTGAATTAGGAATGTACCCAATAAACTTCCACTAGCTAGGTTTCTCGATGTTGTGGAGGAAGAACAAGACGAAGACGATGAAGACGACAACAATAATGACGATCCCAATGAAGACAGCGAGGAACAGAGTATAGAAGAAAAGACTCATATTTTCTCCTTGCTGGCCGATCAGGAGTTGGACTCCTGCCTGAGGTCATGGCAGTGATTCAAGTGACCGGAGAACTGGAAGATTGCCGGGCAATTCGCTCTTAGAACGGTGGGCTTCTAGCCCCTTTGCCAGGATGATGGAGAGCCTCAAAATTGATATCCAGGTATTTTCTTGTGGCTCAAGATGGCTGAGCTCCTGCCTACTATGTATCCAACTATGGTTGTTCTTCAGATACGTTTCGACTATCAAATACTTCATGCTCCCTACACACCGTGCCTGAGTATATTGCATTGCTAGCATAGGGTGTGAAAAACACGTCCGCTCAGCCGTAATTAAGCCACATGTGATAGTCAATAGTTATTCTTGCCTTTTTCTCATTGCCACTCTAAGGGTGATGGGTGGGTGAGATCTAGTTGGGTGCAGGTGATTGATAATGTCACATTCGACATGTTGAGCTTATCTTATCTCTTATCTTATCAATTGACGCCATTTTCCCTAGGAATAGCGATATAGGCGAGTCTCTCATCAACCATTCTCATATTCATACGACTGTAGCGGACTAGAAATGCCACCCGATAGAGGTCGGGCCTCGCGTGCCTGTGACTCTTGCAGAAAGCAAAAGACACGATGTTACGAATCTGGGGTACCCGGAAGACCGTGTTTGAGATGTGAACGGCTTCGCCAGCGGTGTTCGTTTGTCCAGACTCCACCGCGGGGCCTCGAAGTTGCAAACAGTGATACCGACGCCAGGTTTGTGGACCTTTTTGTCTATGCTGAGGATCCTGAGCTAAACTGGCCTAGATTAGCTCGGCTCGAACAAACCCTCGGTGCTCTGCTAGAGCGACTGGGAGAGGACTCAACTAGTATAACAAAACCGACAACCCATCCCAGCGCTAGGATTCCAGTAGTTGCACCATCTTCAAATGACACAGGGCCATCATCAAAACCAGACCACCCATCAACTCCTCCCGTCATGGTCATTCGAGATCTTGCATCGGATATCGGAGTCAAGTCACTTGATACCAGTTCCCAGGTCGCCGGACTGGACGGGTTAATAGCGCCTGATCTAGCATTATCACTCTTCGCCATGTGAGTTCGACAATAGGTAACTTGGAGACTTGGAACTAAGCCACACAGCTTCCTAGAACACTATGGCCGATGGGTCCTGTTAGACCCGGAAGCCGACCCTAAAGCTTTACTCGGAAGAGTCAGTCGGTCCCCGTTGCTCCTATGTGCCTGCTTCTTAATCGCTGTCCGACATACGACTGAGGCTCTGGCGACCAGCCTCGCCCCGAAGCTCTACCAATGTGCCCGGTCGCTGATTTCGGCTGCCCTGCTGGTCGCGCCCCAGCCGATCGAGTTCTTCCAGGCGGCCCTCGTGCTCTCCATGTGGTCGACAACCGTGGGACAAGTGCCGCTGAGCATTGACAGTTGGCTCTTAAGTGGGTTTTCCCTGCAGCACAGCCAGTCCAGCCCACTGTTCGATCCGGTCAATAATGCTGGACCGACCACACGGCTCTCGAAAACAACCCTTGACGACTGGTGTCTGTGGAATCATTTATGTCTGGTGCATCTTCACTACTGCGTTGGCACGAGCCGTAAGTCTATGTTGCATGCCTCCCAGATAGCACGCTGTCGAGCAATCCTCGGCTCTGACCATGCCACAAACTACGAGTTGCGCATGGTAGCGGAGATATATCTCTACTGGACTGTTTATGAGAACATCTCCAGTGATGTCATCGATCTATTGAAGTCCATCGCTCATTTGCAAGGCTGGAAGAAAGAATGGCAATTCGTCTTGTGTATGTCACCAACCCACAATAAGACCTATAAAACCAATACTAACAATGTAGTACAACCACGCGCGCAATTCCTCCTCATGGGCTTTCACTTCGCCCATCTCCTTCTCTACGACCAGTCCCTCAAAACAAAAACCGCCAGAGCCCGTGAATCTCTGCTTTCGGAGATGGTCCGCCACTCCACTCATATAATCCACCTGGCAATCGACACAACCGATGAGCGAACTCGCCATCTGAGCGACCACATCTACCACATGATCACCTTCGCTGCGATTATAATCTGCCGCTTGTTAAACGGATACGCGGAGCAGCTGTCCCCGAGTCATAACATCGCTGAACTGGATTCGTTGATCCTCAATCTGGTGGCATGGCTCCAATCTATTGGACTTCCCTGCCATGCTGCACATACCCTAGGGGATATTATTGCGAAGGTCCATCAGAAGGTGCGACCTGGAGCGGAGCAACCAGAGTGTCCCGAACAGAACGATAATTGGCTGGGAGGGGACCTGTTGAGTTACTTTCCGGAGTTTCTGGGGGTGGAGCCTACAGCGGATGGGAACTGGGATTTGTTACCGAGTTGGGGACTAAGCCCTTGAAGCTTTCCATACCTGTTGGAGAGCATGAGTATGAGAAACATATTCATTTGGCCTGGAGATAAGAAGACAAACGATGTGACTCTAGACACGAAAGTCCTAACGCGGAATATGTAAATCCAAAGTGACAGTTAATTTGATCATTCGAAGGAGGACATTCAGCCTGCCTTCAACCACGGTACCTCCTCCGGTCGATACTTGTACGCCCGGAAGATGGCATTACTCTGATACGCAAAGCCCATCTGCTCCATCTCGTGCAATTCCTCCTCCGCCATGACGCCTTTATAATCATTCAACTGCGGCACAACAAACTCCCATACTGTCGCCCCCGTCTCCGTGACCTCGAGTATCCGGCCCGTGGCAGCCTCACACAGAAGTACATTCCCATTCGCCAGCTTCTGCGCGGATCCCATGAACGGCGTGAAAAAGCCGATCCCGCCCGTGCTGCGGTCTTTGTACTCCCAAATAATCTCCTTAGTCGCGCGAGAGACGATGATCGCCCGTGAAAACGGCACCGCGATGCCAGGCCGGTAGACCCCATTGTCGAAGATCAGGATATCGCCCGAGGAGAGCTCCTGCGCGCAGTGCTGCTGGCTGACGACTGGCGGGGCCAAATGCCAGAGGATCTGGCCCGTCTGGCGGCTGATAATAATGACCCCTGATGTGCTGCGCAGAGAGGCGACAATGTTTCCCGCGGAATCAAACGAAACGCTGTTAATCAGCGGCCAGTGCTCACGCGGATAGTCCGCGAGGAGAGGAAAGCGCTGCGGATCCAGATGGTCGATCGCGCGCCATGACCACAGCAGCTTTGCGCCACCTGTCCCGCCGCTCTCAAAGTCCGCTGCTGACGACCGAGTTGATGTACTCCACGGATCGACCAGCTTGATACAGTCTGCGTACATCGTGTCGCCCGGTGCTTCGCTCCCGGGTATACCGCCCTGCGCGCGCGCGGCCTCGTCCGCTGTCAGCGGCTCTAGTGTCGTATACAGCAGATTCCCGTCGTCGAGGTGGTTCTGGTCGTGATGGGCCCGTGGGTCTTGGTATTCCCGCAGTATCTCCCCGCTGGGAGACACCTGCATCATAACCCCGCCGCGGTACTTTGCCCACATCGGGAACAGTTTCGGCGGGTCTGGGTGCACCCCGTTGTAGGCTAGGTTGCCGTCAGGTAGGATCCGTGCGTGGCGGCCTGCACGGTAGGGGAGGGTCCATTTGTGGAGTTCTTCGCCGGATGTCGAGACGAGGTGCGCGGTATTAGAGGTGAGTGGTGTGTATACCACGTAGCCGGGGGAGACGCGGTCAGGGTCGACGCCTTGGAGGGCGAGGCCGCGGCGGCGAAGGGTGTGTTGTTCCATATTGCTTTATGTATTCGGGTGAGAATCAAATTGAAACGACCCAGTGAGTGGACAGAAAAAATATTTTCAGGGGAATAACGTGGGTTAAATATCCGAGCGGAATTCGAAAATATCGTGCCCTAATCCAATCGACCGGCATGCCGCGGCATCTCCGCGGTAAGATAGGATTCAAACCACGATAAAGCACGCCATAGATATGAGACCAGATATGCAGTGATGGTGTTATCGGTATACCGCGGAGACTCTTGTATATCAGTTCATGAAAATATGGGGTCCTCTCTGCTTGTGTCGGTTATTTTTGTCGCCCACAATGGAGTTAGCCTTGACACACCCGGAACCCCCTCAGAAGAGCGTATCGGCCTTCGACACATCCGAAGAAACGGAATCATCATGGATGCAGATGCTTTCGATCGAAACAGGGGGAATTCAGCGGGTGACAGATGAGGAGCGGCAAGTGAATACGACTAAGTTTTGGAATGCGTGCACTTTCTGGTATGATGCCCTGTTGATAACTGAGTTATGGGTTATTAATGTGACAGGCTGAGTGCGAATATGGCCGTTGCGACACTCAACACTGGGGTACTCGGTGGCTCCATGGGCCTGTCCTTCTGGGACAGCTTCATTGTGATCCTGATCGTGAATCTCTTCAGTGATCTTCTTCCTGCCTGGACAGCAGCATTTGGCTTGACGGGGCTGCGCATGACCACTTTTTCGTATGTTAGACCACCCCCCCTGATATCACACCATGTTGACAATAGGATGTAGACGATACTCCTTCGGATACTGGGGTAACCTCCTCGTCGTGGTCTTCTCCATGATCGCCACGACCGGCTGGAACGCCATAAACAGCACCTCCGGCGCCATGGTGCTCAATGCCGTCTGGGACGGAAAATGCCCAACCTGGGCTGGCGTCATCATCATCTGCACGACCGTCTGGCTCGTCTGTATCCTCGGTATTACTTGGATCCACCACCTAGACAGCGTCATTTGGATCCCGATGCTGGTCGTCTGGTGTGTTGCTGCAGGCACCGGTGCAAAGCACTTCACCGCTGCAGAGGTGAAAGAATTTGCTACGCACGAGGACCACGCAGCTGCCATTCTGTCTTTCATGGCTGTCATCTTCTCCTTCTCTGTCTCGTGGGTCAACTGTGCTGCAGACTACAACGTGCGCATGCCGGTGGATACGCCGCGATGGAAGATTTTCGGCGCCACGTACGTGGGGATATTCGTGCCGTCGGTCCTCGTACAGAGCCTTGGAGCTGCATTGTACACTGGCACTATCACCGGGGCTGGGTGGCAGCCAGCGTATCATGAGGCCGGCGTGGGAGGGCTTTTGAAGATGGCGTTGGAGCCCGCTGGAGGGTTCGGCAAGTTCCTAATGGTCTTGGGGGCGCTGAGTGCTGTCCCGGTATATACCCCTTTTTCTATATTCACTCAATTACGTATAACCTGGACGACTTAGCTAACATAGCCCAAAAGAACAACATCCCAAACAACTACTCATTCGCTCTGCACGCGCAGAACTTCGGTCCCTGGGCCCTCCGCGTCCCACGAATCGTTCTCGTTACCTTCGGATTTATCGCCGCGGTGATAGTCGGCTGCTGCGCCGCCGTCTACTTCCGTGACACACTGCAGACCTTCCTGAGTGTCATCGGCTACTGGACCGTAATCCACATCACTGTTGTCGTGATGGAACATGTCTTTTTCCGCCATGGCTCGGCTGGCTATGACTTGGATGCTTGGAACGATCCGAAGAAGTTGCCGTTTGGGTGGGCGGCTATCGGGTCTTTCCTGGGAGGATTCGTGGGCGCTGCGCTGGGGATGAAGGTTGCGTGGTATGTTGGGCCGGTGGCGGGGTTGATTGGGAGCGGTGCAAATTTGGGACATGAGTTGACTTTTGGGATGTGTGCTGTGGTGTTTGGGGGGTTGAGGTGGTTGGAGAGGAGATGGGGTGAGAGATGAGATTTGGTTTTATATTGAGGGATTGGTGGCAGCTTTCTGGTTAGTCTTTTTCTAGCCGACTCAGGTGTGGTTGCGAATTGCACACACTAGATAAATCAGTGCTGGCAGGTCCTGCTCTCCTCCTTTCTTTCCCTATGTTAGTATTTCATCAGATAGTCTACCAATAGATTACTATTGCATGAGACTGTCACACAATGCAATGTTCTTATTTCACGAACAAAATAATATGGCTTAGGTCCAGCAAGTGAAATCATATCTGAATGAATTTGAAGCCATAACATTACCATACCATTTGGACTAGGGATTTCTCGCATGGGACATATGATATGTGAAGCCCGAAGCAACCAACTAAATTAGTGATCCAGAAACTCAGCTGGTTTGACGCAGAAGTGAGCAAGCCTGACAATATGCACAAGGACAAAGGAAAGAAGGACCCAAAAATAAAAATAAATAAAATAAAAATAAGAAGAAAGAAAAATACGAAGGAGAAAAAAAAGTCGTTGACGTCGTATCATGTACAGCTTTTGTCTTCCAACACAACTTATGGCAAGTGGCGCTTGAACTCATGCCAGCGCTCACTGATTGATGATCTTCTCCGAGGCATCTCTTCACTCCCCATGGAGTTTTGGGAGTCTCGGGAGTCTCGGGAGTCTCGACGTGGCTCCTCGAAAAGGTGCTCGGCAGAACTAGGTACTGAGTCAGGTTCACCTGAAGAGGCAGACTCTCGTCTCTTTCGTTCATGGTACCGCCGGGCAGCGGCTTGCAGGCTGGTTTCGCCAGGGTTGATCAGGCCTCCCGGAGGGAGACCTATAGCAGGAGTATTGGGGTAAATGCCAGGCATGTTTGATCGATTAATGCATGGATTGTTATATGCAGAAGAGGGTCATGAGGTATGTGGCGAGGAGGTTTCGGTAATATATATATGTCAATGTCGGGCCAGAGTAGCTTAACCATGGTTCGCTAGTTACTTCCGAAACCATGGTTGGGCAATCGCTTTCATGACGATGCTATTGCCGTGGCTTCAGTCATGTAGATAACTATGCCATACGAGGCTTTATTGATATTTTCGCGCTAATGCACCCCATGGATTATTTACGATGTAGGGGGCGCAGCACAAAGGGAGCTCGTATAAATATTAAGCTCCGGAGGCGAAGCTTCAGTAGATCCGGCCATGGATGACTATCAAGAATGACCAACAGGAAGAAACAACATACTATTATTATGTTATTATACAATACAACTAAACAGAGAAATCAAATACCCGAATCAATGCATATCCCACCCACGTCACAAAACAGCCCCCAATATCAAGTCCCATCAAGAGTCTCAGTCAATACCTAGTGACAGACAATAAATCCATGAGACAACTCCACCACTTTACCATCGGCCAACGACACCCAAGTCTGTCTCGCGTTCAACGTTGCATCCACATGCGGATGCGCTTGCACAATCTTGCACACAGTGTCCTGATCGAACTGATTGAGCTGGGCGCTCGAGGCGGAAACAACACCTTCTGCAGCCACAGCAGTATGGCCCCAGAGGGCTGAGATGGGGTGGGGCGAGTTGTCAGTTGGGATTTTGACATTGGCGTGGGCGCCAGACTGTTCATTGGCGAGTTGGACTGTCACCGTCTCAACGGGAGGTAAAGCCGCCACACCACTGGCCAAGATGCCCAGAGTGAGAGAGATTCCGCTCAAGAACTTCATTTCGGAGTTGGAATGAGAATAATGGAGCTTTGAATTGTAGATTTAAAGTGATCAGGAGATGGAAAGTGGATTGGGAATGAGTGACAAGAATTTTCTAGCCATGATTTCTGCTGCCATATATACCTTTTTCTCCTCTAAGAAGACTCCATACACTACGTCTATAGCAGTTCTCAACATCATTGTGTCATTTGGAGTTTTCCAAGGAGCTCATGAGGTCAATCATGTCCGCTTGCGGATATAGTTTGCTGTCAGGCTCGGGTAGAATCAAACCTTCCCGTTATACGAAAACTTGACATCAAGCAACACGAGCGCACTGGCAACCCAATTGGCTCGTATTTTGACGGCATTAAATACTAGGGCACTTTCTAACGGGCTAGACTAATTACCAGCCGATCTGGAACCATATCGATCGGAACATTCTAACTTGCAAGGTTTGAGTGATCAAATAAGCGGTTAAGAATTTTCGGGACGTCATTGAAGTTGCAAGTTTTTACAATTGACTCCATTTGGAATCCAATAGTACGCTCTCCGGAAAGCAAGATGGCCGTGGCCCTATGTCAAAGACAAATTCGAAACATACAGATCCTCGAGCTCAGCTCGCAGGAAATGCATGACAATGTCATTTCGCGATTTTGTGCCTTAGGTCCAAAAACCATGGACGACGAAAAAGCTCTCTCGCTACCTCCCAGCTTGCAACCAACAAAATTGCAGAAAGCCACTCTCCATCTCCATCACCCATGGTTTGACATAATCCCAATGGCAAAAATGCGCGATCATCTTATCAGCGCCGGTGAAACCTTTGATGACAGACAGCTTTGCCGTGCCTTACGAGGGCTGCAGAGTGACCGACCTGGCAACACCGGTGTGATGGTTTGGCTTGATTCGTGCGATCCAACCGGATGGGAATTGACGGAAAGTTTTGCTCGGGACTGGGGCTGGACGATTGCACACTGCTACTCTTTGTTTGAGTCGACTAACCATTGGATGTCCCTCCGAGGGGAGAGGCTTCTGCTCTGTACACGGACAGGAAGAGTCCTCCATTAAGAGGCCTCTAGTTAGCTAGTAGAGCAGAATATATAAATTAGATCAAAGACATTTATTAATGTTGACAGTAAGTCAAAATCGTCTGCTTTCTGAAAAACCCTTTCCATGCTCTTTCGACCAGTGAGACGCCGCACTGCAATGTCCATCTGTGCAGCTGAAATGCAAGCAAAGGAATGACATTGCCAATCTACGGATTACCGGGGGATTATTGCAATGATTCTGATATTCAATATTCAAAAAGAACAGCATCGGGCAAACGAGAGAATGAGGCTGTGTACCAACCTCCTTAATTGTGAGGTGGCATCCATCTATTATGCCCCGCACACCAATTGTCGAAAAATATAAATGAAAAAAAAAAAAAAAAAAAAAGCTGCCATGTTGAATAAAAACTCAACTATATATACACGGATCCTAAATGAATCTCCTGGATCTCCCTGACGAACTCCTCCTAAGCATAGGAGAACATGTCACCCCCGAGAGTGACCTGAACAGTCTCCACCAGGCCAATCATCGATTATATCGCATTTTCAATGAATATCGATACAAATACAATGCCAAACACCACGAAGGCCATGCCCTCTACTGGGCAGCGCGACATGGAAATGCCACTGCAGCCCGCAAGTCAGTCATGGCCGGCACTTCCCTCGATCCCCGACCATGGCCGTTTACCTGGCTGAGAGAATATCCTTTTGATCGACACCCGTTGGTTGAGAAATACAACAGAGGGCCTTACTGGGTTGAAGATCCACTCACCCAAGCTGTCATGTGGAATCAACCCGCGGTCACAAAAACGCTGCTAGAACTCGGGGCCTATCAGAAATTAATGAATGTAAACAGCGTGGGTCAGCCAGAACAACTGATTATACGGGCCGCAGGTTGCAATTGCGCTGCTTCCTTGAAGAAATTGTTGTACCATGGCGTGGATGTCAATACGAGGGGGAAATCAAAAACTGGGCAAACGGCGCTCATTGTCGCGGCTCGCAGGGGGAATTTCGAGACTGTGGAAGCTTTGCTCCAACATGAGCCTGATACCGAATTACAAGGCATGTTGACCGGCTGGAGACCGCTCCATTGGGCAGCACGACTCAGCCATTTGAGTGTTCTCAAACTTCTGCTGGACTCGGGTGCGGAAATCGACGCGCGGATGAGTTATAGTCTTGACACGCCGATTCTGCTCGCGGCAAAACACCGCAAATTTGATGCAATGGAGATGCTTCTTGATAGAGGGGCAAATGTGGACTTGGTTGGGATCGACAATCGAACAGTCCTGTTCCATGTGGTGCGGAAGGGCAGCGAAGATCTGATGAAAAGATTGCTCTGCAAAGGTGTACGCCCTGATATAACATGTCTCTTCGGGGCTCTGTCAAACTGGGAGCGGGACGATCATTATGAACGAGCAAAACTTCTGTTAGAACACGGAGCAGATCCAAACATACCCCTTGACACTCCGAAGGGTCCGAAATTCTTGCTTCCATGGGTGGTCCGACAATGGTATCTTAACGTTGGTGTGATTGAGCTCCTGCTGGAATATGGGGTGGATGTAAACGCCACAGGGCCTAGATACTTTACACCTCTCTTAAGTGTTGTTTTCGATGAGCCTATTCTCACAATGGCCCGGCTATTGCTTGACCATGGAGCAGATCCAAATGCTGCAAATGAGAAGGGCGTGACACCGTTGGTGATTTGTGCAGGGAAGGGGAACGTGGATGCGGCTGAGCTGTTATTGAAGCATGGTGCTGATCCGAATGTAAATGTCAAAGGGCAGAGTCTGCTCGCACGGGCAGCCAAATGGGGAAGGGACGATATAGTTGAATTGCTGAAGACTGTATGAAAGGAATAATGCCATACTACAAAAACTCAAGCATATATTCATCAACTGACCAAATGCTTGTTGAATTCACCGACATATTAGCTATTGGCAGACATTCGTTAAATCGGGAAGCTCGCTATACCGGGGCTCGTTTTTTGAAGTCAAGTGAGGTGAAATGAAGAGTACTCTGTGGGGTCAAAATATGTACATACAGGACAGTTTCAAGCTCTTTTAGAAAGGCAGCAGTAAATATGGCTTGCTCTCCGGGAGACGGACCAAGTGTTTATCCTAGCGGATCAGGACAACCCCGATCACTTGGTCGTATTTCTCCTTTTCAAAAACATCATTCGATCGACATGCGGCACTCTTCTCGTCTCGAACTCCATTCCAATGCATCTATCTGATCGTTCTAGACCCGCTGGTCTTGAATGCTACCAAGATGCCTGTGAAAGGTAGTTCAATCGCGTCTTTGAAGTCAAGGTCGGGATGCAAAACTTGCAAGTATGTACTTGTTATCTTTCTATCAAAAGATTTTGATACTAATCACATTCTAGAATTCGGCGAGTCAAGTGTGGAGAAGAAAAGCCAAACTGCGTCCGATGCACTAGTACAAGTCGCAAGTGCGAGTACGAAGGCAGAGTTTCTGGCGCATTCTGCTCCACGCTTTCCACATTCTCTCCTTCATCATCACCAAACACAGCGTGGCGTGAGCGACGCGCTTTTGCTTATTATTTTCAGCACGCTGCATCGTTTGTTGGTGGTGGGTTAGATGGTGATTTCTGGCGCACCATCGTCCCACAGGTTTGCCGGAGTGAGCCTGCTGTATGGGACGCTATCATTTCCGTCAGCGCACTATTTGAGGGTCCCGAACCATTCCCGGATTTTGTCTCTCTACGGCCGAAGAATCCCCAAATCCTCACACAGAACCACCGAGATGCGTTGAGTTGGTATTCACGCTCAATAACTTCTGTCCGTCAACACATCGAGCGTGGCGTCGTAGACATCTTTGTCGGACTGGTTAGTTGCGTATTGTTTATCTGTATCGAGGCTCTGCAGGGGGCTGCGGCAGAGGCCTTGCGACTGTATGATCAGGGTGTGCATCTCATTCTGGCTTTGCGCGCTCAAATTGCTTCCGGCGCCATGCCACCAGCCAAGGCTTTTTTGTTAGAGGACATAATTGTCCCAATTTTCGTCCGTCTGGGGGCAATTTCTTTCACAATTTCTGGGGCTCCAGTAACCTCTTTACTACCAGAAACTGGACATGCTTTGACGCAAGAATTCGTCTCCCTCAAATCTGCCCGGGATGCCATTGTTCTGTTATCCACAGAGGCCCAGCTCTTTGAAAGCATTTGCGAGAAGAATGTATTTCAGGCTAGTGCTTCTCATGTGCCCCCGGAATTGATAAATCGACAAATGACTCTATCAGCCAAGCTCAGGAGCTGGCACGTTGCTTTCACAAAGTTGATAGCATCCCTACACTCAAAAGGCAGATTATCTCCAGAACAAACCAGCACCGCAGCCCTTCTCTGGACTTACCACGAGACGGTATTTATAATACTCGAGACCTGCGTATCGCCATCACGAATCCTAATCGATGCCTATCTACCAAATTTCCAAACCATAATCGACCAATCCAGCATTGCTCTAGACGCTTACATGCAGCCAGATGGCACACAACCGCCATTCACATTTGAAATCAGCGTCGGTCTTCCCATTTGGTTCACCTGCCTCAGGTGCCGCGAACCCGGGATTCGACGTATGGCACTAGACTTGCTTCGTCGAGCGCCTCAAGTCCAGGGGGTCTACAAATTGCCCCCTGCGGTGACCTTTGGCGAAAAGGTCATTATATTAGAAGAAACGTATGGGTCGGCAAAGCACGCAAGACAGGAAATGATCACGGCACTCGTCGACTACCAATCTCATAGCCGAGGAAGCAGTAGCGACGGATCTTCGTCTACGGATATACCAACAGAAGTTCTCGTACCAGAAGAGGCACGTATCAGACCCACTGGTGTTTTTCGACCAAGAGAGGGCATTCCTCCTGAAATTGTGGAGGAAGACGTCACGAGGTGGAACGCAAGTCTTGATCAAGAGTTTTTGCGATTCACGCGGAATAAGTACGATATGGCTAGTGATACTTGGCAGATAGTGCATGAATGCGTTCCAGTTGATTTTTAATTATAGACTAAACAGTGTCAATGGGGATGAAAATGAGTGAGTGCCATTCTTTTTCCATTTTTAAATACAATGGCAGTTGTCTCTGAGGATATATATTTGCACCAGCGGCTTGTACATATGCGTAGCAATTCATGATACGGCTTGGCTATTCCTCCATATGATGATACCATACCAGGTTTCTCTTGTGCAATAATACAAAGACACTGCCACTGTTCAAATCCAATGACACGAGAAGATCCAAAACTCCAACATAAAGCTGCGCGTCCGAGATCCCCGCATCAGCAGTCGGGTATGTTATCCGATCCGATGACCTACTATATTCTCTTATTCTCTGCTGATTTTGTACCCGACAAATGTGGGCACGAATAATACGGAGTACAAGCTAAGTAAGGTCCGCTTGTATGACTGCAATGTCAATTATCGACATGGTTATCGCTTCTCCTCACCCCTCACCCCACATCGATAAGCAATGCATCTGTTTTACCGAAAAGGGTAAAAAAGTGAGGGAGGGGAAATGGGTTGAGAAATGTGTCCTTTTTTGCTTGCTTCTTTTTGAATAGTTTATTGTCCTTGGTTGTTGGACATAATACTGTGTATATTGAATTGATATTCCAATCTCATAATGGCGAGCACTGCGGGAAAGGTATGTCTTTCAGCTGTGTTTGAGGAAATAAAGACTAACCCAAATACAGAGCATCGTTTGCAAGGTACTGAATCGGAGGCCCCGTACTCGACATTCCGTGGATTCGAAACAAACGCTAACCAGCATAGGCCGCTGTCGCATGGGCAGCTGGCGAGCCCCTCTCAGTCGAAGATGTCGAAGTCGCGGCGCCAAAAGCTCATGAAGTTCGCATCAAGGTCCTCCACACGGGCGTTTGCCATACAGGTGAGTGTGTTTAAGCATTCCTCTATCATCTATCTGATCATGTAGCTCACTCATCGGTCCTAAGATGCCTACACGCTCTCCGGAAAAGACCCAGAAGGTGCATTCCCCGTAATCCTCGGCCACGAAGGTGCGGGGATTGTCGAATCAGTAGGGCCTGACGTATCGAACGTTCAAGTCGGGGATCACGTTATCGCTCTCTAGTATGATCCATCTGCCCTTGATTCAGATAAGCTGAATCGATGTCTAACAACATCGTTAGCACCCCCGAATGCGGGCAGTGCAAGTTCTGCAGATCTGGCAAGACCAATCTATGCGGTAAAATCCGCGCCACCCAAGGACGGGGCGTCATGCCCGATGGGACATCTCGTTTCAGGGCGTGTGGGAAAGACCTACTACACTTTATGGGCTGCTCGACCTTTTCACAATATACGGTTGTCGCGGACATTTCAGTGGTCAGTGTCACAACGAAGTGTCCCACAGATCGATCATGTCTCTTGGGCTGTGGTATAACCACCGGCTATGGCGCTGCGACCCACGTTGCAAAGATTACAAAAGGGTCGAACATTGCGGTTTTTGGAGCTGGATGCGTTGGCCTGTCAGTTGTGCAAGGCGCGCTAAAACAGCAAGCCGGAAAAATTATCGTTGTCGATATCAACGACGCCAAAAAGGACTGGGCGTTCAAATTTGGGGCCACACACTTCGTCAACCCATATAAACTGATCAAAGGATCAGTTGAAGAGCAACTCATTGAGTTGACCGATGGCGGATGTGACTACACCTTCGACTGCACTGGGAATGTGGCAGTCATGCGGGCAGCTCTTGAAGCATGCCATAAGGGCTGGGGTGAGAGTATCGTAATCGGGGTGGCTGCTAGCGGACAGGAAATTAAGACCAGACGTAAGATACCCCCATCCTCCTGCTCAGTTTGGCGGCTAACAATGAGCAGCCTTCCAGCTAGTAACTGGTCGCGTATGGAGGGGGTGTGCATTTGGTGGCATCAAAGGCCGGTCTCAGCTTCCCAGTCTTGTGGAAGACTATTTGAATGGCGATTTGAAGGTTGACGAGTTTATCACTCATCGTCAGTCTCTTGCCAATATTAATGTGGCTTTTGAGCAGATGAAGCAGGGGGATTGCATTCGGTGTGTTGTTGATACGGCATAGATGTGTTGTGGGGAATGGAATGTTAAGAGTATCTGCGGAGTACAAGTAGCGAGTAGTTAAGTTCGGGCATAGGTGTCTACCAAGGTAGTGATTTGATGAGTACCTTGGTAGTGGGGTTAAATTATATATTGAAAGGAGGCCTCCTCCAATGTTCTTCAAATTCGTTGCATAATGTGCTTTACCAATTTCGTTCATAGCCAGATCCGAAAGCATTTTACATTCCCGATGATTTAACCGCCTAGACTACGTCGAATAGCCCAAACGGTCACAATTGCGCCTAAGAAGGAAATAATAATACCTCGTTTTGCCATGCCACTATGACTACCCTTCCCGAATGTGCACGACGGCTGTCTATCCGGTGCTCCGCACCGGTGGACTATGTTCCCGGTCTCGGTATGGGGTTCCATGTCATAGTATCTGTACTATGATTACGGGAAGCACCGGGGTGCTTGCCCTTCGTACATTGAACCCCTCATGAGGGGAAGCGTTGACGGGCCGGGCTTGTATGACCTGCCCGTTATATATCTCGCCAAATCCGCATTAACAACACCATCTCACTCATTACCAAAACATCAAAAAGTCATACTTCAAAAGTTCACTCTTACTCTACAAAAACATCTTCAAAATGCCCTCAATCCACCCCCTAATCGACAACGGCCTCACCAAAGGCGACCCCAACTTCTCCGGCGGCGACCTCTACTGCCACTGCCCCTCAGACAAAGTCAAAGTCACCCTGAAAAGCAACGTCGCCCACAACCACGCCTGCGGCTGCTCCAAATGCTGGAAACCTGCAGGCTCCCTCTTCTCAATCGTCGGCGTCGTCCCCCGCGACGCCCTAGCCGTCACCGCAAACCCCCAGAAACTCATCACCGTCGACAACACAGCCAGTATTATCCGCAACGCCTGCAAGGACTGTGGCGTGCATTTGTTTGGGCGCATTGAGAAGGACCATCCGTTTAAGGGTTTGGATTTTGTGCATGCTGAGTTGTCGGATACGAAGGGCTGGCAGGAGCCGCAGTTTGCGGGATTTGTTTCGTCGATTATTGAGCAGGGGTATCGGCCTGAGGGGATGGGGGAGGTTAGGGGGAAGTTTAGGGAGAATGGGCTGGAGACGTATGATGTTTTGTCGCCGGCATTGATGGATTTGATTGCGACGCATACGGCTAAGGCTTCGGGGGCGTTGTCTGCTAATCTATAGGTTGGTCGGCTTTACAGGACGGTATAGATGGGAGAAATTCAAATTTAAATGACCCCTAGTCAATTGAACATGCCAGCAGCTCGGGGATAAAATATACAAGTGAAATCAATTTCGATACTCATTATTCAGTCCTTATTGGTGTATACGGTTAGTAGCTGGGTAAGTGACCACCCCTCCGACTGCTTGAAACAACTTCATCTAGGACGATGAATTCTCTGTATGTTTCTTTCCCAAGAGCAGCAAGTATGAACCTTCATTTTTGGCTAGACCGCACGGTAAAGTATGTGGCTATAGAAAGTCCAACCTTCTTATTGATTGCCCAACGTCCATTTATCAGAAAGGGAGACAGACAGTGAATGTATCAGAAGACTGGGTTTTCAAACCAACTGGATCAGTATTCAAATTCGGCATGAATGGGTAAGTTTCGACATAGTCTTCCTATACATGTTCGTCTGCCACCTCTATTTCTTCTTTCTTCGTCACTATCTTCTTCACTGTCATCTTCCTCATTATCACAAGATAAACGTTTTATATAATTTATCTCTGAGCCCCCGTTTGCGGTCCAATTATAATCATAGGTTCACCACACTGAATGGGCCCTGTGGATATACAGATTCATCTGTTCTGGACTTCATGCAATTATCCCTTCAGATCAACCATCCTTTGTAGAAATGTCATACAGCTTTCTACTATACGGATGCTGTTAACCTGCTTAGACACACTATCCATCGCCTGCGTTGCATCCCTGCAGATGTGTGTTGTCTCTTCCTCTACATCGGGACGATCACACAGCTCTGCAAGCCGCCCCCGCCAAAACATCCATCGTGCAATCGAATAGCCTTCTTTTGGCTTGCCGGTCCATAGAGCCCCACGACTTTCAGGACATCGATCTTTCCGTTTCTGACAAAACCAGTAGATCGACAGCGCGCGCAACGTGAACCAAGTGGCTGCGGCCCGAACCTGTGGTTCTTTCAATTTCTCGTTCTCCAGAGCCGTGCTGATGGTTTCCAGAGCGTATGAACTGCTGCCACCAAGCCCACGTGTGCCCATATATGCCTGCAACCCGTTCATATTCTGCAAGTGACGTGTGGACTTGGCGCTGGGTTCCTTGTTGTCTCGGAGGCCTAGCGGTTCCGTATTAGCGATCCCGGATGACAGAAAACGGAACCGAAACATACTATTCCACTGTTCGCCAAATGCCATACTGACATAAATTCTGGTTGCATGACTATTCCGGCCTGGATATGCACCCCCTTGGAGGATGTCCGGTAGAATCTCGAGGGCCTCCAGGAGGGCAACAAAACGTTGCATGGGCTCCTGCTGGTAATCCAATTGAGGCCCAATACAAAACACCAACTGCCAGAACCGATAGAGAAAGCTGATTTCCGTGGCATTAAGATCTTCGGGAAAGAGGGTGTTGGTGTGGTGGACTGCTTCTTCGGGCGTGATTGAGGAGTCTGCAGGGAGATATGTGGTCAAGTAATCGAAGATTGCTTGTTCCCTTTCTGAGGGATTGTGGGAGACTGCATATTCTATTCCTAGCGAGTTGAAAGGGGCCATGGTAGCTCTGAAGTTGGAATATGGCAAGGCTGGACACGAAGTCATACTAAATATCGATGAGGTGTCAGCCTTGCTGTGCCACACGAGGCTGTGCAGCCCAGCAGCGTACGCGAGCGCTAGGAATGCTTCATGGTTGTTTATTATGCTTGGTATGGAAGTGCAATATCTGTTCTATCTGTTCCTCCTGTCTATATATATCGCCTTGGTTCATGTTAATACTTTTCATGGCGACCTCCACCGTTGTTGGTCACCCGCGTTCCGTAACGTTTTACAGTCTTTGTCCTGCAAAATGTCTCCATCTCTGGTTCATTGGCGGGTATGATGTTACCAGCTTCATACTGAAATAAATACACGGTCAAAGACATGAGCTAGTGCTCCATATATTAAGTGCGGATAGCCAACTATCATGAGAGCACGACATCCCCATTCTCATAAAGATTCGAAGGGCTCAGCGAAATGAGCCCAAGTATTATCAAATCAGACACTAAAAAGTACTTAAAGACGATTTAAAATGCCACAGGATACCAAAGATTAGATAGTCTGCCATTCTCATAGGTTCCGAAGGCCCCGGAGCGCCATCTTGAAAGCAGAGCTGCTGTAATAAAAACTACATTCCATTACCACTGTTCTTCTCCCAATGCTTGACCATGTTCTCCCATGTGATAAAGTCCAAAATTCCTAGCCTTCCCTCTGAGTTTGGGTCTGAGACCATGGTATCCTCGAACCTGCGCTGCAGATTATACCTGCTGAAGTGACACATCATTGATACATCGTCTAGGTTGAGATCTTTTCCGTCTTCACGAAGGACCAATACATTTCCAATTTCTCTGTTCCAGTAGGGAGGCGCCCAACCCCATCCTGGTTTTGAAGGATTGGTCCCCATCATCAGAAATGCAACATTTTGATTACTGTCTGCCGTCATCTCTCCCTCTGGCCATCCCGGAGGGTCAAGCAAGAATTCAGGGTCTGGATATTTCCAGAGCACGAGAGGCATGCCAAGACGGGAAGAAATCAGTGATATAGCCCCGTCGCCAAGTCCAATTCGCGTAGCTCTGTCAACTTCAACTGAAACGAAGGCCTCCGTCCCATGAAGTTTGATCTCGCCGTAGCAGCAGATCTTTACACCACGGATTGCTGTCGGGGCACGAATATTAGGGCACTGAAGACTTTCTCGGATTTGTGTTGAGCGGTAGCTCACTAGATAATCAATGAGATGTCGAAAGTCGGCTAGCGCGATATCGTCGTATGATTCGTGTGGAAGGCCTCGTACTGCAATTATAGGGCCACGATATTCATGAGGGATTGGACCAGATGCTCCGACGGAAACCGAGATGCTTTTGTTGCTCGCTGACCCGTCGATTAGATAGCCATCTCGGTGTATTAAAGAGATACAGTAGCCCTGGTTAAATGGGGCCCACTTTGCAAATCCGGAGCCAAGGTTTCGATTGCGTACTGGACTGTGTTCAATACGCAACGTTCCTTTGATAGGGTTGTCGGTTCCAAGGTAGGGATAAGCATCAACTTTTGTCCAGCTAACTCCATCTTCGTCAATCTCGCGCCTGCATGGCACCCAGATCATACGTGGCTTTGATCTGTCAACTGGGAAGAATATAGCTCGCTTGTGCTCCGTAGAGGGTCGAACAGGCTGAGTAGAAAAATGTTTACAGAGGAGCTTGTGGGAAGGGAAATCGCTCCTCTGGCACTCTAGAGAACAGTAGTAGCAGCTTTGACACCGCGAGCATTGTCGAGCTGGGCTTGCATTGCACATCACACATGAGTTTTGCGGCTCAAACAACGGAAGCGAGCGATCTGTCGACCGCGAAGTTGAAGCCAATCCTGCGCTGTTTTTATCTCACACTCAGTTCAGACATCTCAGAAAATTCATCAATATGGCAGAACATAGACTCACGTAATTAGAAGCTCACGTCTCCGTTCTGCCTCTTCTTTCCTAGAGAGCTCAAGTTTCCGTTCTTTTCCCTGCCAATCTTCTAGAGTAAGCTTGGAGAAGTTCGAAACGACACTGGATTGCGGCACGTGTGCAGTAAATCGTCTCTGGTGAGACAATTTATTAAATCCTAGTCGAATGCGGAATAACAGATCTCTCTCCAAAGCATTGGTAGCAATCTCCATTGCAGCTGATGTTGAGCATGGCAAGCCCCAAGCAGGATAGCAAATACCATGCCTTCCTCGAGTGGCAATTGGCTTTGGCAAGCTCTTCAAAATGTTTTCACATAGAAAGCAAGTCTTTTTGCTACATCCAAAGTAGTCTAGGGTTGGGGGCAGTGCAACACCGTCTTCGTAATGAGAAAAAAGCTGCATCTCAGCGTGCAGACAAAAGGACTTTGCACAACTTTTCCTGAACTCCTCCTTGTGAGAATTGAGCATTTTAATTTCAGAATGAGATGGAGAGTCTAAGCCCAGTTGAGCCCAAGCCTGGAATATGTCAAGGCGGTATTTTTCAGTGACACAAGTCTTCGGCTTGGGAGGTATAAGCGAAATACGGATACACCTGAACTGTGGCTCCCGAGTGGCTATTGACCGCAGTAATCGACAATCTAGTAATGGCCTGGCAAGAAAGTTCAAAGTGGTCCACAGCTTAGAACAAACATTGGACCCAAAGACGTTGTAAAGCAGCTGTCGGACTTGCATTGATATAATGCACATGTAAGCTTGCTGAACCATTAAGTCTCTGACCTTGTCAACTTGGGCATTATCGGGTCTTGATATAAGCTCAACCATATTCGTCCAAGTTCTGGCTGCCTTCTCCAGTCCGGGCCATTGTTGTTCGTCCTGATTATTGTAATTTTGGTTGGTTTTCCAAGTGGTCCGAAGCTTAGAAATCCAATGATCAACTCGGCGATGCGTGAATCGTATCGACTTCAGCTCGAATTCGCTTGCGAGTGCTGGAGGACTATCAATGTCTGTTCCCCGGCAGTCGCGCTTCAGTACATCGGACGACCAAAGGATCAACAGAAATCAAGGAAAGGATCTCACCTTCAGCATTGGTGCGCAAATATTCTTCGAGCTTGCTACAGTAATCTCTAGTCTCATAACCGTGGTCGTTATCCTCGGACAAAAAAGAATCATTCCTTGCAACGTCCACCTCAACGAAGTTTTCACTTTCACGTACTGCCACCGCGGTAACGAAATCCCATCCTTTGGATGGCGATAGCAGCTGGGCAATGCAGTTCAAGAACTTTTGGCGAACAAACTCTTCCGGGCCGGTGAGAACTACATTATTCTCGGTCTTGTAATCAGACGCACAATCTTCAAATTCCCCTGGGTCGGCATCGAGCTGGTGAAGTTCAGCGTGGCTTCGATTGTTCGTGAGGTAGGAGAGGATGTGCGCCGCCCAGACAATGCGGGCAGCGCGCACTTCGTGGGCTGTTTCCGTTCCTTTTCGTAAATGATCCATAGGCCGAAGTGTAAAGTGACTCTCCTTGGATAATTGACTGGAATCGTTGGATTGTTACCAGATGTTGCTGCTGTAGGCGACTGGCGACTGGCGGGGTTGGTCCTTCGGGTTGGTATTGGGCAGCTACAGCCTTGTTTACCCCTCTCATTACGGCGCACTATGTCTATACGACGTACAAAAGTCGTTTTGATAGTGAAATTTCATGTTTCCAACCAATCTTCCACTATTACGCATACTCCAACAATGATAGTCTGAAGGCGAGGACCCAGAGGGTTTAGAGAACAAATGCATCTATTTCACTCAGGACTATCAATATTGGACATTTTCTTGGATGAATTCATTCAAGTGAAGTTGTAGGAGAGTGCGGAGTTCAGAAGTACAGGAATACTCCAGGCGGAAATGAGCCTTATTTTTCTATCTGTTCCTCCTGTCTATTTCTATCGCCTTGGTTCATGTTAATACTTTTCAAGGCGACCTCCACCGTCGTTGGTCACCCTAGCCCTACTCGTTCGGCCCCGATTGTTCCTCAACCAAGGCAATATCATTCATTCAGAGTAACCTAATCTGGCAATCACCAGACAGCCCTACGACGACATGACGCGTTCCGTAACGTTTTACAGCCTGTCCTGCAAAATGTCTCCATTTCTGGTTCATTGGCAGGTATGATTTTACCAGCCTCATACTGAGATGAATTCACGGTCAAAGACATGAGCTAGTGCTCCATATATTAAGTGCGGATAGCCAACTATCATGAGAGCACGACATCCCCATAGCCCAAGCATTATCAAATCAGACACTAGATAGTACTTAAAGACGATAAGAGAAACGAAAAGAGGTATGCGAATTATGGTAGCCATTCTCCTTAAACATAGCTTTTACGCGCCAACTGGGCATGAATACGGTCTTCTGCTGGCTAATCTCGGTACCGTGGATCGACTATCGACTTCCGAGTGCGGGTCCCGTGCAAGGAGCTCCTTCTGCCGTTGGACCTGAGCAGGAGCACCATCATCGGGGATGCCATGGTATTCAAATGCTGACCTCTTTTAGTTATCGTCATCAAATGAATGTAAACAAGGGAGGAAAGGGCCTTTTTAAGTTGGAGGTTGAGCTGCTTGGGCCCTATTTTATTTTCCGGCTGGTTGCAAAGCGTGGGGCTGGACCCTAGACGGCGGGAGGGTAACTCATGAGCAAGGTCTGTGCATAACTTTCGTTGTCTTTGCACAAACAGTAAGGCCTTGAATAAGGATTTTATGAGTCGTCAAAAGGAACCACTTAACCAACGAAACTCACCTGCCATCAGCAAAAAATAAGCTCTGCACACGCATTCGAATCTTAGTAAAATGCTCTGCTCGTAAGTCGGTAAAGCCCTAGTGGTTTTACATCAGGTTTGCCTGTTTAACTATCTGGAGCTTTGAAATTAAGAGGCGACGTAGATATAGCTTCCGGTCATCTATCACGGGGGTATTATAGAACTCACGAATGAGCTGCATGAGGGCCCTGTGTACCATTGTATGACTTCCGGGCTTTGGCTGTAAGTACTGGTATTGAATTGTTAAGGATGGCACGTCAACCACTTGGCGAAGTATCCCCGGCGTTTGCTTTCGACGACGAGAAGTCTGATTAACCAGTCGCACTGGAAGGACGAAGTGACGACTTTGTGACACCATCGTAAGCTGGTTAGGTTTTGAACGCAATGGATTATCCATCGAGGAAAATATACATTTTCAGGGTGCTCAAGCAGATTATATCAATCGGCCTGCGCGGTTAAGCCCTAGCGATCATCGAAGTCAAATTGACTGCTTGAAACAACTCCATCTAGTACGGTGGGATTCTCTGTGCGTTTCTTTCCCAAGAGCAGTAAGTAACAATCTTCATCTTTGGCTAGAAGGTGAAATATGCGGTTATTAAAAGTCCAACCTTATTGATTACCGAACATCTAATTTATCAGAAAGGGAGACAGACAGTAAATATCTCAGAAGACTATGGTTTAAACCAACTGGATTGGTATTCACAATCAGCGTGGAAGGGTAGGTTTCGATAGATGCATTATTCCTATACGCATTCGTCCTTCACATTATTTTCTTCTTTTTCCCCCCCCTCGCTCTCCTCTTCTTATTCACTGTCATCTTCCTCATCGTCACTCTCATCAACATAATTCTTCCTAATATCCTCCATCCTCTCCTTAGTCATCCCGGCCAATTTCGTCGTCTTCTCATTCACCTTTCCCTCGCCGTTTTCATGAATATCCGCCAAACATTTTTCCCAATACTCCCACCTCTCTTCGCTGTAACAAACTCCCTTATACAACGGCCCCTTCAATCCGTCTCCTTCACTATTTTTCCCCCTAAATTTTCGGAACACCCAGACCCCGCTATGCAGCACCCACTCTGCATAAAGGGATACGTAACAGTCCAATCTGGGAGGATGCATTTCCCTCCAGAGTTGAGTTTCAAGACCCATGCGGAGTTCGTAGATCGGCATCCAGAACCAGGAAATCATGTCATGGGTGCCAAGGAGGCGAGCGGCGTAAGAGGTTAGATTGATGTATGCGGTGGCTTTCTCGGGGCTTGGAATTGTGTCATTGCCGAGGGACGCTATCGCCATGTTAGTCTCTGGCTTTTCTAGATATAAAAGGGGCGGGAAGGAGAGAAAGGGTGGAAGATCAGTTATACCCCGATAGAGCGGCGCTAGCTATTATGTTAGATTCAATATCTGTGACATAGGGAATTATGGAACTAACAGTCACAAAATTCTAACATTTCTTCCCCAATGAGAGGGAGGTCTGCCCATACCCGAGCCTCACCCTAACCAGTCAGTCGGTCAGTGTATCATTTTTATCGTCCTATCAGCAGCAAAAAGAGAAAAGAAAAGAAAAGGCAAAGAAAGGGAACATACCCCCCAAATAATCTCAACTGTGGATGGCAATTGACTCAACGCATCGACCAACTTCACCAAACGATCCTGAGACTCGTGATCAGACGGAATCTGCCTAGCAATATCCATAAAGAGATCCCATAAATTCGGAAGAAAAGCGCCAACAGGCTCAATTTTGACCCCCAAATCCGGTCGTTTTGCGGGGAGAAATTGGTCGATTCCTTTTGCTGCTGTTTCGGGCGCGGTTGTACTGTCGGGCTGAAGATATTCTTTTAGGATGGCGTAGATTTTTCGCTCCATGATCAGGTCAGGATCATCATCTTCGAGCTTGGGAATGGAAAGAGACAGCATCTTGATTGTCGGTTTGAAGTTGGGAAAATAATGAAGTGAAGTTGTAGGAGAGTGCGCGGAGTTCAGACATATAACTAGGAATGGTTAAGGCGGAAATCAGCCTTATTAGCCGCAGCTACTTGCTGACCTCTGTGCTCCTGGCACAGCAACATTATCATGTTTTTCTTTTTGTTTTTATTTCTCTTAGCACATATTTTTTTTATGATGATCATGGGGGCCGATTATAGAGGCAATGTATGAAGTAGTAAATTCTAAGGGGATCAACATGCTCTGTCAGTCTTCAGGCTGAACGCCTGTGTGCCTTATTTCGATATCTTAACTATTGCATATCAGCCTTGTTTCAGCTAATTGAAGATATATAGGGCCTCATGTCCTCTGGGTTTATATAATCATCAGTCTCGAATCATTTCCAACCATTGCCTCCTTGTCTACAATCAACGCAATTGCCAATCAAACACTGAACAAAATGTTCAGCAAATTTCCTCTTCTCCTTTGCCCTCCTCGCCAGATCTATATTTGCAGCCCCACTTGAAGCTCTTCAAGCCCGTGGAAAAGGAAAAGCAGCAGCCGTGGCCTCCAAAGTAAGTCTCCAAACACGGAACCCCGTCAACTTAGTACCCCAGCCAACCAGGTATCCCATCTTTTGCCTGAATGTGGTAAAGTCCCGTCTTGAAAACACTCTTGACATGAGCAAGATCAAAGATCAAATCAAAGATGTGCCCAAAACAGACAAATGAAAAGGCTGTTACCCGTACATTCATGAAGATTTCACCAATTTCCGCAGTCAGAACCTCCTCGACCCCTACTGCAAGGATAAGGATATGCTTGAATACCCGCTATTTGAGGATGGAAAATATGACTAATATGAATGAGAAGAATAAGTACCAGGAATCCGGATCATTCCGCGCTCTCTTCACGTTGAATGAGGATACTATTGTGGTACTATTGCGCATGATGGAACACTTAAAAATAAGAAGAAGAATACTGAGACCAATCAGTCAGCGCGGCATTTCATGTGTGCTCATACGACAATACCAAGGAAGAGTATGAAAAGAGGGTTAGCGAAGCCAAGGATGAAAGTGTTGGCAAGAAGGGAGGAAAGAAGGTTGACAGCAGCACAACCGGAAAGGGGAAGGGTGGAAAATAGGATCAGCAGATGCAAAATATACAACAGCCGGGGATTTCCTATTCTTTAAGAGTGTTTACTAGAGTTCGTCCGACAAATTGTCAATTCTATTTCTTGCCATGCTCATTTTACCCAGTCATGGATCTAGTTGTACCAAGAGTTAGATCATATAAAGCGCTAATATGGAAAATATCAGATATTATCTGTCCCTTCAACCCCCAAAACATTATTCTTCCAGGAAGGGACCAAAAGGCTTTCAGCATGTGCCAATGGTAATGTGTCACTGCAGAAAGGGCATAAGTAAACCTGCTTCAGCCGTCTGGATTGACCCTGAGTACGCCTGAGAATAAACAGCCTGAGATTGATAGCACATTGGAATACTTGTTTTCTTGTCTCCCCATTCTCGAGCGGTTGGATCGCGGTCCCCGTGGTACGGTGGAACACGCCGTATACTGACTGCACACGATCTTTTGGGTTTTAAGGCATAGAGAACAACATACAAGGCACACGGAGCATTGTCACTCCTATTAGATGCTGGCAACATTGTTTCCCAAGCATCGATCATTTGTTGCGAAAGGCTGAAAAGAAAATTTAGTCTGAAGACGAGGACTCCGAGAGTTTAGAGAAAAGATGGATCTATTTCACTCAGGACAATCAATATTGGACATTTTCTCGGATGAATCCATTCAAGTGAATTTGTATGCGGAGTTCAGAAGTACAGGAATACTCCAGGCAGAAATCAGCCTTATTTTACACGGCCATTTGTTGTTTCCCGCGTTATGTGTGTGCTTATACGTCCATTTCAAGGAGAAGTATGCTAACTACCAAGCTATAAGTTCTCTTTCCACGCAAAATACTGATAGGTGATATAAACTGTAAATAACGCGGCCATGAAAGCCCCCAGGCCGAATGTGGAAGAGTCATCCGCCGTGATCACCGCGTAGACAAATGACAATGATATTGATTGCAAGGAGTGTGATGAGTATCAACAATAGAAGGACGGTCCAGTTGAGACTCTCATTGACACGAATGCCCATCCAATGACACGCTGCCCACTGTGCCCTGGCTGTCGAACTAATTGATCACGAATCTTCTTGGGAAACATAGTTATCCGGAACTTGTCAGTGTGAGGTCCGGGCTTGAGCAAGTGCGGTAATGGAATATTGGCGAGTTCAACGTTATCCACTGGGACAGGCTCGTAAATGTACCTCCCTTTTTGGACCTCGTCTTCTGGTGGAAACTCTTTTGTCTTAAACCAGCTTGGGCAGCAGTCCATCCCGATAGGAATTAGTTGAAACTGGAAGATTAGCCCGAACGTGTTTATTCCTTGGAAAGGAGCAGCTGAGCACTTACTCGGACAAAGTCTCCTGATGAAACTTTGTGAATGCGTGTTCGATGAAGGGCATGGCTTAGCATCGAAAAGAATCTCAAGGAGCTCGGTAGCGATGGGAGCTTTGGTAGCCGTGCTGAAATTCTATTCAACGCGTTGTGAACGCATGTTGGGATCGTTTTTGAAATCCCCCACTCATGTTCATCGCGAATTCTCCGATATTCTTGGCGAATTTGTTGAAACAGGTATTGGTCACTGCTAAAAGAACTAACATCGATATGGACAACGGATGTTGAATTTTTCGTGTTGACACATAGAAGAAGGTAATGAGGATCGTGAGTCTGGAATATAATACTGTCAGATTGGTTGTTTCCAAGCTGCGATGACTGTGAAGGTTGACAATTTGGAATGCTGTGTTGTGCTTCAGCCCTGACTTATGTCGAGCCGGTACTGGGATTTAAGTGTGCTTGAGGTGGACGTCCTGGTTGAGTTGAACTGGGCTGTTCATGTGATTTGGTCCTGACGGCAATGGTACTGTTAAAGAGCCTCTGTCGGAATCTCTGAAATCCACCGGGAGATAGTTCCCTGACATCAAGGTGTGAAAATTCGCCGCAGCCCTGTATGGACGTTAAGTGAAGTTCGTAATGTGAGAATTAGGGGGATAACCTACGCAAGTATAGAAAATCCTCCGGTAACCGGCTGCTGGTGGGGAGTAGGCATTCATGATTCGGAGCCACCATGATGGCCGCATAGTCATTTTGTCTAGACCTATAGAATAGCCAACCTGTACGTTCGACGGGTCAAATTCGGTATCGTGTTGAGGAGCTATAAGCATGTCAGCAGCCATATTTCCTGCCCTATGTTGACATCTAATCCAGTGGGTGTGAGGTGGTACCTTCTTCGATCTCGACCGCATCCTCTTCTATCTTGTCATTTTGGCCCCTGTCATTCCTCCTATCAAGTTTAAGCCAAGCTCGAAATTCTTCGCGCAAGTGTAAAAATGCCGGGGCCAATGTCATAAATTCCTTCACTTCCTCGAGGGTACGAAGAGCAGGCTCAGAGCTTTCCGACCCATCCGAATCGCTTTCATCGGAGATGTCGTGATCTTCGGTCTGGTCCAGAACCTCAGCGTGCTGTTCTCTGTGATCATTTTTTTGTAACTCAAGCCACTTGTTGACCTGTGTTAAATTTGGTACTTCTATATCTAGACCTCGCAGCTCATGGAAGTCTTCGTCATCACGTTTCAGCTCTCTTCCCATTTCAACTACTGTTCGACGTGCAGACCTTCGAACAAACTGTGCTGATTGACGTTGCATTTCATTCGACGCTTCACCGTCCAGGCTCTGACCATATCTCTTCAAGAAGCGAGCAAAGTTTCTTTGGAATTTGTCGAGACCAACTTTTGTAATAGCCGTTGGATAAAGAAGCATCAACTCCGCGTCAGTCAGAAGTAAGTTGGCAAATTAATAGATAGCGACAGAAAGGACTTCACTCAGGGAGGATTGATATGATGGAAGCGAATCTGCAGAGAATATACTTGCAATATCGTCTTGGTCAGATAATGAGTTCCTGCCATCATATTCAGAGTCCAAATACAAACTCTGCAGTCTGTACGTATTTTCTGCTCCTTGCATTTCGAAGAGCTTTACTATGGATAAATGGCCGTTCTGTGTTGCATATGACAATGGTGTCTTATTGTGGATGTCTTCAGAATAGGAATAATCACTGCCGTTCTCCAATAACAACTGCACGGCGACCGCATGTCACAGTCATCACAAGTGTCGGAAATGTCGTTGACATGAATATAGTCGCTGAGATATAAACGGTCTGTCTGGGTAGGACGTTTGAATTTGGCAGCTAGGGCTCGGTTGGATATTTTCAACCCAGTAAGGAACTTGGAAACTCGACTCTCCTTCATCTCGTGATTTGCTCGTACTTTAGAAAGTGTCATTAAGACAATCCGGGGTGGCATTGTGGTTATGCCAGTTTGCTGAAAACTGCCATCATGCGACGGTTTGCGATAATCATATTGCACCACACCCCCATGTGTACCAATGAGTATGCCAACCACAATATTACCCAGCCGAATATCCAAACCTTTGGTCGTTACTCCTCCTCCAATACTAACCAACAGACCAAAGCGAATAGCAGGGAAACTAGACAGTAGTCGGAGGACTAAATCAGGAGGGGTTATAAAACTATTAGGACCTGCAACTACAATGTTGTGTCCTCCAATGTTTCCAAGAATATAGGCGTTGTCATCTCCTGGATGTAAAGGTAGGCCTTCGTGGGTCTCATCGAGCATGAGCTCTACAGCCGCCATTTCCAGCGGCAAAGCGCCACTCATATACACAATGGCCATGCTAGCATCCTTCATCGGCAATCTCTGAGCGCAAATTTTTAAGCTTTTCTCAACGGTGGCCTGCAGAATTCTCCGATCTCACTCAAGCTGTCGATTAGTGATTCCCTGAGCCTGATCCCTCTCATGAGCAGGACAGGGACGGAGTCGCCAGCATGGTGTCTTCGCGGCTTCTTAATTGGTGAGGAGAGTCATGTAGTCGAAACTAAACACCAAGCGACGGGTCTCACAGTGTGATAGCGTGACATCCATGGGGGTTGAATACGCTTGGGGGAAGAGAGATAGAAATTATGCAATCCGTCGTTCGCGAGTTTTCAATCGCCCGCTCTCAGTATGTCCCAGTTATATATCATAGAAAGTACACATCGTTTGCATCATATATAGGTGATAGTTGTAGGAAGAAACAATCGGACAAGCACGAGCAGTGGTATCACTCGGGACCAGAAGAAACTTTGAATCATATGTCTGGACTCGAATCATTGTGCTATGGCCCACCATCTCAGACAATCTGATCCCGTCAGACGACGAAGGTTTCGAGAGTTTGAACGACGGATAAGTTTGTTCCATTCAGGTCTATTAATACCGAACTCTACCATTGGCCAATCTCAAGACCATTTCCCAGCAACATTGACACTTTCCACAACCCCCTGCTCTTCATCCTGACTCTGACTCTCACTTCTAGTTTCATTCTTATCATGCTCAATGGGAGTATGTCTCTGAATAACCAGCCAAGTAGGCAACACCGCGAGTCCTAGTCACACTAATTAATACATCTTTCTCAAATATTAACGGACAGACACATACCAAGAAGAATTGTATTCACGGCTAGGGGAACTCTGCCTCCATACCAGTCCCGGGTGTTAAGTCCGAATGAGACGGCTTGGGAGAAACTCTCTTGGCCACGGAGGATACCGGAAAGGCGAGCTGACTAGTTAGCCTTTTGTAAGTATACTTGGTATTGTCTGTTTTTGACATACATAACTCGGAAATATTATCAGTCATCGTCGAAATGAGGTAGTACAGCCAGTTCTGCAGTGCTTGTTGGGAGAATTCTATACAGTATTGATCAGCAATTAATTAAATACCAAATTTGGATATGGGGGGTTAGGACTCACGCCAAAGTAGAATGACAAAAAGACCCTTAACAAAGCCCTTATCGGACCAGTCATATACAGGTGAGATCGCGGTAAATTGCTCTTGAACCACCCAGCCGTACACCCACACGATGATATGCACGATGATCACGTAAAAGTAACTAAACCAATTAGTTTGTATCGTACAGCTACGGAATGTAGTTAACTAACCTGTAGATAATCCGTTGCTTGATCGAAATGCCTCGGTAATCCAAAAATCGACTGATAATTCCGGATGAGAAGAGGTTTGCGAAGTTGGCTTGGACCAATGTCAGTACGACTGTCAAATAAGGTGATAGAAATGCTGAAACATACAGACAAATCCAATCAAAGCACGAGCTCGAACACCGAAGTAGTATGTTTCGAAGTCTAGTCAAATCAGTCTTGTCCGCGGCAAAGAAAAGGGTCAAATGCGTACTTGAGCTATATTGGTTAAAATAACCGGCCCAGAATACTGGTAACAGTAGAAGAACCTCCTTTCGCATCGACAGCTTGAAAAGCTCTCGCATCTCAGCACGCAATGAATTCTGGATAACGATCTTGACTTTGCTTCCATCATTGCGTTGGACTTTCTCCGGTGGCGATAGGAAGAGTGCTAGAGGGACCGAAACACATTGCAATGCAACGAAGATGAGATATGTCTCTGTATATTATTAGCATCAGTAAGTACGAAGACTGAGAGATGTTGTCAACGTACTTGGATCGACCTTTCCCTTGCTCTTTGCATTCGCAGAACTGTATCTGTAAGTATTCATTCGCAGCGGTATTTCATTACGAAGAGAACTCACTTATTTTTTCCAAGCACAATGGCACCGCCCAGTATAGGACCACCCGTGCGGAACCAAAGCCAGATGCTATCTCTGTTAGTTACCTCTTCACACTGTGTATACGGGAAGGAACTCACTTCATGTATCTACCGCGTTTGGCTGGTTCCGGATATCCTAGGGCAACAGCGCCTTCGGAGGCCCAGAAAAGACCGGCACTATTTTGTGAGATTCTGCCATAAAGGGACTTAGGGTAGGACATCACTTACGACAATCCACAAGCCACTGCTCCGACAAGAACGAACCATTCATTTCCCTGGTAGCTATTAGTATCCTATCCCCATCACCATTGGACAAACATGTATGCATACATAGCGGTTGTTCGTATACAATGCAGCCCTATGCACCATTAGCATGTCATACTCAATGAAACTTCCCGAGTACAGAGTACATACGAATAAATCGGATATCCAACCGCTCCCAGCAACAAGGTCCAATTCAATCCAATCCGGTTGGCAATTGGTCCACCGAACAGACACAGAAAGCCCACTTGACTATGTCAGCACTATACATATATCTTGAGCATCAGGACAACGACATACTCAGTCCAAAAACCAATGCATTCGCCGCATTAATCAAAAACGGCGATTCCGCACCTCCGGCACCTAATGAATTCATTGCATTCCATAGACCTGGGGCCATGAATCCCACACCACCGATGACGAAGGCATTGAAGAGGGTGGTGTGGTACCATGTTCGTTTCGGCGTTGGTTGTGTTGAGGCATTATCAGTATCGGACGATGCTGAGACGGGGATGTCTTTTGTCATTGTGTTGGTCTAGCACAATATATCTGACCGAGAGAGATATCGCATTCAGAGGGGAATGTTAACGCTACATAGGGTCTCTATATATGATTTCTGCATGTCAAACCCTCATCGAATGGCGAAATGACGTGCTTAATATAACAACGAGGTCCATGCACTAAGAGGGTAAGATTCCAATTGACTTTCGGGCTGGACCGCCGGACATTCTAGGCCTCGCTTGCGTCGTGCTGAACTTCCACGAGGAATGTTCCCTGTAAGGAACGTATTTGGTGTTTCTAGTATCGCAGGGTGGTTCGATTAAGGTTTATGCCTCAGGCAGTTATTACGGAACATTATCGGTCCGTCATGTCTGAGATATCCGGAGGCCGGAGACGAAGGCTGCCTGATACAATTCAAGTGATTCCAATTTATTGAGACGCCGGCGCGGCTGTATATCCAAAATGGCACAAACACAATTAATCCTCCTGCCGGCGGACATCATGGAATCCCAATTATCCACAGTCGACCTCCTCACGGCCATGTTCCCATCTCCAGGAGAGCTTGACATTCCAGAATCCACAACTCAATGCATTGAAAAACTCCGGGATTCGTGCCAAGATCCAGCCTCGGAGCCTACAGGAATCCCCTCAAGCCTATTGCTCGCTGTATGTTTACCAATTGCAGATGGTGAGAAGAAGATCCAAGTCAACATCTCAATTCCATTGCAATGCGAGGATCCGGCGATTGACCAACCACCATCAATAAATTACTCGCTACGACAACCAGAATGGATGTCCAAAGCCGAGGTTGCTGGGTTAGTTACCGCAATGCCCCAGGGTGACCTGTTCGGTGCATTTGAATACATCCAAGAAGAAGCCCTCCGCTTTCTTGAAACCCAGCAGCAGGCTTTGACCTCCGAGACCGAGGCCATCACAGATAAAAGTGGACCAATCGTGAGAGTATGGTTTTATTTTCCGTCGCTATCGACTCGGGAAAAGAGGGATGATATGGTCAACAACGCACCAGGGTATTCGCTCACAGGGTTTGTGTTGGCGGGTAAACCGGGCGTGTTGTGTCTGGAGGGTGCGTCGGTGGATGTTGATGCTTATATGAGTTTCATTAAGACACATTCGTGGGGGGATATCCCCAGTCATCAGAAAAAAGTCAGCGAGAGATTTCGCGAGACTGAAGTTCAGAGGGTGTTCTCGAGGATGGAGGAGATTACGGATTCTCTGGGTGAACGAGGGGGGAAGAGGGCTAATAGGGGTGATATGCAGGCTTTGGAGGCGTGGTTGCAGGATAGAGGGTTGCAAGAAGCATTTGACAACGTGATATTTTAAGTGCGTGGAGTCACGATGAATGTATCGTTCTCTTGTAAATAATTGGTAGAGAGTACTAATTCCTGTATATATAGAGAACACGGCTTGAACGCTGCCCTCTGACATAAAATGCTGCCTTGCTGAATTTTAAGCAGCAAAACAAAAGGCAAAAAAATGCTCGCACTCGGATTCGAACCGAGGATCTCATCATTACTAGTGATGCGCTTTACCAACTAAGCCATGCGAGCTGATTGGTTGCTTAGAGTTAAAAGCTTTGCTCTATGAGTTAATAATGAGAAATAGGCCAGCGTTCGCCTAACATTACCACCACCACAGGCTCCATCAACAATTTCAAGATGACCACCGTTTATCGGGACATGTACAAGGAATATAAACACCCAGAAAGGGCGGCGTTGGTGGGAGAGTTGTTGCAGAATCTGGGAATCCCCGAGGCACCGTCAGACGTTGAAATTCAGGCTCTGCTGTGGCTTGGTAATATCGACGTTCTAAGGCGATTACTGAAACGGCAAGACGTGTTCGGCAGAGGACGGCAGAGGCTAGAAGAGGGGGACAAAAAGTACAAGACTTTGGAAGAGGACACAGAAGGGGAGATGGAAGAAGAGACGGAAGATGAAGAGGATGACGATGACGAGGAAGGAGTCGAAGAGGAAGAGGAAGAGAAAGAGCACGAGACGGACATCGAAGAAAGCTCTGTTGATGGCGACAGCGAATTTGAAATGGATAAGCTAGATTGCAACTTGATGGCTACCTCATTGGCAGGCGGCATCAGAGGAATCAAGTTGTCTGAAACCTGTATGTCGGTTTATTTGACTTCCACAGTTATGTGAACCGGTGCTAATAATGTTGGATTTCTAGGGACAGCCGGATTACCCCAGTTCGCAAACCCCGTCGAGGATCAGCATAGGTGCCGCGACCTTACCGTCCAGGACACAGAGGCAGAGGACCAGGTAGGTGCAATTCCCCCAGTACCATAGACGTGTCCACACTGATCAATCCAGGCTCATACCAGAGATAAAGAGCGCTGTATAATAACCGGAACAGGCGGTCCGCTGAACATCACTCACATATACCCACCAAGTCTGATTCCACATACTGAATCCACCAGTATGGTGGGCTTCTGGTCTGTTCTAAAATGCTTCTGGCCGAGGAAGAAGGTTAATTCTTGGAAAGGCGCTGTTCTTGATCAAAAAGGTACAGAGAGCCTCGCCAATATGCTAACTCTCAGTCCCACAGTCCGTAAACAGTGGGAGAAGTGTTATCTAGCTCTCAAACCCATCATCATTTCGAAGAAGAGGCGGAGACTGACCTTGGAGTTTCATTGGCTTTGACCGAGACGCCAAGGCAGTTGATGGGAAGACTTTAGTGTACCTTGGTGCATCTACAGACTGCTTTACTGATTTTGATACTCCTGGGGAGGACATCAAGTTGTGAAACTGCCTGACGGAGACGAAGATAACCTCCGGGCAGAGGATCATAATAAGAACAGATGACCAGCGAAAACGGCCGCTTCCATTGTTCAAATTGCTGGAGTTGCAGTGGTACTTGCAGCGTGTTGCTGCCCTAAATGATGGTTATGATGATAATAACGATGACGCCACCGCAAGCGACAGTGATGACTACTATATGTGGGAAGGAAGTGATAGCGGAGGGGAATATTACGACTGATCCCTATGGTTGCTGGATATGATAGCTCGAGTATGTACCTTGTAGGGATAGATAATAGATAATTACAGTCAGATATTGTTGTGCGTGCCGGATATGCCGTGGGCTGTATCACCTCCCCGGTTTTGCAATCATACAGCTTGACTCTTCTTCTCCCAGGTGTAGCGAGGTTTCCTGGCATGTCAGGGGGGGTATTCATGTATTCTTCGGGCCTTCCAGCATCTGGCAACCAAAAGAACTGCACTTTCATCGTTTTCTGGTCATCGGAGATCTCAATATGTTTGAGTGCATAGAGCCCTGCGTCCCAGTACAAATGGGCATTGGAGGACGTCGTTATGATGTTGTCATACCGTTGCGTGAGGCTTCCCCGTTCGACTGTCTCTCTCCACGCGTTGACCTTGGCATCCGATACGCAACAGGAAACCAAATCCCAGAATGCAAACCCGTAGGCGTCATCATCACCGAAAATATAAGTAGACTCGAGAAAGGCACCAGTACGCTCCATAAAGCATCTTCCGTCATCCCATGAGAAGCTCTACAGATGAGTGAGTGACGATTCCCAGCAATATCTTGCTCTAAGGATTAGGAGCATACCTTAGCCTCCGCTCTTCTCATGGCTTTATGATCCTTTCGGGGGTATCTGCTCCATCTGTCTTTCTGGCGCTCGTCGTCTAGTTCTTCACCATTCTTGAAGATACGCTTCACTGACGGATGAAAAGTAATCAGAAACTGTCACGCAATGGGATGGATTTTAGAGACTTATGACCCTTGAAAGTCCTGTGCGGAGAGAGTATTTGCAACTGAAGGGCCTCAGTGTCAGGGTTGCTCACCATCTCCTGTAGACGGTCCAGATCGCACAACCACAATATGGCTCTTGACAGCGCAGGAATCGGGGCATCCTTCAACCCGAGCTTTTCCTCGAGCTGCGAAACCAAACGGACGCGATTTGGCCGGTAGAGTGCCACATCCATATTCGCGGCTCGTGGTGGGTGTAGGATGACGGGGTGTATGAGAGGAGAGATTTCGAAAGCAGAAGCTGGGATAAAATCGAAGTATAAGGAAACAGGCCAAGTCAGAACGACAGGGGAAATAAGGAGTAAGTGAGAACTGGACTGGCACACGATCGATGAATAAAAGCGGATGGGGAAAACAGAAGGGTGAGGTTGAAGGAAAGAAGAACGGAGTGAGTGAGACTGAGATGAGAGAAAGAGAAAGAGAAAATTAGGAGAAATGTGCGTTGGCTTCCCATTTGGGAGCACTAGGACTCAAACCTATTGAGCATCAAGTAAATAAGCCTCACCAAAAGGACACGAATAAACGTTACTGAATCTCCAAGTCATAACATCAAAAGAGAACAGCGTATTTTCTCTATTTCTGAGAAGCTCTGGGCTCAACTACATTGGCCATTTAATGTTATTATATGAGCATTTAATTTCTCATAAGTTAGCTATCTAAATACAGGAATACAAATGGTAGCAATATTAAGCATACAAAGGATAGGGTCAGTAATTATCCAGAGACTTTAGCATATTCCAGATGCCACAGGACGTTGACCGGCCAGTAGTGTAAGAAGAATCGTCCTCGTAATCCTCTAACTCGCCATCGACGTATCCCATAAGGCCCGCCAGAACAGAGAGCCGACGAAGAAACCAATCCATCTCCAGCAGGTACCACGATGGAAGGGGCCTCTCCTCCGGATCATCAGTTACCAGGGTGATAATGTGACCAGAGACAATTTTCCTTTCGATCCTGCAGTCCCATAGTTTTATATCATCACCTGGAGTGCCGAGATCTTCTGGTAAATCTGGGCGTGAAGTAATGTATTCCATGTCAAGGGGCGGAGCCGGCAGCCAGAAGAATTGGACCTTCATTGATGTACTATCTTCTGATAGTTCAATAGGTTTCAAAGCGAAGAGGTAATCTCGCCAGTAAGCAGCAACACTGGGGCTCATGGAAAGCAAATTGTCGCATCTCTCAGCCAATCCGCCCTGTTCAACGGCTTTCTTCCACGCGTTGAGTTTGTATTTCGACACGCAATGCGAAAGCATCTCCCAAAAAAAAGGGTCGCTCTGAGCCGTGGGGACTTGAGCAATGTAAGTTGCATCGGCTGGCTGTCCTGCCTTGGTGACAAAACACCGATTGTCGTCCCGCACAGAGCACTGAGTTATGAGTTAGCAGCGTCTTGGTTGGAGACTTGACGGATGGTGAAAGCATACCTGATCCGCTGCATTTTCTCCAGCTTCACAGGTGTCTAAAGGTTCTGCGGACGGCCATTTTCCTGAATCATTATCCTCATCAAGCTTTGGTCGCTCGGACGGCGATGGTTGCTCCTCGGAATCGGGGTGGTCACGCTTGGTTGAAGTGGATGTTGACTCCAGGTCATCCGGAAAGGCTAACACTGTTTGGGTAAGAGAAAATTAGCATTTATCTACAATGGTGTTGACTTTGGAAACGTACGATCCTCAAAAGGCTCTGGGTATAGGAACATGGACTTTGCGGAAACGGTGTCTGGGTTATCGATCAACTCCTGCAGACGATCTAGGTCTGCAAACCACAACATAGCCCATGACAGGCGGGGGATCATGGTTTCCTCAAAGCTAAGTTTCTTTTCCAGCTCGGTAATCAGCTGAGTCCGATAGGACTGGTCGAATTCGGGGGCGATGCTCATTTTTGCGGTGGGCTATCGGGTCTGATCGAAGGGAAAATGTAAGTAACTTGGTGGAATAGATACTTGGTGAAGGAAATTGACCAAGGTAGAACTGCTGGCGAGATGACAGATTATATAGAGAAGGAAGAACTTTCTCGGACTCCAAATTAGGAAACTCGGGGAGGTCCAGACAGTCGTCTTGATGACGGGTAGTCAGAAAAACCCAGGTCAGTCAACCACGGAATAAAAGTTATCAATCCCTTTCATTTTGACCATCTAATTGGCTGCTCACTCCTTAATATCACTCAGAGCACTGATGTCCTTCCACTCTTCCACTGATGCCTGCACCTGCGACGCAGCCTTAGAAATTTCAGCGCTCGCATCACTCCCCAAAGGAAGCAATTCAGGCAGCTCTTTCCCTTCCGCCACTCCAGACGACGTGACAACATAATAGATTATCTGAGCGCCCTTCACAGGATCTCCCAACTGCGCACCATTAAACGCCGCGAAATTAGACTCGATCGTTGCATTCAGATCCGCATATGCATCGACACGACTGCTCTTATCAGTCCCAGCAATATTGGCAGATGGGTCCAACAACCCCGTGCGGAAGAATCCAGGCTCGACTAGGCAGTGACGAATACCAAACTGAGCGACCTCACCAGCAAGTCCAATCGTCAGCCAACGAAGAGCAGCCTTGGACGCGTTATACAAGTTGCAACCTGACATGGGGTACCACGCTGCCATGGAGCCGATGGTGACGAGAGTGCCGGTACCTTTTTCGCGGAGATGTGGTAGGAGGGCACGGTAGAGGTTGAGGGGGCCGAGAGTGTTGGCTTGGAATTGGCGCAGGGTGTTTCCTGGGGAGACTTCTTCGAGAAGGCCGGTTTGGACGTATGCGGCGTTGTTGACGACGATGTCGACGGTGCCATAGATAGCGAGGATATTTTTGATGGCGGATTGGATCTTGTCCAGAGGTTCGTTTTGGTCGATGTGGACTGGCTTCACGTTATCTGAGGCCAGGGAGGCTAGTTTCTCGGGGTTTCGCGAGGCAGCGAGTACACGACCACCGTTGGCGGCGATGATCTTGACGAGTTCAAGACCAAAGCCGGAGGAAGCGCCGGTGACGAGCCAGACTTGAGGCATGTTGGACGAAGGACAATACGATTTATCGTTGATGTGGTAGATGTCTGTCTGGGTTTTCTACTGATACAGCTTGGGTTTATATGTTTATGAGTACGACACGCAAACAGACCTACCTACATACGATCGAACAGTCTATCACGGTCTATCACAGCCCTGCATGAGCAACCAACCGAACAGAGAAAGAATGAGACAAAAAAAACATGCCGCTGCCTGGAAGGATGCATTGTTATCTCGGACTTTGCGGACTTACATAGCGAGCATATCAAGTCGTTGAGTCATGTCCCCATTGATACATGCATTTTTATTTGCTCTTAAGAGCGGTCCTGAGTCGATTGGTCGTCGTGGCTCCGGTATCCCCGATGCGACCAACAGCCATACATGATCGCGACTGAATCTACCTAGGCATGCATCTCAACACGGCGTTGCATACTTGGGATGTCCGTCCAGTAATGTATCGAAAGTTGGCAGCGCTGCAGTTCAAATTGGCCGCTTAGCTCAATGGTAGAGTGTTGCTCTCCTAGGTTTGGATCCAAGCAATGGTTGCGGGTTCGACCCCCGTGGTGGTCATGTTTTTGTTTTTATATTTTTGAACTCTTTGAAATGTTCAATTCAACTGTTTCAACACCTGAAAGACTGCTACAACTTCCCCCGGACATCGACAAGTCCTCGTTCGACCTCCTCCAATTCCGCCAAAAGCACACCCTCAGCCACGTCTTCCTCATCCTCTTCCATTTCAAACACCCATTTCACCGTTCCAGCACGCGGGCTCCGAACTTCCAGTTCCATTTTCATCTGCTTTACGAAAGCGACAACCTGGTCCTTCGAAATATGGTCTCCTTCGGATACCAGGACCTCGATCAACTTTCCTGATAGCGGAAGCACGATATGCGCCGGATTCCTGGGATCCCCGCGTCGATGGGATGAAGACACAAGGGCCGATGCTGAGGTCGAGGTGGATTCCAATTGCATCCGGTACAGAATAGTAGATTCAGCTGGTGTGGTGTATTCGATCTCTGCCGTCAATGAGGACGGGAATTCGTTACGCAGGACACGCGAAAGTTGCAAGTGATGTCGGGTTTCTTGTTCATTCTGAGAAGACCCCTTCTGGGTAGGTTCAAGGGTGATGGACCATGCATCTCCTTTTCGGAATAAATGGTTTGATGACGGCATGGAAATGCCCTGGCTCGCTGGGGAAGATGGTGAACGTTCTTTCAGCAAAGATGCAGAGACCATCTCACCAAACTGAATTATTTGCCCCAGATTCGATCCTAGCCATTGTGTGTCAATTGCTCCGGCCATAAAATCATCATGAGCCACAATCCCCCGCAAGAGGTTAATGTTTGTAGTGACGCCTGCAATCCTCGTGTCTGCTAATACGCGTTGTGCTTTTCGGACGATTGCTTCCCAGTTCGATGCGGTGACGATGATTTTTGCCAGGAGGTTATCAAAGTTCGAGCCCACGATCAAGGGTGAAGAACCAGTGTCGATATGGGTGTCAACTCGAGTTCCATGGCCGCTAGGAACGAAAAAGTCCGTGATCTTTCCAATCCCGAGAGAGAAGTTGTTATTTGGATCCTCCGCGCATAGTCGGAGTTGGATCGAAATCGATCTTGGAGGAGGGTCTTTAGGGTCGACGTAATCCAGTCCTAGTTGATGAAGAGAGTGGCCCTGAGCAAGCAGGAGTTGTGTTTGCACCAGATCGACACCGGTGATATTCTCAGTGATAGTATGTTCGACCTGCAGTCGCGGGTTGATTTCGAGAAAATAGAATTCGGACTCATTCACCAAGAATTCGAAGGTTCCAAGGGACCGATAGCGAATTGTCTTTGCAATCTTCAATGCTGCATCAATTACCCGACTCACAACGTCTCTCTTCCTTAATAACACTGGTGCACACTCGACGACCTTCTGGAACCGGCGTTGGATACTGCAATCTCTTTCCCAAAGATGCCGAACATTGCTTGTCCCATCACCAACCACCTGAACCTCGACATGACGAAATCCATCCACAGCAGCTTTCTCAACAAACACCGTTCGCGACGGCGACTCTCCAATCGCACGATCCATGGCATTATCAAGCTCCCCATCATTCCGCACCAGCCGAATCCCTCGACCCCCACCTCCATCAACAGCCTTGATCATCACCGGGAATCCGACCTCCTGCACAAACGACCTAATCTCGTTCAAATCAGCCGTAGGCCTCGTCAGCGCTTTCAACACCGGAACACCACATTGCTCCGCCAACTCCTTCGCCTGGAGCTTATCCCCCGTCCTCGCGAGTGTTTCCCACCCAGGCCCAATAACAACCGCCCCAGCATCCTCCCACATACGCTGTGCGAAATCTGCGCTTTCGCTGAGAAACCCGTAGCCTGGATGTACGGCGTCAATGGAATGTCGTTTGACAAGATCAACTAGTAGAGCGATATCTAGATAGGCCCCGGCGGAGGGGATCTCCAACGCGTGGTGTGGTCGAGCAACATTGCAATGCGACCGGTCATCTGGTGTGTGGAGTGCGAATGTTTCAATTGATGGGGAAAGTTCGCGTGCGGCTTGGATGATGCGCACGGCTATTTCGCCTCTGTTGGATGTTAGTATTGGTTGCTTGGTGGGTGGTTTAGTGGCATACCTGTTTGCGACCAGGAGTCGCTTTATGGGTCGTTGTGGTGTCATTGTTTGGCATGGATAGCTTCAATCCTAGGATATTCTACAAGATTGTGTATATCAATGACCCAGAGTATAAATTTGGAAAGAGATAGCATCGACTACCCCGTGGGGTATCTTAGGGGACCTCGGACCTCGGAACGTGGAGATGTCTACATCAACGCTCAACATCACCTTCACCAAACATCGAAATACATAGATCGCAACAAAAACAAACAACAATGCCAGACGACGACACCTCAACCAAGGGAGACTTATCCCAAAAAGCCAACGAGCGACTCACCAAACTCTCCTCGCACATAAAACCAAAACCCAACCAAAAGTCCAAATCTAAAAACACCCCAAACCTCCCAGCAGACTACTCAGACATCCTCTCCCAAATCAACATTCTCCGCGAAATAGCCTCGACCCCAAACACAAACAACAGAGGCTACATCCGCCAAAAACAAGCCGGCAAACTCTGGGTCCGCGAACGCATCAACCAACTCCTAGACACCGACACCTTCGAAGAAATCGGGTCTATATCAGGAACAGTAAAATGGCGCAAAACCGGCCCCATGCGCGAAACGCCAGAGTCTTTCGTCCCTAGTAATAACGTCCAAGGGACGGGCAAGCTCCGGGGGCGCAAGGTATTACTTACAGTGGACGATTTTAGTATCCGCGGTGGACACGCGGATGGGTCGACGGCGGAGAAGACGATTTATTTGGAGAAGTTGGCTGTTGCGTTGAAGCTGCCTGTTGTTAAGTTGGTGGATGGGAGTTCGGGGGGTGGGAGTGTGACGACTATTAGGAAGGAGGGGTGGAGTTATTTGCCGCATTTGCCTATGTATCAGCATGTTGTGAGGCAGTTGAATATGGGGATTCCGAATTTGGGGGCTGTTGTTGGGCCTGCTGTGCGTCTACATCCTCTCTACTACAGATTGGTTGGTTGTGAAGCTGACGGTTGCAGATTGGTTTGGGAGCAGCTCGCGTTGTGTCCTGTCACTTCTCGGTTATGGCAGCGGATATCGGAGCATTGTTCAATGCAGGACCCAAGGTGGTCGAAGGAGCGACCTTTGAAGAAGGACTTGATTTCCAGGATCTGGGAGGACCAATGGTTCACTGCACGAACGGGACCATCGACAACCTAGCCGCCAACGAGGCTGAATGCTACGAGCAGCTACGTACGGTACTGAGCTATCTACCTAATACCGGCACTGACGCACCTCCTGTAATTGCATGCGAAGACTCGGAAGATCGCGAGGACCTAGAATTGCGCCAGATTATCCCCCGTCGGGCCGCTCGCATGTATAATCCACGCACAATCATCATGAGCGTGGTGGATCGCGGCTCGTGGTTCGAGATCGGACCTCTCTGGGGTAGAACGGCGATCGGAGGACTCGCGCGACTAGGTGGTCGACCGGTAGGTGTGGTTTCATTGAACTGCGAAGTAAATGGTGGTGCATTGGACGCAGCTGGGAGTCAGAAATTGACCCGATTGCTGAAACTGTGCGACGTGATGAATTTGCCCATTTTGCAATTCATCGACGTTCGTAAGTACTCTCAATACCCTGGTTTTATGATATGCTAACGAAGCAGCCGGCTACGCCATCGGCACCATCGCCGAACGAAGCGCCACAATGCGCTGGGGCGTCGAACTCGCCAAAACTTACTACACAACCACAACCCCCATCTTCAACGTGATCACCCGACGCGTCTTTGGCGTCGCAGGCGGGGTCATGATCGGTTCCCGCGACCCAGTAATGCAAGTTGCCTGGCCGTCCGGGCAATGGGGATCACTCCCCTTGGACGGGGGTATTGAAGTTGGACACCGGCATGAGTTGCGCGAGGCGGAGAAGGTGGGTAAGAAGGAGGAGAGATATCGGGAGCTGGAAGAGGAGTATTTACGGTTGATGAATCCGGTACGGACGGCGAATGCGTTTGGGGTGGAGGAGATGATTGATCCGAAGGATACGAGAGGGGTTTGTTGTCGGTGGGCGGGGGATATGTATGGGGGGTTGATGAGGGAGAGGTTGGGGGATAGGGCGATTGGGAAGATTCGGCCTGTTTTTGCTTGATATATTTATGTCGTGCCCATGTCGCATTCGCATCCTGGTGTAGATATATTTCCGTACAACACGGAGCGCATGGATTTTTCAAATGGGAGTCTCAATTGTGAAACATAAACCATAGTAAAGGCATCTATTGAACGTTATTTAGTTCTCGAATCTGGATCTAACCTAGCACTATTGACATTATTGCCCATAATCCCCAATAGTGCGGATCCTTCCGGAAACGGCAATTCTCTAGATCCAGCGGTTCAGCCTCAACTTTATCCCATCTTCCCTCTCCAATTTTTCTCCCTCTACCTGTCACATTCACATGCATCCCCAATGTTCAAGTCGCGTTCAGATGCGCCCAAAAATGGCGTCAAGCTACCCCCATGGCTCGACCATTTCAACGCCCGCGATCTGCAGACGCTTTTTCGCTGCTCCGTCGCGGCATGGGTGGCGACCTTGTTGATATTCATCGGCCCTTCACTGGCCACCATCGGCCAAGCGACGTTTTTTGCCTGGTGCGCGTCTATATCTCCCAATTTGTGATCGCAATATTAACATGTAGTATTCAGCCTGGTCATCTTCATCGCCCCGCCCTCGGGAATCGTCTTCGTCTTCATGCTCGCCACTATCACCATGCTGCTCGGGATATGTCTCTCTTGGGCATGGGGCGTTATCGCGATGAAGGCGGCGCTCGCGGCGCGACCTCAATCAGACACGCAGGCGCGGTTGCAGGCGTTGCAGCAGGCTGTTGTTTCTCGTGCGAACGCGACGGGGGAGCCTGCGGCTGCTATTCAGCAGGAGCTCATTTTTGATGGGTTTATGCTTGATGCGCGCGTGACGGTGATTTATTTTGTGATGATTTGCTTGTTCATTTATTTCTTGGTAGGTTTTCTTTTCCCTGTCAGATCCTGCATGCGCGTGCTAAAATGGAATAGGCACGCTTGCGCGCGAAGAATCCCAAGTTCGCGCTGGTTCAGGTGTTTGGGACGATTATTTCTGACCTGTTTCTGGTCATTGCGCCCATGTTGCCGTCGTTTTCAGGCACATTGCCAAAGACTCTGATTGAACCGGCGGCCATTGGTGTCGGATTAGGTCTGGCGTCGTCGATTCTATTCTTTCCACAGTCTACTTCGTCTACGGTTTTGCTGGGGATGGAGAAGGTCATTCAACTTGCTAAAAGCCCTGTGGACTATACGCAGTCTAGTCTTTCCAAAGAAAGCGATGATTACTCGCTTGAGGATCTCGTCAAGATCAAAGGGCAGATTATCGCAGCTTACAAGGCCATGGAACCGGCGATCGGGTTTCTACCGTTAGACTTTTCAATTGGCCGCTGGAGTGCGGAGGATATCAAGAGTCTCCAGAAGCCTGTGCGGAATACGCTGCTGTCAAGTTTGTCTCTGTTGGAGTTCCATATCGCGCGAGTGGGCGGACACGCCAAACTGCAGAAACTGAAGGAGACATCTTTTGAAAAACAGGATATTGATGAAAAGGGATTACGGGAGGTTGGACTACGCCAAATGACTGACAGCCTTGAACTTGTGCAGGCCATACAAAGCCCCGAGCACGAAAGTCTTCGATCGGAGAACATTCGGACACTAAAACAAACCAGCTCGGAGATCCTTCCTGCCTGCCTGGATGCTGTGACGACAATTGTGGACTGTATTCACCTCGTCAACAAGAATCGCTGGCTTCCTTCACGGTCTCGTGAAAAGTACGAGAAGCTCCTTGACGAGGGTCCGAAAGTCTTGGAGACTCTCCGCAAAACGCGAACTTCATTTGCAACTAACACTACCGAAGCCTTGATTCAGACTCATGGGGCGATCTTTGATGAAGAGGGAAACCTGAAGCCGGTGGATACCTTGGTGGGCCATTCCGTCCGGGGAATCATGACGGGCATGGTCTTCGAAGAACGCATGCTTTCAGTAACCGATGCACTGGTTAGGTTACTGGCGCATACCCTGACACTCCTGCGGGAACGTCCAAAGACACGACTTTGGTTCCCCACGAGTCTCCGATACGCCGCAGCGTGGATTTTCCAAAAGAATGCTGTTGCTCCTATTCCCGAAGAACAAGCCCCTGTGACAGATCCCGACGATAACGCAACTTCAGTCGATGAAGCGCAGCTACTACTTCGAATCAGTCGGGGCTATCGACCGCGCCAGCGGAACGGCTTCGCAAAAGCTGTCCTGGGAACGTACCACTGGTTCATCAGTGCTGAAGGCATGTATGCGCTGCGTATGGTTATCGTGACCATTGCCCTGGGCATTCCTGCCGTGATTCCTAGCAGTGCGGGCTTCTACTACCGCGAAAAGGGATTGTGGGGATTGATTATGGCGCAGACAACAATGTTGGTGTACATGGCAGACTTCGCCTTTTCAGCTGTCTGCCGGACAATCGGGACCGTTGTTGGTGGTCTCCTGGGTTTGGTGGCGTGGTATATCGGGTCGGGTCATGGACCAGGTAATCCGTATGGATTGGCGGCTATCACCGCGGCCATTATTGTAGTGTTGATGTGGGGTCGACTGTTCTTTTCTCCGGCTCTACTGCAAGCGGTTATCATGTGTGCTGCAACGTTTGTATTGACTGTTGGCTACAGCTACGACGATACGTGAGTACTGTCTATCCTCTTACAACTTACGAACAGCAACTAACGGATGATAGACACATCCCCCAATACGGCAACCCAGGTGTCGGCTACAACGTCTTCTGGCGCCGTCTCGTCCTCGTCCTCGTCGGCATCACAGCAGCAACCATCGTCCAATTATTCCCCCGTCCGCCATCCGCAACCCGACACATCTCCCATTCCCTCTCCAACACCCTCCGTTCCCTGTCCGATCACTACGCCCTTCTACTCACCTGCTGGGGCCACCCGGAACACCGTGAAACCGGCCAGATTGCGGAAAAAATCTCCATCGATCTCGCTGAGGTGCTCACCACCCTTACCGGTCCTATTGCTCTTCTCCGCTTCGAGTTCTCATCTTCCCGTTTTGACTCCCAGACCCTGCACCAGGTCCAATCCCTCTGCCATGAGCTAAACCAGAACCTGGGGAGGTTGCTCTTCCTCTCCGGCTCCCTACCACTGGACTTGCAAACCCGCTTCGCGCATAGCTTCGGCATCCTCGATCATCGACAGATCGGTGATGCTATGGCCGTCCTGGGTGTCGTAGAGCAAGCCCTCAAGACCGGTGACGCACTACCAGAGGTACTCCCAACACCACTGCTCAAACGATCGTATGAATACTGGATGCAGCGCTCGGGAGGGTTCAAGCTAGGCGTGGACTTGGTCCGGGACGAGAATTATCGCAAGTATTGTGTGGCTGTTAGTTCGTATGTGCGATTCCTGGGTGTTGTAGATGAGTTGGTGCTTGTTGTTAAGAAGACGTTGGGCGAGGTGCATGTTGTTAGCCGGGAGGTTTGGAATGTATAGTATAGCTATGTTTGTATATAGCTTTGCAAAATGATAATATTTAACCAGGACTATAAAGTCTACTCGTTACTTGCAGCGACAGAACCTAACACCCATTAGCGAACATCCAACCCAAATATGAACAGTAAAACTCACGGAACAGCAGCCTCTACCTCACACTTTGGCTTCATACCACCAGCGCACTGCAACCATTAGCCACCACATCCTTCTCCCATCACTTAGCTCAAAAACGAAAGGGGGCATAAGACGTACCGACAAAAATTGACAATCCATATCCGAGCCACACTTCTCAAGATCCGACCCCGGGCCAACAAAACGGTTCGTTCGCTCGTCGACGGGTTCGATGATTATCGGGCCGATGCCGTTGTTGGAGGGGAGGGCGCGCGCGGTTGTTAGGGTTAGAGTGAGGGTGATAAGGTAGAGGGCGTTGAGTCTCATTTTCGCTTTTTTTTGTTTCCTTTGAGAATCGGGTTGATTGTGGTTTGCTTGGAAGTGACCGGATAGAGGGACTTGGTAGGGGGTATGTATAGGGGATAAAGATGGAGATGGAGGGGGGTTAAATGGTATTTGGATGTTATAGGTCATATGCAGGGTTGCCTATACTATATCTTTGACTAACTATAGCTATGCAAGCGTAAGGGACTCTCCTTATTGCAGTACAGTACGAGATGATAGTTCCTAAGCTAGTGTTTCGTTAGCTTGTACTCCGTAGAGGCAAAATATATAACGCACTGAGCAGCATAGAATTGGTATACCTAAGCGCTACTCAATACTCGATCAGCCGGCCACCCACTTGTATAGCATGCAAATAATGGTGCCTTCTAATAACAAATACACGGTCTGCCAAGATGGATATCATATAATCTGCCATACATATAGATGCTACTACCGCCCCTTCTGATCAATCCCGCTTTCCCTACGAAGCATGTCCACTAGGTGATCTTCTCATAATTTTAGAGAGAGAACTTGCAAAACGATTAAAACAAAAACTTTCATTATGAGTCATGTGCTGCCTTATTAACTATGCCTTCCGAACCAACGCGTTCCAGTACACCCATATGCCTCATGGTATTTGCCATATATACGGGTGACTGGGTTTTCCCGTCCTATGCAGGCTCTGCCTGCGAACCTGACCCTTCACCCAAGGTTTTGCGCCTTCCGATGGGAAGCATGGAAGATTTGACGTCTGGCTTTGGTTTTTTCTGTGGACTGCGGAAGCATGGGATATGACTAGTTATGCTTGGGCTGGACAACAGTCTCCGTTGCCGCTTTAGTAGTCTCCTTCGTAGATTGAGGTGTAGGCTGAGTTCGCTGCGTTGATTGCTGAGCCGCAGTTGGTCGCTGTAGGAACCACCTGCTGTCTCCTCGGGGAGTACTGGCATGGTATTGTACGAACAGGTCAAACGGAGCTGTTGTTCTCTGGGAAAATTCATGTAGCTTGCTTTTATGAAGGATGAGGTTTTGGCCATCATGATAAGCTTGAATGATTCGGCCCTCTCGGTTCATGAACGAGAGAAGCATGATCTATAGCGACAACAAAGTAAACAATTAGTATATTTGTCCATTTATATCTTGGTTTATAGCCAATCAATAATCCATACCAGAATGATAGAGTGCTTCTCAAATGATGGGTGCCTCATCAGGGTTATCATCATGGCAAGAATCGCGAAGCAAGAAATTATCATTCCCTTCGGTATCGTTGTGGCTCATGAGGACAATGAAATGGGGAAATTTGATTTCGTCCTTTGCCACCAGGGATGCGATTGGTGACCATGTCGGATTCTCTTGACAAGCGATGACCTCTTCGAAATCCTTGTCCACTGGCCAGTGTTTGCTATCCTCCACAATGTCCTTCACTTTGGTGTTTGTCTCTAGGGCGCCCAGCATGTTCTGCAAGCTTGTAGATCTTTTCACAAGTCTCTCAGCCTCATCCCAGGGCCAATCCTTGGTCAGTTCCTCCGTAGCGTCAGGGAAGGAATACTGGTCCAAGGGGTCTGGTAGTAGATGTTGAGCAAGGTGAATCGCTCCAGACCTATCTTGGAGGTGGATTCAAAATGGGTAAAATCATTGATGCTCTTCATTTTATATCGTCCAACACTCTCCAGGACCTGCTCGGCAGTCATTGGGATGTCAGGTTGCATGGCGCGCATTTTGAAGATACCTTTAAAGCATGCTAAGAATGGAGTGCAAAAAATGAAAAGCAGTCAATTAGGATGAGGTATGAAAGTCATAATCTGAGGATACTCTACGTTAACCACAGGATACACCATCCGTATGTAGGGAGGCTGGGAGGATTATTGTGAATAATGACTCCAAATTTAAACACAGTGCCATCATTTTTATTGGATTCTACAAGGTATAGCTTCTATGCCTTTTAGTTACTGGGAATAAAACCATTGAATGGTATGTACGCCTTTGCGCTGGTTGTTGAGGAAACTCTCGTTGCAGTATGGGATGTAGGGCTTCTGACGGGCAGCAGCACAGAGCGCGGGAACCTGCAGAGTACGATTGCTGACAGAGAAATTACACATGAAATGGATGTGGGCATCTGTGTGAGTAACGAAGTACTCGCCTCTTCTTCATTATGTCTAGCGTTTTTCGTTTCTTGGTTCAGTTGGTACATCTGTGTTGTGCAGATCAGAAGCGATAGACAGTGCGGCCTAATGGACGAGATAAAAATTTACAGGAACAGCAAAGCTTCATTCGAAGGACTCTGTTCAATAAGCGACTAATTCTAGAACTAGGGCGGGTGGCTATCATACGTTGGGCGCCAAAGCAACACCAGTTGGACTCTTGAATACCAAGAAAAACTATCGTAGAACAGTGTACCTCCCATGTGTCGAGAGCCTAAGCCCCTCTCCAAGCGCCAGTTCCAATATTATCCCGTTCGAGAAGATCATCACCGCTGGCCCTGGTCACGTTGATCTGCAGCCGCAAGGCGCAACCGTCGTTCGCATCTCCTTGGCCAACTGGTACACCGCGCCGAACCCCAACCGTCACCCAGTAGCTCCCTTCACGTACCCGCAGCCTCAGTATGTCTCGTATCGTTCTTGGCTCGATTACGCGTGTGATATGACGGCTGCGACGCGGGGTGTGCGGTTGCCGTTCGTGGGCTCGAGGATTCGGCGATGGTAGAGGGAACGAAGACGCGGGAGGAGTTTCTACTATACATTCAGTAGTTCTACCGTATTTCCTTACTCTGAACTCCTCGAATGGCTGAAGAATTGGGGCATTGGGGCACGACATTACCATTCGCGTATATTAAACGGGCTTTATATATAGGCACCTGAGGGATACTATTAACATCCCGAGAAAGTTAGGCTGGATCTAAGATATGTTGAGGGCTGAGGGCTCGAAGGACCGTAGCTATTCGGGCTCTTGAAGTCATTTTTAATTTAATTTCTTTATTATTCTTTACGCAGATAGATATTTAAGGAGGATGAGATGGCAACGAGAGAATATTCTATAAAAGTGTCTACGCCTGGAAGGAAATGCATCTACTGTACGACTCGGACTCGCCATATCCCAACTTTACCGGCATTCTAATCCTCACCACCAAAAGAAACCCTCGACTTAACAACCGGCCTAGGCTGCACATTTCTCGCTGCTTCCTCAGCAAATCTATTCCCAATCACCATACACTCCTCTTCCACTTTCTCCGATCCGAGACCAGAAGCACACTGAACGATGCCCTCCTTCACCAACCTCTTCAGTACAATCAACAACCAAACCCGACACGTAACTCCCTCGATTCATTCAAACCCGCATCCCTCTCCCTCATAATCTCCTCCAAAACTCCTCCCTTTCCCTCAGGAGCATCCGCAATCCGAATCAACACACACAGAAACGCATCCTGAAAGATCGCGCTCGCCAGCTCATGAGAAGCAATCCAGCCACCAACTTCACTAGACCCAGGATTCGTGACTTCGTACTTTGTACCGCCGCCGTGGTGCGTTTCGGGAGTGTGGTGGTAGAATGCCCAGTGGAAGTTGTTTGGGGTGGGGGTCGGAGCGGATGTAGAGGGCGATGTAGAGGGTGTGCGGGGGGAGTGTGGATTGGGCGTGTTCTTGGGCTTTTTTTGTTTTTTTTTTTTTTTTTTTTTTTTTTTTTTTTCAATGTTTGCGGACATTTTGGGAGTTTAAGATGGAGATTTTAGAAAGGTAGGAAGTGTTTATGTGTGGAAGAGAAGAGAACAAAGCCGACGTTAAAACAAATAATCCAAATAAATCTCACGTGCACTATACTATGCATAAAATAAAACACACATCACAAGAAACCCCCCTTAATCCTCGTCCTCACAAAATCCCTGGTCCTAACCCTCAACTCAAACATCGCATCAATCTCCCCCACACTCCGTCCCTTCATCTCCGGAACCCAAAACCACGTCCCAGCAACAGCAATCACACAAAAACCCGCATACACGAACCCGGTCATCGCGCGCAGATTTCCAGAGTCCGGGTTGTAGATGTACGGTAGGATCAGGTTGAAGATGATGTTGGCGAGGTTGTGGAAGAGGATGCCCAGGCCTTGGGTTTTGGCGCGCAGACGGAGAGAGGATGTTTCGCCGGCTATGGCGTAGGAGGCGGGCCAGGCGCCGAGGCTGCATATTATTATTATTATCATTAGGGTTACGGCAGTGTACCTGGGTTCGTTAGCATCTTGATGTTCGGGTAGCGGAATAAGGGGAGGGGCGTACCAGATTGTGACGACGCTGTTCCAACAACCAGCAATACCCATACTCAGCCATAAGACGGTGGTAACGCCCAGTGATGACACCGTCAACGGCCTCCTCCCAATCCGACTGGCCATCCAAACCCCAATACCATTCGAAAGTAAACCCAGCCCAATCCCCAATATCAAAAACACAAGACTATACTGATCCGACATCCCCACAACCTGCAAATAATAACTCGCATTCGACAACAACGGCAACCCAAAAAGCACCGGAATCACCATCGAAAAAACCACAATCAACGTCCGCCTAGCATTCGCCCCCCGGAAACAATCCCGATACGTAACTTCCTGCGCCCACGCCCTATCCAACCCAATCGACTGCTGCAACTGCTCAACCACCTCCTCGACATCAACCTTAGAACCGTGTAACCGTCGCTCCGAGCGTAACGCCGCAGCACTCCTATCCCTCCGCACAAGATACGCCGGCGACTCAGGAACAAGCAACGCCATAGCAAACGGCACCGCAGAAAACGGCCATTGCGACGCCAGCGACACAAGATATGACTTATCTGACGAATCCCGACTAGACACATAGATCGCAATCGCACCAACAAGCTGGCCCAACTGCGTGAACGTGGGGAACAGCGCCATCGTCGGCCCGCGCAGACTCGTCGGCACGGTCTCCGAAATATACGTCTGCGTGACCGCGGTGACAACACCGATTGCGAAACCTTGCACAATCTTCCCGAACAAGAACACTCCGCGCCGCGTGTTAATGTCCTCGGGGACATTTGAGACGTACAGAATCGCGATCGCAGCGGCTGATATCAAACTGCCCCATGCTAGTGGCCAGCGACGGCCCGATCGGTCCTGCCAGGGTCCTGCTGCTGCTGCGCCGATAATCGAGCCTATGAAACCCAGCGCGCTCCATAGCGACATCCATACTGATGGGATAATGTGGCGGTCTTCAAAGAGTTCGCCGAAGTCCTGCTGGAAGCGCGGGATGGCGGTTACGGTGCCGACGATGACGGTGTCATAGCCGGATAGCAGAAATGAGGAACTCAGACCGATGCAGTAGAAGATGATTTTTGGGTAGAGCGAGATTGAGTCGCAAAGGGTTTCCTCGGCGATGTTTGGTTCGATTTCGTTGGATTCGATATGGCTTCGTTTTTTGTCTTTGGGGGGTGATGGTTCCATTGTGGTGACGGGAAATATGAATCATGGGAATACAAGTGAAAAAAAAAAAAATTAAAAAATTAAAAAAAAAATATATATATAAAAAAAAAATAAAAATTTTTTTGAAGAGGAGAGAGATTATATGAAGCTTGCAGATCTGCGGGGAAAACCTGCTAAGAAAATGTGGTTGCTGTCATGCGATGATTTGCCGAATATCAACCACGCCGGATACAGTGCCGTCTGCGGGTGTCAGATGTCAGGCAGGATATTCAGTAACATATGCATTTGTTGTACTGCAGAAATAGAAACTATACATGCGCCCATCCCCATGGCTTCAATACATGCATTTCATTTATCAAACAGAATTCTCCCGGCTCAGTGTTCTCCCCGTACCCGTCACTCTCTTCCCACCGGCGGACCCGACTACGCACTCTCCACTCCTTAAACGCATCGGTAGTCGTCCACCGTAGCACCCGATTTGCCCACAGCCCCATGAAGATCTGCCACGGCGAGAGCCACTCATTGACAGGATGCACGGCGTCATAAGCGGAGCCGTTGTAGCCCACACGGACCCGTGGATTGAGAAAGGTCTCGCGGTGCAGCGCCAGGGGATTGTCGGCGTGGATAAGACAGCACTCGGAGCCTTCGAGATGCGATTGGGCCAAGGAATCGGAGATCCCCCGGAAGCGGAGATGCTCATAAAAGGGGAGGGCTGGCATGGCCACTGATCGTCCGTTAATTCTCCGCCGAGAAAAAGTGCACAGAAAGGCGTGAAAAGATGTTCAAAACATACCCATTCCATTCCAGCAACTGGAGACCGGTACCGGAGCGAGGACCTTCATTGCCCGCCGGGACGTTGAGGACCGGAAATACGGCCAAGAATGCGTGACATGGCTGTTGCCGTGCGAGTCACGAAGAGCAAAGGTGTCGTAATATGACGGCGGGCTTGAGAAATCCAACGAACAAGCCGCTGCATAGTCACCTCCATTGGTGTCGAGTAATTCCAGCACATCCCCGGGCTAATATCGACAGCCTTAGCCTGGCAATAACAAACAAAGAGCGAGAGTACAAACGTACCGTGAATACGACATCATTCAAGAACAAAACCGAGTCGAATACCACCCCATCCCGAGCCAACTCCTCCAATGGCTGCAGACTCTGATTCCGCAAACGGGCAAGATACGGAATCCGTCGCAACTCCCTTTCTCCCTCGTCGTTATCAATCCAACCCTCGCCCTTTTCCGTATCCGGCACCTGTATGTCATCCTCATGCGTCACATCCGACAACACGACCTTCCTTGGCACGCCCAGATCCTCCAGATCTGCATCCAACTCCCTTATCGCGTGCTTGGTATTATCATAACTCCCACTCTCGTAGATGCTCAAAAACACCCGGTCGGGGCCCAACGCCCTCACCAAGTTCAGAATCGCATTATTCCAATGGCTCCGCAGGACCTCCTCGTCGTTCCAGTGGATGCTGGCGATGAATATACGTGCCGAGAGGGGAATAGCATGGTCTTGGGATCGGTCTTGGTATTGGGTGGTGCTGTCGATCCGGGCAAAATGGTTGGACAGGGAATATGTTTCAATCACGCTCCATACGAGGAAGAGAGGGATCAGCACGTGGAGAAGGCGTGGCAGCCGGAATCGTCGAGTTCTCCGGGGCCGGGGTTTGTATAGAGTGTCGACAACCATGTCTGGACATTATGGATATCAACAGTTTTCGTAGGATTGAGGTCGCAGCATTGGTAGGCAGACCTCCTTGGTTGGAGCTAGTACTGGATGAAGGCAGGCTGGTATGTAAAAAGGGGGTCTAATTCCCCTTAAATGGTGTGAGTTCCACATTTCCAAGTAGGGAAATGAGTAAAGCTGTATAGGTAGTACAATGCGCCAGGATTCAATCGCAATGTCTGCGAGAATGAGTGAACGGTTGACTGCAGATGCGATGGATGTACGGAGGACTTGGTAGAACGCGCGTGGTCACATAGCACAACACCACTCATAACTGCTCCCAGACAAAATCAAACTAAATCCCATAGCGTTAAATTAAACCCAGCTAGACATGTAGGGTAGAGACAATCTGTATAGCTTCATCCCTACCCAATCCGGTATATCCGACACGCGACCTACTCTGCTGCCAACCTTTCAATTGATCCGACACATTGTGGAGAGCCCTCCGCAAAAAAAGATCACCAATAACAAAAGCAAAAACAATTCATCACGCCGTTGATTGCGATACATAACTATGGTTCTTTATCTCTGATCGTCTTCCGAGGCTATCTCGGCTTCGTGGGGAAATCCACATCCGAAACGCGACCTCATCCCAAAACACCATCTAATGTAGCACCGGCGCTGAAATGGCGGCGAATACATTACAATGCGATATCTGTCTCGCACAATTTAGTCGTCCGGATCATCTCCGGCGACATTCCGCGTCACGTATGGATTGCACCTCACGCTTTGAATTTTTTTAGGTTAACGCCACGCAGATGAGGATCAAAGACCGTACGAATGCAATGGTTGTAAACGTTCATTTAAACGGAGGTATGTACTGCCGACGCATCGTCGACGGGGATAGATGGCTAACATCGCCACAGCGACGCTCTCAAACGACACGAAAGAACCTGCAGAGCACTTTTCACCAGCCCCGACGATATCACCAAAGATGACAATAGACCATGGAAACGAATCTGCCATGCTACTGAGCCAGACAGAAATGAGCATCCCGATGGCTTGACGCCGCAGTCTCCGGACATAGGCGGGTTGATCAACCAACCCATCAGAACACCAGAGAACGAATTTCTCGTGAGCATGTCATCGGGGCTTGATTTCACGGCGCTAGACTGGTTATATCCACCATCTCTCGAACCAGATATTACTCTTGCGGAACGACTGGAGTATCTGGCTTATTTCACCTCGGCACGAGGCATGGCGACGTTCCTTGATCGGGAGACGCTGCGACGGAAACAAGATATGATTTCTGGATACTACGACACAATAACAAGCACGATTAACGAGGACAAATATGATCAAGATGATGACCTCCTCCCTAAATCCACGGAGATCATCAATTGCTTGAAATCCACAGTGACAACCGACTCATCCACGATCGTCGCAGCATCCATCCCATCCTGGACATTAGACACACACCGTGCAGCCACAGAATTCTTCTCCCCTTCTAATATCCATCGCTTACTAACTTTCTTCTGGGCGTTATGGTACCCAACCTGTCCTTTCGTACATCGCCCATTCTTCAACCCCGCCAATGCCTCGCCAGCACTACTAGCCGTCGTGGTTATCATCGGAGCATGTATATCGCCAGACGAAGAGGATGGAAAACGAGCGAGGAAATGGATGGATCCAGTGGAGGTCATCACGTTTCGACAGGAGTGGTTTACTGATGCAGAGCAAGCACCTAAACCCGGTGATGGGAAGTGGAAGAAGAGGTTGGAGTGTATTCAAACGGCGTATTTGGTGTGTTCGTTACAGAAGCGTGAGGGCTCAGCTGAGGCGCAGGGGAGGGTGAGACGGTATAGACATGCGATGATGGTTTCGGTATGCCAACAGCCAACACCACCTACTTTACCCTACAAACCTGTACTAATTATGCAGCTCGCAAGAGAAATCGGACTATCAACAGCAACGCATCCCCGAACCCTCCCAGCACACGCATCCGACGAATGGTGGAGACAGTTCGCAGCTGAAGAGGAGATGGTCAGAACCCTGACATACGTCTTCCTCTTCGACGCCGCCCTAACAATCTTCCACAATTCTCCCCCGCGCATGGTCGTCTCCGAACTACGAATGGACATGGCTTGTCCGGAAACCTGTTTTCAGGCTGAATCTGCCGAGGAGTGCTTATCCGAACTTGGTAAATGGTCGGGTAGCGTTTTCTGGCGCGAGAGATTATCAGTGGCTTCTGTGGTGCGGAGGATGTGTCAACCTCGGCCCCAGGCTCAAGCATCAGAAGAACAAGGGCTAGTCCTGGGCTTCTCGCAAATTGGAACGTTAAACCTCTTCACCACTGTCCAATGTAAGCCTCCCCCCTCTTCCACCCCATAAACTCGGTTATTAACGATACGCAGGCCTCCACTCCCTAACCTTCCACCTCCAAAACTCCCTCATAACGCTCCCCTCCCCCCTAACTCCACTCCAAACCGGCCTTGAAAACTGGCGCCGCACATGGAACAAGCGAATACCAGAAGATTCGCATATCCCGCATCGTCCAGATACGTTGTGGAAACAGATTGGGTTTGCTAGGTATGCGCCGGAGTTTTGGCAGTTGGCGCGGATTTTGGTTATGAGGCTGGCTTGTTCTTCTGGGGATTTTGCTGATGGGGATGGGGAAGGTGGGTTGGGTGGGTTGGGAATGGCTGTACTTGGGGAGAGGGAGGAGGGAAGGGCGGGGGAGAGGTATGATCATACGGATATGGAGGATATTAATGGGTTGATTGAGGAGTATAGGAGGATGAGTTTGGGGGGTTGTATGTGACTTTCATTTGAATGGTGTATGCTTTTTTTATTGTTTGAGGGTACTGCGACGCTTCGTCCTAACGTTGAAATCCACCGGTTTCACGAACCAGAAGTTCTCCGTCTCCCATTCTCGTTCTGGATTGACGAGCTCGAAATCAAAGTCCCTCACCAAACGAGGGATCAACTTCGACATCTCGAGGATGGAAATATGTTTCCCCAGACATGTTCGTGATCCAAGGCCGAACTGTCTCGTTAGCATCTATCCATCTTTCCTTTTGAACGGGACAAGCACTCACCGGCATATACATGTCATTCATAACCTTCAATCTTTCTGGCCAGTTTTCTGCCTCAATCCACCTCTCAGGCCTAAACGCCCTCGCATCCGGAAAGATATCCTCATTATAATGCGCAACCCAAGTGTTAATCCCAACGACCGTTCCAGCGGGAAAAAACCGTCCACTAATCTCCGCGCCGCCAGCAGGGACTTCTCTCCACAACGGCAGACCAGTTGCACTGTGCATCCGGAGGGCTTCTTTCATGACTGCTTGGAAGTACGGCATTTCCTGGCTTTCCTTGAACGTGACTTTCTCGCTGCACCGTCCCTGCTCGGTGAACGAGTCGATTTCCTTCCGCAATTTATGCAAGACACCCGGACTCCGAAGACAATGGTACAATATCGCACTGAGACTAATCGCAGTTGTATCCGATCCCGCGATGACATTCGACTGACCCATCATGAACAAGTGGTAATCACTAACTTTCTCTGGATCCTTATCCCTCGCCAGAACCATTTTCTCCAGAAAGTCCTGCGTCTTCGTCTGCATTCCGGGCGCAGCTTCAGGGTCTGATTTCACCTCGTTATGCCGCGCGATCTTCCCCTGTACATATTGCATGATGTACGCCCGTCCGCCAGCTCCAGACCAGCTGAATTTACTTAGTGGACCGAAGAGCCGCGGATGCCATTGTGGGTATATCCCGACGAGGGTGCTGTACATCATCAGTTTCTGGAGAGCGGTCATGGCGCCTTCGATGTCTTTGCCCTCATTTAGGAAGCCTGTCTTTGTCAACAACCTGTACCAAGGGAAGAGGGGCAAAGGAGGGGGGGGGGGGGGATACCAAATCGTCCACCAAACGTAATACTCGAAATAACATCAAACGCATAGCACTGGAACCAATGGCCCATATTCAACTCCTGCATTCTATCCGCATATTCCTCAAGTCGCTGCGAGAATATATCCGCGCAGTCATCTACAAACGCCTCGTAATTTATCAACGAACTCATCGAGTATAAACTCGAAAACCGCTTCCTTGTTTCAGCTGCCATCGTTAACCACAAACTCAACCAAATCTTTACTGAAGAGGGAAGCTTACAATGCCTCTTGACATCCCTATCCGGAAACAAAGTCCACCTCTCCGGACTCGGATGCTTCCATCCCTCATACCAGACTGATTTGGTGAACTTGCTGCCCGTCCCGTAGATTGTCTTTACGGCCGCTGGATCGGCGATGCTGTAATGGTCTGGTGAAATACGCACGATGAGGCCGTATTTCTGGTGTAAATTGATGTTGTCGGTTTCGAAGTGGGCGGAGCGCACGCGGTTGAAGTACCATAGTTTTGTGAGGCGAGCCCAGAATGGGCCGGGGAGGGTGAGGAGGGGGGAGGCTAGGGATTTATAGAGGGTGTGGAGGAGGTAGAGGAGGGGTGGGATTAGGAATATGAGGGGGTACATTGTGTGAATTTAATTGAATGGGATGGGAATGGCTGTTGGATGGTCTGGGGAATTGACGGGTGAGCTGGGCTTATATACCCGTTACGCTCCCTCGATACTATGCCTATGGACAGGTGTGGAGGTATAGATCTCCGCCTCCACCTCCTCCCCCACCTCCACACTTTATTTGCCGCTGTTGTACTCTGTACAGAGCAATTGCTCTGGCATGATGTGGGGAATTGCCTTTGGAGAGATATTTCGAAGAGGTTCATTGAAGCATTTCAACGGAAAGTGAACCTAGATACATAGCTCATTACTGGCATAGAGCTGAGAATAACACTAATACATCGAATGAAGAGCCCGGCAACACAACATAACCCATAGCTACAGCAGCCCTCACATCAAAATAAGTTATCACTTCTTATCCCCCCAAAGCCCAACAATCCCCATCGCAAGCGCAGCCCCCGAAACAACCCCTCTCACCAAATGCGCAACTCTCTCCTCCTCCATCTCCTCCTGCACCCTCTCCCCATTCACACCCCCCTCCTCCGTCTCCACAACAACAATATCCTCTTCCTTCTTCCCCTGCACGCCCTTTCCAAGCAGATCCGCAGAGTAACTCTCCTGCCAAATACCCACCACCCAGTTCTTGATCCCGGACTGCCTGTTGAACCAGTAGTCGATGCCGTACGAGCCCAGGGCCGAGGTCACGCACATCCACACGAGGTAGGGGTGTTTGCGGTGGCGCGGGGAGACGAGGTAGGCGAGGAGGAGGGTGGTGTTGGCGATGTTGGTGAGGCGGAAGGAGTGTTTGCGGGAGAGACGTTTGGCTTCGGTGAGGGAGCGCGCGGCGGAGGTGGATGTGGGGAGGAGTTTTAGGGAGGGGAGGGTTACGGTTGTGGTTGTGTAGGAGAGGCCCTGTTTTATTGGCATTAGTACGGATGAATGAATACGGGTTGGGATGGGGACTTACGGTCAACAGGCCCAGGGAGACCGTTCCCACGAACTTGGAGACGGTGATGGGGCACAGCATGATGGTGGACTGGCTTGCCACGCCAAAGCTCTTTGAGTACAGGTATGGAGGTTGATGGAGTGTAGAGAGACTGTAGGAAGGGAAAGAAAAATATGAGGGATAGCCGGAAGTGACGTCGGAATTAGTTGATTACCCGACCAATGGCAGACGCCCGATTCCAAGCAAACAATTGGGCTCCGGGCTATATTGGGTAGCAAATATGATCGTTCTAGATCTACATACACACCAGCCAAGCTCAATTTCAAGATGTTTGGGGTAACTATGATCGTGGGATTTTGATGCCTGATTCACAAGGCTTATATGCATGCATAACTAGCTAATGTGATTACTGGTCCTTGCATAAATTGCGGATGCATGTACAGCGGTGTACCGACAGCCGCGGCTTTTCCCCTTTGGGCAGTGGAGAAGGCATCACCAGGGGACTCCAGACAGATAACTTCATGTTCCCTTCCTCTATCCATTCTCTATAGTATAATCCTCTACCTTTTACCACAAAATGTCCTCCAAACTAGACTATATCAGCGACACCTGGAAGGACGGTCTCTTCGGTACCCCATCCCATCCCCATCCCCAGATACCCGTGCATAACTAACTGGTACCAGCAAACAAGGTCGTCTTCTGCACCGGCGGCGCAGGAACAATCTGCAGCGCACAGGTGCGCGCTCTCGTCCACCTAGGCGCTAACGCATGCATCATTGGGCGGAACGTGGAAAAGACGGAGCGCGTTGCTAAGGACATTGCCACTGTTCGTCCCGGTGCGAAGGTCATTGGCGTTGGGGCTGTGGATGTGCGGAAGCTTGAGAGCTTGAATGATGCTGTTGCGCGGTGTGTCGAGGAGTTTGGGGGGATTGATTTCGTTATGTATGTCACGTTGCATTGGGGTGGTTTGGTTCATGCTGATATTTGTCTAGTGCCGGCGCGGCAGGCAATTTCCTTGCCTCGATTAACCAGCTTTCGGCCAATGCTTTCAAGTCTGTGATTGACATTGACGTCCTGGGATCTTACAACACCCTCAAAGCTACCCTGCCTTATCTGGTGGAGTCGGCCAAGAAGCACAGGGTCGACCCGAACACTCGTATGTCACCAGCCCCCAGTTAATAACCATACTAACAAAGCAAGTCAAACCCTCTCCCACCGGAACCGGCGGACGAATCATCTTCATCAGCGCGACGATCCACTACAGAACAATGCCCTTCCAGGCGCACGTTTCCGTGGCCAAGGCAGGAATCGATGCTTTGTCGCACAGCGTTGCGGTTGAATTTGGTCCGTTGGGTATTACTTCTAATATCATTGCCCCGGGACCTATTGCGGCGACTGAGGGAATGGACCGTCTCCTCCCCTCAGACGCTAAAAATGTGTACATCAAGACCCAGCCTCTTGGTAGAATCGGGTCTGTTCGCGATATCGCGGATGCGACTGTGTATGTCTTTGCAGATACTGGGAGCTACGTTAGTGGACAGGTGTTAGTTGGTATGTTTCCGTCTCGTGCTCAAACAACGAAATGTGAGAAAGAAAAGAACTAACAATATACAGTCGACGGCGCGGCCTGGCGTATGTCTGCTGGCGGTGGCTCGTTTGGAAAGCTCGAGTACCCCGACTTCCTGCTATCGGGGGATGCGGTTCCGAATGTGAAGGGGTCGAAGGAGTCGAAGTTGTAAGGGTCTTAGATGTGTGTTGATAGTTCAGGGGCGTCTTTGTTTTGATATTTGCTTTAATCTGGTTATTTGTTTTGCATAAATTAAATAATAGATATAATTCCTTGGATTGCTTTGTTTTGTTGTATATATATAGTTGAGTATGAGATGTCATCTTTCAAACGCCATTGTAAATGATTGCTCGCAACATAGCATCCCATCTGACAACCGGCGTTCTTTGAACTTGAACAATTCATTGTATAATACATGCATCCTTTGTTATCTTTATCTACCTCACGCATCAAAGGAATCACGGAATCTTCCATAGGATACTCAAGACAACAGGGCTTTCCATACTAGCCAAACAAAAAAGTCCTTTGACATGGACAAAGTATTGAGTATATCGTTTTGTCATCTAACCACTGGCTGGTTATGTTCAAAGAAATCCCACGGAAACTCTTATAGGGAACTCGAGAAATTATCATGCAACATGGCTACCGTCGTCTCTGGCATTGGAATAAATAGGCATAGATGTCCTCGATACATCTCTTTTGTTTTTCTGCTCTTTCTACGGTTCTTTCAACCAACTTGGTTACTGTTAATACCCATACTCATACTCACAACTATACTTACTGAAAAAAAAAAAATCCCTATGCATTTCACAATGTCCGTGTTCGAAGACGACTGGACTGACACTGCTGCAGAGGCAGCGGACGTGGCTGGCTCTATGGATGACGAGCTACAATTCGCCATGTCGGACGATGAATCCCCCAATAACCTCGCGGCAAGCATGCACAGCATCGACATCGACGACATCAAGGATCCCCAAAGCAAAATTAATCACCTCCTCAATAAGCTCGCAAAAGCAAACTCGCAAATTAAAAAGAAGAATGAAGCCCTGGTACTCCTCGAAGCGGCCAGGGACGAATCAACCAAAGAAACCAAGCGCCTGAACGGAGAGATCGATAGGTTGACTGAGGAGCTGGAGGTGGAGCAGGAGAATGCGTGCTCGAACGAGGAGAACATTGCGAGTAGTGTGCGCAGCAATAATTCATTTATGGGGTCGCTGGACCGTCTTAAGCAAGAGCTTGATGAGGAAAGGGTGCAAAGTGAAAGGAAGGGACAAACGATTGCGAGGCTCGGTGTGCAGCTGAAAGAAGCCGAGGAGGGATTTACGAAGGATGCGGAGGGGATGAATGGGAAGATTGGTGATTTGGAACAGAAATTGAAATTGGAGCAGGAAAAGACCAAGGAGCTCAGAGATGAAAATAAGGATCTTCGGACTAAAAAGTCGGATCTGGAGAAAGAGGTTCACGCTGCAGGATTGCAACGTGAGAACGACATGGAGAATTTGAAGCAATTGCGCACACAGCTCAAGTCGCGCAACAACGAGCTGAAGGACAGCCGCAAGCATGAGGAGGAGCTGGAGGAAGCAATGCGCGCAACGATCGATGAGTTTGATCAGCGCCAGGCGCAGGCTAGCCATTCGATAGATGACTACAAGAGGAAATTGGAGGCGTGCCAGAACGACTTGAAGCAAATGGCTAGTCAGTTTCAGAGTTTGAAGAATGATCGACAGAAGCAGCTGCCCGACTCGCTTCACGCGTCTGCAAATGTTCAACAGTCAGCCGCCCAGGGTTCGCCAATCAGTTCTCACTTTGATGGCGACAATAATAGCAGGGCTTCCAGCAGAAATTATGGTCTATTCCAATCTATGACGCTGGAAGATGAACTTGGGGATGGATTGGCGAGCGAATCAGACGAATACGAGCATGTCGAGCACCAGGAAGATTCCGACCCTGAGGTGGATGTTCGCTCAGACGATAGTGGTGATAATGCTTCTTTGTTGAACCAGAGTATCTCCACTGCATCAGACTTGCCGCTTGAATTGCATGAGTCGAACTTGTCGACGGATTCCCTTGTTCATGATCGCCGACGGATTATGACCAGCGATGGAAACATGTCCAATTCGGAAGATGCGCAGACGGGCACTTCAAACGACGAAAGCGCACTACTCGCAGACAGCACAAGCAGGCACGAGGAAACTCCGGTCGATCATCCGAGACAGCCCTTCGGGATCCCATCGACTTCGAGACGATTTTGGGCAGACGAAGACACAGCCCCGTATGCGCCACGATTTGATCATAGCGTATATCAGAAGCGAGAAACGTTTGAGCGAGGGACTCAGACGGAAGATATCGCTCGAAGCCCCGACCCGGGTTTCAATGAAGAGGATCGAGAGCGGCTTATCAGCACCCTGCACCCTCTGCTTTACCTGCTTTACATGCTGACGATACTATTGGGTGGTATGATAAACAGACTAATACGCCTCGAGGTAACCCTGAGAAAGCAGTTCAATCTTCCGACCGACGTTGAATACATCAAGACAAGTCCGAGGGATCAGATCCATGGGGCCATGGCGACATCTCCGAGCCAGCAGGATGATACGGCGCAGCACCGGTCGGAAGAAACCATGACCACATCCGTCCGGGAAGCCGAGGGGTATCTTAAGCGCCTAGTGCGATATGTACTCCTGTGGAGCTACATTCTCGGAGTTTTGATGGTAAGGCTGGTGTATGTGTGGTGGAGCGATGACGAGTGGCAGTGGACAGCAGCTAACAAGACCCCACGCTGTATTCCTATTGAGCTGCTTAGAGGCCACAGAAATGAGCATGACTGGGTACAGGTATGGAACTTTCAAGTGGTGAAAATTTTGAATGACCGCGTGGCAGGCTAGTCTTATGGGTGAGTGTCCGGATGCATTTTTAGAGCTGGCGGCTAAGCCACCTGATAGATTATGATCATGATGAATATATTGGGTATGGAATATTGAATATAGAATGGATTGGGTATTTTCATTCTTCATTCTTCTTCTTCTTCTTCTTCTTCTTTCCATTATTGTGTTGTTGTACTCTGTATAACATTTATCTCACAGTATCGAAACACTGGCGGAACAAGTTTCAGCCGGATCACCTGACATACATGCCTGAGGATCTAACTAAGCCCCAAACAGACTAGCGCCACGCAGGCCGTTGCGTCACCCACTCCGCCGCGACGCGCCACAGCCAATAATAGACTAGTGGCATTCGTCAACCACTCCTCTTCTCTCTTCTATCTTCGGAACTGCCTCCATCCCAACCATCTCATCTGCCACTCTCTTTCTTTTTTCTTATCTCACCCTACGTCCATCTTTTAAATTTCTTACTCTCCTATTCTTCTATTCTTCTTCTTCCTTTCTCCCTTGCTTCATCTGCTTACTGTCGACCATGTTCCTTCGTTCTTTCTTATTAGGGGCTACCGCCCTGGCTGTGCCTTCAAGCGCCGTGCTTGTCGTCCCGGAGACTCAGGGAATCGCTCCTGAGGATGGCATTTCGGCTCTGAGCCCTCTGGAGGTGCAATCTACACAGCAGCAACTGATTGAACTCTCTTGCACCGAATGTCCGTTCCGCGAAGTCGACGAGGACGGCCAAGTCAGCTGGTCTGACGGTTTCAAGACGTCTCTCGTAAGTTGCACTGACAACTAGTCTTTATGCAGAAGGCATGCTGACATGCAGATCATAGTCCATGAATTTCTCGGTCGATGATGGATTGCTCCTGGCCAACGGTCACCAGGTCTTCCCGCCACCACCACCTGTCACTATCAACGCCGTTCAGCGTCGCGAATCCGATGGCGAAGAATCCGACCCGATCCCTTTGGGCTACGCCCTCGAGGTGATGCCTTTGCCTATCCCTCCTGAGGAGGAGGTCGAATTGTTGGAGATCCGTTTCACCGTCCTTGACCTCGACAGCCACCCCGTTCCCCTTGATACCGTTGCGATTTCCCTGATCCACGACCGTGAGGGCAACATCTACATGGCCAAGGCCGAGGTGGAAGAGACCGCGCCCAACCGTGTGTCCTGGAAGCAGTGCCGCGGAAAGCCCAGCTGCTTGAGACAGCTTCTGTTCAACCGTATGCGCGACTTGTTTGCTGCCGCCAAGACCCGTATGCTGGGAATGAAGTCTAGACTGGGTGGACCCAAGGGCTGCCACGGTCGTCCTCCGTTCCCTCGTCCCATGCACCATGGCCCTCACCACCACCACGGTGACGGTGCCTGGGCTGAAGGTGGCCCCTCGCACGCCGGTGACCACCTCCCTCCGCCGCCCCCGCCGCACATGCACCACTTCCACCACGGTGGCTTGCACCACACTATGTCTCGTATCTTCCGTTTCATTGTTGTTCCCGCCGTCCTCGGTGTTCTGGCTGGTCTTCTCGCGAGTGCCCTTGGTATGCTGTTTGGCCAGGTCGTTATCTTCTTCTGGCTGCGTTACCGTCGCTCGGGCGACAAGCAAACCACTGCCAACTTGGAGCGAGGAACCGCGTCTGAGAAGCAGGGCTTGATGGAGGAGTCTGACGAGATTCCCCCTGCTTACGTTGACGAGGGAGTCATCGTTTCGGATGAAAAGCAATGAATAACAGTCGCCAAGGCAGATTAACATTATGTTTATATGTATAAACACGGGCTGTGCTGTGCGATAGTCCTTGAACATCACTTTCATGACCTTTTTTCTTTTTCTTCTCTCGGTGCTTTTGGTATTGGATTCTGGGCTTTGTTGGGTGTTTTGTCTTTTATTCTTGGATTCTCTTCGATTACTTCAACAAACTTTATTGGCCTGTGATTAGGTTGAATAGATACGTTAAATCAATATCCATATTCTCCTTAATGGACGCGATATGAACCTAGATATCTGAATATCATGTACTATGTAGAGCAGTCAATGTGGACAGATCACGTGCAGCTAGGAACGTGAACTCCACGCATTCCCCTCCATCGGCATCGCTCTCGACATCAGCCCCAAGGCGCATCGCAGCCCCCAGTTTGCTTGTTAGGTTGCTGCGTGTGCCTCTACGATGACTACCTATTGTTTCTCTTCTCACATATGGGCATTCCTGCTTACGGGTTCAAGTGCCGTCTAAGCTTCTAGTTCGAGACACCTCCGCCGAACCTCCATTCCTCTCCCTCTATTCGTCCGACCAGACCGACACCAGAGGCTGTTGACAGCCTCCCGTTATCTGCCTGTCTTTGCCCCCCCTATAGTCTCTTTTCTTTTGTCCAACCAACGTCATGATGCAGTGGTCGTCATTCGTTACCAAGGCCCAATCCCTGATTGATCCGGCCAACTTCAGCCTTCCCGCTCTCACCTCGACGGATCGCAACCCATCCAAGGCCTCTCTCTTCCGTCAGCAATTCCGTCTTCCAGACTCCCAGAATCCAATGCAGGAGATTACGGCCGAACTAATCCTTCCGATCCCTCATGGCACCGCAAACCGAGACCGTTCGCGCGACTTCGACCGGGCCGGAAACCGCTACGTCGGCCGCCTCCATATCAGCGAGCGATTCCTCTGCTTTTCCACACAGCCCACGAGCTTTGCGCCCTCTGCTGCCCTCAATGCTTCGACTAACTGGGCCGGACAAACACATGGTACGGGACCGTTTGGGAATGGGTTTACTCTGCCGCTATGCTGTGTTCGTCGGGTCGAGCGACTGAACAGTCTCAGCCACGTCTTCTCTCTTGCCCTGACCACGTGGAACGGTGCACTGGGCAAGACGCAAGAACCGAACTTCGTTCCGCAGCGATTCACCATCGAGCTGGTAGGAAGCAGGCAGGCCTGTGAACGATTCTGCGATGGTTTGAAAAGGGGACTGCGGGAGTGTATGAAGGATATTGAGAGTCTGCGGGTGGTAGTAAACGACTGCTACTCGGAATACCTGCTGTCTGGTGCCAAGTCCAAGGCGCAGGATGAAAGTAACCCTGCCGATGTGCGTCAAACGCCTGATGCTGGGTTAGGGATGATTTTCCGCTATCCCGGCGATGCTCGCAAGCTCCGGGACCGAAGTAAGATGAGGCTGTGGGGTGAATATTTTAGAGGTACGATTTCCCCCGCTTTGTATGATGGTGTTTATTAAGGCGTTGTGCCCTAGAAAATGGCCGGAATGTGACTCTTGTTCGACAACCAACCTTTCACAAGTTGGTCAGAGTTGGTCTTCCTAATCGGTTGCGAGGAGAGATCTGGGAGTTGACCTCCGGTTCTGTCTATCTTCGGATGAGGTCACCGAAACTATACCAGGAGACTCTTGCCAAGTTTTCGGGACAAGAGTCACTGGCGATCGATGAAATCGAGAAGGATTTGAATCGAAGTTTACCCGAGTACCCTGGCTTTCAGAGCGAGGAAGGTATTGGACGCCTCCGGAGAGTCCTTACAGCCTACAGTTGGACCAATGCGGAGATTGGGTATTGCCAAGCTATGAATATTGTCGTGGCCGCCCTACTAATGTGAGTGCCTTGGCCATGGTAGCTTGGACTGTTGCTGATTTGTCTAGTTATATGTCCGAAGCGCAAGCTTTTTTCCTCCTGTCTGTTCTTTGTGATCGCCTGGTACCGGGCTACTATTCCACAACTATGTACGGCACGTTGCTTGACCAGAAGGTGTTTGAATCCCTGGTCGAGAAGACGATGCCAATTCTGTGGGATCATCTTGGGAAGTCGGACGTCCAGCTCTCTGTCGTTTCCTTGCCCTGGTTCCTTTCCCTCTATATCAACTCTATGCCTCTCGTCTTTGCTTTCCGTGTGCTGGATGTGTTCTTCCTCGAGGGTCCTAAAGTGCTATTCCAGATCGGATTGGCCATCCTTCGGATCAATGGTGAAGAGCTTTTGGACGTCCAGGATGATGGCTCTTTCATCTCAGTTCTGAAATCTTACTTCTCCCGTCTGGACGAATCAGCCCACCCACGATCTGAGAACCCCAAGCTCAGAGCCATCACCCGCTTCCAGGAGCTGATGGTGGTTGCTTTCAAGGAGTTTTCTGGTATTACACACAGCACAGTTACGGAGCTACGCGAAAAACACAAGAATGCCGTTCTCGAAAACATCGAAAGCTTCGCCAAGCGCACTTCTATCCGAAACCTAGGACCTGAGAGCAAGCGTCTCAGTATGGACGACTTGGGTGTTATCTATGATCGATTCTACGAGGTGCTCTACAACCATCAACAAAGACAAAGAGTCAATGACGAAGAGAACAAGCGCCAAGAAAAGAAGAAGATTGAGCGGACTTCGGTTCTTGGACCTCCTGTCGACAGAGAAGTCGGACGAGTTGGCCTTGGACCAAGTCCAACACATATGGACTATGCCGCCTTCCAAGACTTCCTTGCCGCCACATGCAGATGGGCAGTTTCTGACTCTTCTGGTCCGTCCGGGAAGGGCTCAACGGCTGAGCCGAATTACATGGGTTTCAGGGGCTTCAACCGATCTTCGTCTTCTCTGAACAAGCCCGAACCAGCGGACCACGAGTTCATGCAGCGTCTATACCGTAAATGGGCAACTGACCCATCGGAAGGCTTGAGCTTGCAGAACGTGGTCAACGGACTGGCTCGCCTCAAGGGTCCCCGTGATATCATGAACAACATCAATTACTTCTTCAACCTCTACGACGACACTGGAAATGGTACCGTTGATCGGGAGGGTATCCTTAGAGTCTCGGAGACCTTGCTTTTCCTGTCGCGGAGAGGCTTTGAAGGCACGGTTGCGCCTAGTCAGCCCCTGGAAGAATTGAATGGAGGTCATGATGGGGAACAAATCGATAATGACAAGTTATCTACTGAGGAACGGTTCTTGGGTAGTGTCAGCGCTTTCATTCGTCGCTGCTTCGAATATGCCGACCCTAGTCATCCTGAGAACTCAAAGGCAGCTGCTGAAAAGGGAACAGACGAGAAGGCAGATGAAGCAGTCGATAAACTGGGTTCATTCAGCATCGGCGAAGACGAAGAAGACCTAATCGAAGTTGACGAAAAGCCCAACCGCGACTCAGCAACAGGCACCCCAGACCCCGAAAAAGACGAGCAAGAAGCTCACAACCGCGCGGCCTCGGAATCCGCAAACCTTGCCCTCGACCCCAACAACCCCCTGCACATCACTCTCCCCACCTTCCGCATGGTCATCCTCGCCGACGAACTCCTCGAGCAATTTTTCGACTCTTTCTTCCCCACCTCCTTCCACCTCTTTGACCACCCCTCCCACCCGGCCTCCATCGCCTCCTCCTCCCTCTCCTCAAACCTAACCACCTTCTCCAACCTCAACATCCCCAAGCCCCAATTCTCCGCTTCCAACAACGTCTCCGTCGCCGGCGCTTCAGGCGGCATCGTCCCACCAGGCAAGGGTCTCCGCGGTGTCCTGGACAACATCGTCTCTGACGGCATCCGCATGGCCGCAGAAGTCAAGAAACGCATGGACGAAGCACAGCGCGATCTCGAGCGCAGCGCCGTCCATCGCGAAGACGAGGACGACGAGGAAGACGAGGAAGATGAACATCACCCTCACCGTGGAGAAACTACTCCCTCGCCTGCTATCGTGGGCGGGATTTCTAGCTGGGGCGCTGGGGCGTACGGCGCAGATCCGGAACGACGGAGTGTACGTGAGGCGGATCGGGATTTGTTGGAGGGGGCAGAGGTTGTTAGTGTTAGGGGGAGGGATGAGGCGAGTTTGTTGGATAGTGATGATAAGCCGGAGGGGCAGGAGATCAAGGCAGAGAGTCATGCACAAGGTAGTATTGGTGGAAGTCCTCAGGGTGAACGTGATGTGTCGCCTTCTGCTGAGCATGGGACTGTTGTTAGTAAGGTTGTTGAGTTTGAGTCGTGATGGCCACCCGTTTCTCTCTTTTCCTCTCTTATTGCTCCCACTCACTCACACATACCACACTCTCTCTATTTCTATATCTCTCACCTTCCTTTTTCTTCTTTTTTCAGTGTTGTTAATACCAACGCTATCGTTGACTTCGTTGTTGTCTTATCTAGCCATTCTGTCGTTTAGATTTCTTTTCCTTTTTCTTCGTGTCTCTTTACTGCGTTGTACTCTGGTCAGAACAGAAATCCATGTATCATTTTCCATCATTTCCATCATCGATTCATTGTAGTCATATCTTTGTAGGCATATATCCATATCCATTTATATACTCAAACAGCATGCCTGTTCTGTACGTACAAATATGTATCTTTACACTCGAGTCATGATAATATACAACGACAATACAAGATCCGATCCATGCATGCCAGAATCAAAAAACGTGCTATTCAAAAATAGAAAGACGAAAATAAGACATATATCATAATAAGCATATGCATTAGATGCAATGCAATGTAATGCAATGCACGCACATATGTACCAGTATGTATGTATGCAGATATGCAGATATGCAGATATGCAAGACAAGACAAGACAAGACACAAGATGCAGCGGGTATATCCAAACCAGATCATAAAAAAAAAAAAAAAACCAAAGTAAACATAAAACAAGCACCAGGCCTCATAACCAAACCAACCGACAAATTAAAATGCGAATAGATAAATGCAACGAAACGAAACGAAGTCAAACTCAGGGCAGGGGATCAATCCTTCTGCCCCTCATTCTCCACCAACTCCAGCACAAGCTGCCCCCTGTCATACTCCGGATGCTGCATACATATCTTAACCGTATGTCCCATCATCGCTCCCGACGCACCGATCATCAACCCACTACCCAAACCTGCAGCCGGCATTCCCATTCCCATTCCCTGTCCAGAGCCCGGCAATGAACTGCCGTCGTCAAGGCAGACGACGTTATGGCCTGGGATCACCTGGCGGAGACGACCGTTCATTGCGTTGCGGACTTCCACGAAATCCTCGTTGAAGAGGATGAGGAATTTCCCATACAGACAAGCTGTATGCGCGCGGCCGACAAATTCCATGACGACGCTTCGACTCACGTCGCCGTGTTTATTGACGTAGACCGCGCATTCGGCGTATGCGACTAGGAACTCGCTGTCGGAGAGACGGAACATGCCGAGTGGGCGGAGGTTACTGATGCGCTGTTCGATGGAGGAGAGATAGGCTTGAGTATCTGGTTGTTCGGAGCGGAAGTCTGGGACGGACCAGGTTTGTTTCTTGTCGATGGTTAGGATTTCGATACCGCGTTGTGTTGAGATAGCCAATGATGAGTGGAACATGTTGATAGCGTAGGACTCGGCGGGGATATAGAACTCGTCGTATTCGCGGAAGAACTCCGTCTGCGAGCGGCGGGCGTGGATGTGTGTGAAGAAGCGGTGTTTAGAGGAGGATGATTTCTGGAGGACGGGCTCGAGGACTTTGAAGGTGGAGGAGAGGCCGTCGCGTTTCTTGTACATGATTAGCAGGCGGTCTTTCATGCGGCCGGCGGCGAAGAAGCCGACTTCGCGGCCGGAGAGCTTTTGGGGGGCGCGGCGGGCGGATTCGCTGGGGAGTTGGGAGATGCCGGATGAGGGGCAGACGACGTCGAGGTGATAGGCTACTAGGGAGCGGTCGGAGATGAGGAGGAAGGCGTTGAATTCTTCAAAGACGGCGATTTGGGTGACTCGCCCGATGGGGATGGCCTACTTTGTTAGTTTTAACTCAGCAAAAGGGTGGCTCGTGACATACCCTAACCCAACCACGGGGGTCGTTGTACTCCGACAAGTAAACTCCGTTATCCGTCCCAATAGCACACATCATCCGTCCAGGGGGTTGCTGAAAGACAGTAGCACAATTAACATTTGTCTTGCAAATCGGCAGTGGCCTAGGTCCAGGACCAGCATATTTCTCCTCCACAGACTTGATCGCACGGTCAAGCGGCGTGCCCTCGATAGTCACACTCTTAGATCCCCCGTGGTGATCAGAGTTCGCGAATGCAGTATCCGCCAGCACGCGCAGCCGGAACGGTTCTGCATTTTGGGCATACAACGCAGCAGCGTGTTTCGTTTTCGCTTCAGTGATCATCTCGCACCATTCTGCGCGGCTTTGCGCGGAGAAGGCGTACAGCGTGTACGTCCCGTTCTTACCAAGATGCTTAATCTTAAATGGGTACAGAATCTTGTCATCCTTGGGACTCTCAAGGACTGTACTTGGAACGAGAGAATTGGTGCTGTTGGCATGTGTTAGAGAATTCGGTCCCATTGCACCCGAGCGCACAACATGTGGAGGTGTGACTGTAGAAACACCGCGAACAGACGACTTCACGACTGGATCATCATTGGTACTTTCGAGAACAAGGAGATCCATCGGAATAGGCAGCTTGGAGATATCGAAGTACTCGAACTTGGCTGTCCTGGATGAATCACGGGCCGTGACGCTCTTCGCCAAGACAAAATAATGGTCGAACAGAATGGCATGTGTATCGACGAGGAACCGAGTTCTCGTTCCTGGTCGCTGCAAGTCACCCCGGAAGATGATCTCGCGACCCAAGTGTTCGAGATTCAATTCTACCTCTTTCTTCATCTCTGGTCTGAGTTGTAGCTTGGTGGACAGCTCAACAAGATCAACCTTCTTGCTCATTTCCCCGACCTTGTTATCACACTCCAACGCAACCTGCTTAATCTCCTCCATAGCCTGTGCAAGATTCGACTTCTCCTCCGAGTCCTTAACTGTATTCTTGTAAATCGTCGAAAGCAACAGCGTATACCGCTGAATCCTCGTAATCGGAGCCTTGAGATACGTATCCCACGACAACCGATGCGACGACTTATGATCACGCGCCTGGTTCAAGAACTGCCTGAAATGCACATTCCGCTCGGACTCCCTGCGAACAAGGAAATTGGCGTACGGGAAAGTGCCCGCATATTCGATATACGTTGCCTTGGCTTTGCGGATCCATTCGCGGAAGATATCGCTGAAACCAACGATGAACGGGCCCTGTTCTTTCTGCCGGTATTTTAGCTGCGCGAGGAGAAAGTCCTCGTTGGCGCGTTTCACGCTATCGACTCGGCCAAAGACATCGGTTAGGAACTTGTTCAGTCGCTTCGGCGTGATGATGGATGGTTGCATGGCTGCCAGCTGATCCCGATACAGTTCCCGTAAGATATCCAATTGTCCAATGTAAGCATCTTCCGTGGTGACAATCTCGTGCAGGTTATTCTGGCGGTCGACCTCCTTCTTCGGATACGACTCCCACACATCCTTGGACACCTTGTAGAAAGTCACCCAGTCCTCAATCTTCTTCTGCGGCTCCATCATCTGCGCCTTCAGGTTGACCTTCTTCAGCGTCCGCATGCAGTGGTGCGAGTAACAACGGCCAAACACTTCCGACTCCTGCTCGTGCAATCGCGACGAGTAGCATCCTGTTCCTGTGATCTGGAACAATACACCAGAGAGCGTCCCATTGCCGAATTTCACCCATTCCTCGTCCTTAATCAAAGCCTCTTCCGTCAACATGTTCTTAACCACGCGAGCCGCCAGCGTCTCCGCATCAGCAATATTCATCGTCGGAACCTTGTGCGTGAAAAGCGCCACAAACGCATCCATGATAGCATGTTCTTTCAGATCCGTTTCACCTTCGCTCATCTCCCGAATCCACGCAACAACCGCACTAAGAGCCCAAGGCTCCGCACATCTCTTAAAATGGTCAGACGACAACTTGGCCGGGTTGAACTTCTTGCGTCGGGCTGCTGGGATCGTGGGGAGATCGAGTAGCGCGGGGTCAGCGTCCTGGAAGAAGGCGTCGGCACGGAGGCCGCCAAGCTGTGACTGGCGGACCAGCTCCTGCTGCTGCTTGTACTTTATGCGGTCTGCGTCGGTCTTGGATCGGATGGGAGGATCGGCACGGGGACCGATGGGTTGGGTGGATAAGGAAGTCGAGCGCGGGACCTGCGTCGGGCTGGGCATCGCCTGTTCGTACGAGTCTGGGGTGTAAGCCTGCGTGAGCTGCGTGCGGCTCGTCGGGTCAATTGGGTCCTGGTGACGGTACGTGCCTGCCGGCATCAGGTGCGGAACTACAGTGGCGTTGTCCATCGGTTCAACAGGCGCAGGTGGCAGCGGCCGCATTCCAGGATGGAAAAAGAATTCCCTATGATCTCCTCGGTCTGAACTCTCACTACCTGAGCGATAGACATCAGCACCTTGAGACAAAGTGACATCACCTTCATCGCCATAGTCAAAGCTCATGCGGCGAGTAAAAGCACCAGGTTCTGCAAGTCCGCCAGTCCCGCCAGCGTCCACACGAGCATGGTTGATCGAGTAGCGAGGTTCGGTGGGCATGGATTGGTATTCATAATCCTCAGAGTAATCACCATGCTCATCAGCGGGCATCTCGGACTCTCTGTACGACCCCGAAACCCCCACCGCAACCCTGTCGTGATCGTCCGCTTCATCAACGTATTCGGGTACATTGTAATACTCGTCATGTCCATAGTGCATTTGGGGCGTGTAACCATCGTCATAGTGCGCATAAATATCGTCGTGCGGCGAAGGTGCCCGGTCCGAGGAACGGGCTGCGTACGCACTGAATATCGAATCATTCGTCTCCCGTCGTGTCCGTCCATGTAGGCGACTCTCCTCCGCACGTTCTTCCTCCTCCGCCATTTGTAGCATTGCCAATCCGGCCGCGGCTTCCGCATCACTCTCGTCGCTGTACGCATCGTAGTTCACATATTGTCCCGTTCCCGTGGCCATGTTGCCATTGGCGTGTCTGTCATCAGAAGCGTGCTGGGGCGATGCAATACGCGTGTCGTCAACCTCCTCCTCCTCCTCCTCAATTGGCTGGGGATGTCCAGAACGCGACTCTCCTGAATTATGTCGTCCCGCCAACCCAATCCGCCCGTCCATCACAGCAGCCTCAACCTCCTTCATCAAGTCGTCATAGTTCATCTCCTCTTCCGGTCCAGCATGCAAATCACCTATCCCACTCGTACCAGCCAGAGGGGCCGGCGCTGCATCGAGATCCGTCTCCACTGGAGGACCAGGCAGAGGACGGGATTGTGGATGCCGCGTTAAGGTGTCTGTCCGGCGAGGCGATTGCTGGCCAGGCGGTGTTGGCAGGGACCGCCCGGAAGCGGGACGAGAAAAGCTGGGTCGTTTTGCAAATATATCATCGGTTGGGGTGGAGTGCGCTGGAGGCTCTGGGGGTAGTTCGTTGTAGGTGGTCGGTGCGGTGCGACGCGGGGATTGCGGTACGTAGCCGGCTCCTTGCGATCCACGAGAGTATGAGCGCGATGATATCGAACCTAGACTCGTAGCAGTAATAGAGTCTCTCGAAGCATACGCAGTGCTATTGGAGGCCGAAGACGCGGAGGTCGTGCTATAAGCCAGTTGCGATGGCGCTGCAGCACCAGATCCATATAAACCATCAGTTGAACCAGCAGAATATGACGGACGGCTTCCATAGGGATGATCTGGCCCGCGGGGAGGCGGTGGGGGCGGTATTTGCTGAGAAGGAAACCCGAAGGACAGCGGAGTCGAGGGAGTCTGTGCGTAAGGCGACGCGATAGTACTAGGCTGGCGTTGGACATTCTGCGAATCCCCATACCCAGCTAGACCGGCTGGCTGGTATGCTGCTGGATTGTACGGCTGGTGACCACCCGCATTGCTGCCTGTGTAGAGCGTGCCCGAGCTCGAGTAATTTACGTTGTTGAATCCGAACTGCGACGGGGTCGGTGGGAGGGCGAATTCTTGGGGATTGTAAGGGCGCGAGGTCGAGATGGACGGCGCATACTGGTATCGAGACGAGCCCTGCGATAGATTCCGGCCATGAGAGGTTCGAGGGGAGGTCCCTCCATACCGGTCTTCCCAGTCATCGGCACCTTGTGTTTCACCATTAACACCCCCGCCATATCTTGTCTCCCAATTCATTTTCCGCGAAGATTGTAAACGGGGTGAGTTGAAGAAGCCAGCGTCATCTCCTGCGTCGTAACTGGGCATTCGTTGAAGCGGGGGTGGTTGGGTCTGCTGGGGGGTATAGAGTTCGTAGCGACTGGGGGAGGCGGCCTGACGGCCACTCGAATACGACATGGTCGCTTATCGAATCCAGCGCAATCGGAATGGAAGGGAGTAGAGGCGAAGAATGGCGAAAAGAACGAGGGATGAGGGCGATTGAGGGGAGAATTGCGTGGGCTTTTCCGGTCGCCCTACAGAGGATCGGGCTCGGGTGTGTGTTGTGCGTGCGTGTCGAGAATAGAGACACTTCACTGGAGATAGTTAAAGAGGTAAGGACCGAATAAAGATACCACAATAACTGGACGAGGAAGAGCCTCATCCGGAGGTCGTCAACAGAGAGAGAGGGAGGGAGGGGAGAGGAAGGGAGGGATAACAAAAGACGATGTTCTCTTCTGTAGTCCGTCTCCTCCACACGCGGCTGTGCACAGAAATGACGCGGACCCAGCAGAGCGGGACAACGGTGGTGTGGCTGTTACAATATTTATTAAACAGAGAGGAGATAGAGCATTCAATCTCACTATATCAAGGGTTCTATAGCTATGCAAGTACCAGTACCTGTTGACACGCTATAATCACCGCCACACCCAGGTACTGGTACATATATGTCCACTACGTCGGGCAGAATACGAACCAGTGACCCATGTGAATTTCCTTATCTCCTTTGTCACTACTCCGTATTAACTAACTGTTGTTTTCAATTGCCTTGCCATGTAACTGCGTATTAAAGTAGAGCATCGCGCTTTCCCCCTTCCTTGGTCGTTTCTATAGGCGGACAAGATAACCATGCCAATCCTCACTGCAATTCCTCTCCCACGCTGCCAAGGGGATACTCTCCACCATTGACTCGTATCCTGCTGCTGCCCGCTCTTCGGTATCAGGTTGCATGTGATGCCAGCCATTGACAAAATAGCAATAGAAAATAGCAATTATAACCACAATAAAATGTGCTGGAGATCCACCATTTGCATGAAATCGCGCGGTATTATTAGAACAGTATCGAAAAAAAGAAAAAATAGAGATCCCTTAAATAGCCAGGAAATACTCCGAGGTATCGTCAGAGTAACTGGGATTAGCCAGCATTGCGCGGGAGTCATTATAAATAGACCAGTCATGGTGTTTGAGATAGATTATTTCCCGTCATAGATTTGGTCCGGCGACAATGTGAATTCTCCCTTCTTCAACTCTTGCTCGTCGACGTGATCGGGCTTGATATATCGTGCTGTCAAGGCAAATCGCAGTTTCTTGTCGGGAACAACCGAATGCTAGACGGTCAGCAAGAGCAATATACAGAGCAATGGCACATACCTCGTAGTACTTTTGGAGGTTCTCTCCATGCATCACGACCAAGTCGCCATGATTCAACGTCATCTTGATAATTGGAGACGCTTCTCCATTTCTGCTATGTTTAAATAGGACCGCTCGACGCAAGGTATCGTAGCCGTCCTTCGTAATTTCCCCGGTTTTGAATTGCTCCTTGAGTGTCCGTCGTTCACTCTCAAACCGGCAACCTTGCAGAACGGGGTCATCGTCGAGAAGCTTTCTGGTTTTACTAAATCCATGGTAGTGTTTGTACTTCATCCGAATGTACATAGTGGCCGTTGCGCCCAATGAAAGCGTTGAGATTGTAGGGCCGAGTGACGATTCCCCGTCATCATGATACTGAGCAAGTCAGCGACGTGCACTTTCCGGAGAGTCAAAGGACCTACACCGATTTTCATGTCTTCAAAGTAACCCAACATGAGCAGCTCGTTCGGTGGAAAGTATGAATCGGCCGTGTCCACAACCGCTTTCTCGGTTGCCCAACTCAAACGGCCCAATGCTCGTAGGATCTCATCAGGTGCTTCACTAAAACCTTTAGAGTCCACGGAAACCACGTATTTATACGGCATTCCCTATTCAATCAGTAGCTAATTTAATAGCATATAGCATTCACAACTCACAAAGTTAACAGCAAAGTGTGCAGTAAGTGTCCCAGGCACTTTAAAGCGTCAGCTCAATACCAATGTGGGAGTGAAGTAGACTTACCGACACTTTGCTGTAAAGGATATCGTCGCAGCCCTAGGTCAGAAGCCTGGAGCTGGTGGAATAGGTCGTTGGGTCCGTTTGTGCGACTGTTAATGGCCTTGTTCGAGACAAAATGGGTGACAAACCCTACACCCGGTATGGGATAGGTGAGCTTTCGATATGGATGTAACGAAGAATCGTCGACTTCCGGAATCATGAACTTGCGATCGAAGAAAAGGGTTCGCTTGATCGGACCCAGCTCGAAATCATCTATAACTGAGCGTAAAGAGGCAGGTTGGATATTCATCGTTTTCTCGAATGAGCAAGCATTGCAGTCTGGTCCAGTAGTAACATCATCTATGCATTTCCAGCCTCTCCAGAATCTGCGCGATATGCACTTGGAGCATTGGGGGCATACGATACCTCTCCAAGCGATCCGTGAGAGGCTGGCATCACCTTCATATTCGTTTATCGTAGCCAGCAGATTAGGGACCAAGCTGTAGTGCGGTTGTAAACTTGGGTCCGGGGCTGCACGATACTTGAGGAGGTCCGGGTAAAAGGTGAGACACGCCGGGGGAACTGAGCCATCAATAGTCCAGAAGGATTTACAAGATGGTTGAAGGCACATCCAACCTTCATTATATATGCGTGTGCTAAATTTGGAGCACTCCAGGCACTGCACCCTCTCGGGCTTGATGTCCACCCGCTGCTCAAGGGGCGATGGTGGTGGGGAATCTTTTTCTGCCCACCAGCTTTTGTTCTCGAGGTCAATCTTTTCGAAGCGTACCTTTCCTCCAGCCTTTCCACCAATTCTCTCAAACCAGATATCCGTCACACGAAAGTAGGCCATCACATTGTATCGATGGGGAAGCTTTCTTCCTAGAAGAACGTTGCGGTTCCCTACAATGTCAGCAGTCTCTACTTCACCTGTGAAGACGTCTTACCTATAATTAAACCGACTGGAACATTATGTTCCTTGCTATTTATAATGCTGGTTGTGAAACAACTTTCGTCTTGGTCTTTGAGGAGAACCAAGTTTCCGTCTGCATCTTTGGTGCAACCACCACCACTAGTAGGGTTAAACAGAAACTAGAGGCCAAAGACGGTATACTTACACTCTAGTAATGATGACTTCGTCGCCGATATAAGAACGTATGCCGCAATCAGCATCCATGAGGAAGCCCCAGCAAAAACCACCATTATGATATACCCCACCTTGGACAGACCGAAACCAGGGAAGTGCATCACATAGCTCAGGTCGAGTCTAGTGATTATCAGTCACAATACCATGCTGATGTAGGTCGGAGTGACCAACCTCTGCCCACGCTGGTGGATCTCCGTCAACTGGTGGCGCAGATTCAAGGTCGACAGCTATTTCTGCTGCTTGTATTCTGATGGGTGAGACTTTTACAGATTAGCACGGTCGTGTCCAAGTATTATTCAGAGTGATCGACTGGCATACTAGGGGCGGCCTTTCGAGCTCTGGTTACACGACCTGCTTTAACAGGCCCAGATGGACCAGATGGGCCAGATGGACTGCGAGGCTTCCTGGTTGGCCTTGCCATATCTATATAGCTGCTTTACTGGAAGTAGTGAGTTAGAAGGGCCAGTAGATACGGTCTCTCTTCTGGCGAAGCCTGGGAATATAAGGGACGAAACGAACAGCAAAAAAGGTCCCTCAAGATGGCATCATTTCATATGGATATATAGACTGTTCTCAGTCACGATTAATCGAGCGACGTCGATGAAGAAGGATAAAACAACAAGAGTACGATGATACAGGTGGCCTCAGGAAGTTGAAGAGGTGAGGGTCTCGTGACTGTTGGTCACGTTCTCTGATCCGAAAAGGGAAAGTGAGCATTCGACCTTTGAATTGCACAATGCTTGTTGATGAGAGATACACAGTAGCTGATACAATAAGATAGCTCGAGATATTGCTAATATTACTAGATATTATTTTTCATTATCGCTTCAGAGCATGATTTAGTGCTCCGAGGAGCGGGTATATATATATATATATATATCTACAAGTGCGGCCGCAGTGGATCACTTCTGGAACCATTCGAGAATGGACAAACCATGTTCTCGGTTCTCCTGTTACAGTCACTTAAAGAGAATATTCTGAGAATGTTTCTGGAATCCAAGAATCACTATCCCTGAGGAAATTTCTTCCATTAAGCCTTTATTGGATGATGATGCAATACCTGTACTGTTTGCCATGTTTGTCTGCCAAAATGCATCGTTAAGCTTTGCAGGGTGACCGCTTTCCTTCTATGGCCACCGTACCTGTTGTAGGCGATGTTTTTCATCTCTCTTCCTGTGTACTCCGGAGTATGCCATTAATATAGAAGATCATGCATACGGCAGACATCGCGTCGTAATGGCATTGTGAAGAGTACATTAGTGCCACGGAAGACAAAGAAACCATGCATAATTGAGTTGGGGCTTATGACGACCCTGCATCCTGTCACGGGCTCGGAATAGAAGATAATAACGAACTGAATTCCTATCTAGACTATTGCAGCCATCAACGAGAATATCGAATCTGGGGAAGAAGAAGAAAAGGAAATCTATCTAGGCGATGAACGGTCTTTATAGGCATTTGTGTGGTGCGGCTTAAGCCCTTGTTTGCCCATATTGCTTGTATGGCATCGTTTGATATGTTGGCGCTGTTTGTCTGGCGTTGAGCCGTTGAGCCGTCACACATCCACTCTCCGAATCCTCGGGTAACCCGAGTGGCGTTCTCCTGAGTTGAAAGAAACAATATCTTGGCCGTGTATGGGGACATTATGGACCCTAGGAACATCCGTATTAGCTTTCCCTTGCTCTTTTTCCTACTATGGAGACCGTTCCCTACTCCGTACCCAATGGGCATATGCACAAATACTATTAAGGTTGTGTGGAGACGGTGGAGTGCAGGAACACTAACTCGAGAAACGCCTCGGCTATTTCAGGCTTTTCCGCAATCCGCAGCCTGGCCGAGGATTGTTTCGGGGGAATACTAGTACTCACTTCGCAATGGCCGCGGAACTGGTAGTGAACCACTGGCAATGACAATGGAGTACAAGTACTTTTAAATGGAGCCGGCAATCAACCCCCCGTAACCGCGATTTCTTCCCGGCTATATAAAGACGATTCCCCGCATCGCATCTGCCGAAGATCCCTAACTTGCCTTTTCTCCTCCTCATTTCTTTCTCTTCTCTTATTCTTCCTCATTCTTCTTCGAAACAGTTTACATACATTTCAGTTGTTGATTTTGTCCAATCCTTCCGTTAGCGCCGTTACTCTATTTCGTACCTTTTAATCTCCGTCAATAAATCTCCGCACCGCCAACATGGTCTTTACACCTCCCGCTTGGGCCCCCAAGCTCTCTCAAGTCCCGGACAATATCCCAATCAGCGAATTCATGCTCAATGAATCCTACGGCCGGTATCCCCTGAGCCAGGCCCGCGACCCTTTCACCTGCGGCTTCACCGGCAAGTCGTACTCCGCATCGCAGGTCGTGGACCGGGTCGAGCATTTGACTCGGGGATTGGCGAAGGAGCTGGGCTGGAAGCCTAATGAGGGTTCGGAATGGGATAAGGTGCTGGGTATTTTCTGTTACAACACGGTATGTTTCTGCAACAATCCTGGAAAAAGAACCGAGCTAATCGTATTTTGTGACAGATCGACACCCTGCCTCTGTCCTGGGCTATCCACCAATTGGGCGGTCTGGTGACCCCCGCCAACGCCGTTTACTCGGGCCCTGAATTGAAGTACCAACTGCAGGATGCGAAGCCCAAGGCCCTGTTTACCTCTACTCCTCTTCTCCCCACAGCCCTCGAGGCTGCGTCGTTGGCCAATTTCCCGAAAGACAAGATCTACCTGATCGACCTGCCGCCACAGATGGGCAACGCAAAGACACCTTCGGGATACAAGACACTGGCTCAGATTGAGGAGGCGGGCAAGTCGCTTCCTACGGTTGAGAAGTTGAACTGGAAGGCTGGAGAGGCTGCTCGTCGGACGGCGTTTCTCTGCTACTCTAGTGGTACCTCTGGTTTGCCTGTATGTCGCATGGAGTCTTGTTGAAAAGGATAAGAGCTGACAACTATCACAGAAAGGTGTTATGATTTCTCACCGGAATGTCATCGCGAACGTTATTCAACTCACGTCGTATGAGGAGAAATACCGCCAATCCATCACTCCCGCCGGAAAGCCGATTTACACCGATGTTTCGCTTGGTCTTCTCCCCCAAAGCCACATCTTCGCGCTGGTAGCGGTTTGCCATACTGGTATCTACCGTGGCGACCAGATTGTCGTGCTGCCCAAGTTCGAGATGAAGTCGTACCTCGAATCGATCCAAAATTTCAAGATCTCTTGTCTCTTCGTGGTATGTACGGTCCTAGATGCGACAAGGGAAGAAGCTAATTCTCGCAGGTTCCCCCAATCATCATCAACATGCTCCGGAACAAGGACCAGTGCGCCAAGTTTGATCTGAGCTCTGTTTCGAACTTGTACACCGGTGCCGCACCACTTGGCCCGGAAACGGTCGACGAATACCTCAAAATTTACCCCAGCGTAACTATCAAGCAAGCATACGGTCTCACCGAGACGTCGACTGTCGTCTGCTCAACTCACCCCAAGGATTTCTTCTTGGGCTCATCTGGCTGCTTAATACCCGGCGCGGAAGTTCGCATCTTGTCTCCCGAAGGTCAGGAAATCACATCCTACGATACACCCGGTGAATTGGTCGTCCGCAGCCCCAGTGTCGTCTTAGGCTATCTGAACAACGACGAGGCCACCAAGGAGACCTTCCGGGACGGATGGATGCACACTGGTGACGAGGCCGTCGTCCGCCAGAACCCGGAGACTAAGTCCGAGCACATCTTCATTGTCGACCGCATAAAGGAGTTGATCAAGGTCAAGGTATGTACCTATCATCGGATCAATAATGAGGTAGAACAGCAACTAACTGTCCGCAGGGCCTGCAAGTCGCCCCCGCCGAACTCGAAGCCCACCTCCTCACCCACCCCGCCGTCGCCGACTGCGCCGTCATCGCCATCTCCGACGACGCAGCAGGCGAAGTCCCCAGGGCCATCGTCGTCAAGTCTGCTGAAGCCGGTCCCGACGATGCGGCAACCACCCAAGCGATCAAGAAGCACGTCGAGGAGCACAAGGCTCGTCACAAGTGGCTCAAGGGCGGTATTCGGTTCATCGAAGCTATTCCCAAGAGCCCTAGTGGGAAGATTCTGCGGAGACTGCTTAGGGACCAGGAGAAGGAGGCTCTTAGGAGGAGTGGTCCTAAGCTGTAGATTTCTTTGCTTGCTTTGTTTTTGATGTTATGGTTGGTTTACGATATACACTGGTCGTTTCGTGTAGATTTGGCATATGCCTCGTAGATAGTATTGTCAATTTGAATATAATTAGAAGATTCAAGGTATTTCTACAATATTCTGCGAGAAAAGTAGAAAACAAGGTAACTAGGGCACTGTTTACTTGGTGGCATGTTTGCAGTGTTTGCTCCGCGGGGAGATTGAATTTCTAAGCGGAGTATTGATTTTTTCTACAGCCTCTCACTCACTTACATCTTGTGAATTATCTCTATTATTTCTGTTTGTATATCTCTGAGGAATAGGAATTCTCAGAAAAAAGAACTAAACACAAACAACCAAAAACAAACCCCTCTACACACAATCTAGCAATACCGCTTCAAACCCTCAAAAATGTCCGCCAACAACCACCACGAAGAAGAAGACGCCTACCTCCAAGCCGAAGACGCCGAAGAAATCGTCGAACGCGATGAAGACCACCCCATGGAGTCCGATGACGAAGGCGAAGGCCAAGACAACGAAGGCGACCAAAATATGGACTTCGAGCCCCAAGAAATCGTCCTCCAAAACGACTCCCTCGCACACTTCGACCACCACAAAGACTCCCTCTTCTGCATCGCCCAGCACCCAGTCCACCATAACATCGTGATTACGGGTTCGGGCGATGACAGTGCGTTTATCTTTGACAGCACGCCGACGCAGGAACGCCCCGTGCTGCCTGCGAGTTATGAGTCTGATCCGCAGCCTAGAGCTGAGAGGAAGGGTCTTGAGCCGCTTGCGAAGCTAGATGGGCATAGCGATACTGTGAATGCGGTTGGGTTTACGGAGCCGAAGGGCGAGTATGTTGTTACGGCGGGGTTGGATGGGAAACTACGTGCGTGGCGGGATAGTTCAGCGGGTGGGAATGGGACGGCGTGGGAGTTTGTTGCGGAGGCGCAGGAGGTAGAGGAGATTAACTGGGTTGCTGTGTGTCCCTGTGGGGAGGGGGATGAGGAGAAGAGGAATGTTGTTGCGTTTGGGGCGAATGATGGGAGTGTGTGGGTGTTTAGGGTTGATTATGAAGATGCGGCGCAGCCGGTTGCGATTGTGCAGTCGTTTTTCCAGCATACGATGGCTTGTACGGCTGGTGCGTGGACGCCGGATGGGAAGCTTTTGGCGACGGTTTCGGAGGATGGGACGTTTTATGTGTATGATGTGTTTGGGGCTGCGGCTGCTGTTGGGATTGAGTATTCTGCGGGCAGCAGTGCGGTTGTTGGGTTGACGCCCGAGGATCAGCGGTTTGCTGTTGATGGGGGGTTGTACTCTGTTGCTATTGCGCCGTCTGGTGCGTTTGCGGCTGTTGGTGGTGCCGAGGGTCATATCAAGGTCGTCGGTCTTCCACGTCTCCCGTCGTCTCCTGGCGCTGCGTCCTCGTCCAAGGCCAAGACCAAGGCTTCCGCTCCGCAGTCGTTAACCGGTGCTTCTGCCGCAGGCACTCTCCTCGCCTCTCTGCAAACCCAGACAGACGGCATCGAAACCCTCTCCTTCTCCTCCCCCCCACTGAACTTCCTCGCCGCCGGCTCCGTCGACGGCACCATCGCCCTCTTCGACACAGCCCACCGCTTCGCCGTCCGTCGCCACATCAAAGAAGCCCATGAGGCCACCGCCGTCGTCAAAGTTGAGTTCCTGCAGAGCCGTACTCCCGGTTCCGCCCAGGCCACGGGCCAACCGCTCGGCCGTCCTTCTCCTCTTGTCTCTGCTGCAACGGGCCAATCGCGCTCGTGGCTGCTTACGACCGTTGGATTGGACGGTGTTGTGAGACGGTGGGATGCGCGCGGTGGAACTGCGGCTGCTGGACAGGGGTTGTTGAACGAGTGGAAGGGTCATGCTGGGTTGATGGAGAATACGGAGGGCGAGCAGAGTGGGGGGATTATGGGCTTTGTCCAGGGGGGTGATGGGAAGAGGGTTGTTACAGCTGGTGATGATGGGGTTGCGTTGATTTTCGAGGAGTAATTGCTTTCTTCTCTTGATGGAAAGGTCGTTTTGTTTATAGATGTGACGGACCAACCATATGCGAATGAATTATGCTTATGCTTATGTTACCACTACGAGTATCCCAGTCATACACTAGGCTGTAGTGAAATGAATTAAAAAAGCATTCATGCAAACATAATACACTATATACACCCGACAAATCAATCACCCAAGCGCCGTCTGTAGCAGATAACCCTCTTTAGCTCAGGGTCTAGACAAGACATGCAATCCACACAACCTCGGACCCGGACCAGAGAAGTCATCCATAAATCTAGGGTATCCATCTTCCCACATGTCGGTCAATCCAATTCAGCCCATCCGGTTCGTTCGTTTTGTATCCCTTTCTACTTTTCGTTCCCAAATGGTGCCGCATCTAGTGGTGACCCTCCCCATGATGATGCTCATCCTTCAAAAAGAAGTGCTCATAAGCGCAGTATCCCGCAAACGCAACGCTCGCAACCCCAAAGCCCGGGAAAAGTCCCTTGAAGCGGTTGAATCGGCTGAACGGGCCGGTGTATCTCCAGATTTCGCTGTGTTTGTTAGCGTTAGCTTGTATCCAGACTGCGTTTGCTTGCATGTTTTGGGATAGGGTATGGGAGGAAGGGCTGGGGATGAGGGGCAACATACTTGCGAGCCCAGGGGTCTCTTTTGGCGTAGACGGAGCGGGGGGAGGCGGCGCGCTTGAATTCGCTGATGTCGAAGCCGGTGGGGTTGGCCATGGTTGCGGTGTGGGTGCGGTGGTTTGTGATGTGTTGAAGGATAGTTGAGAGGAGGAGGACAGAGACTGCGATTCCGCACGCGTTCCGGCAGCAATTGCGACAATAGAGGTATAGAGGATCCTAGGAATAAACGGCGAAGTGAAGCTACGGAAGTTGAGTGAGAGAACGGGCTTGGCGCGCTAAACCCGATATGGCGAATATAGGCTTGTCCGCCTTTTGGTGCCGGAACCTCGTCTCTTCCCACACGCTGTCTGGCTAATCTGTATCTCTACGAGATCGCGACCCCTTTTATCTATTAATCAGATGTTCGAACTGATCACACAACACACCACAACATCACGACCATGCCCCCTCCCGTCGGCAGATACGGGCCCTCGGGCCTAAGCGCTCCCTACGCCCAACAACTCCAACAAGCCCATCTCCAGCACCAGCAACAACAACAGCAACAGCAACAGCAACAACAGCACCAGCAACAATCCCAACACCATCCAGCATCCCACCCCCAATCCACCAACTCCGCTCTCCCCCCTCCCTCCCTAGGCGGCCACCCGGGCTTTGCGGCGGTAAACCCAAACACCAACATCAACCCGTTCACGCTGTCCGGCGCCGCGGGCATCACAAACGGCATGTCTGTCGGTGGATTCGCGGGCGCGGCAGCAGCGGGTGCTGGTGCTAGTGCTGGAGGTGCTGGGGGTGATGGCGGGGGGACTGGGTTGGCTAGTCATGCGGCGCAGATGGGGTTTGCGAGGGGGGCGCAGATGCAGCAGCAGCAGTTACATCAGGGGCATGATGGACGGTTGGCGTTGGAGAACAAGGTCGGGGCGGCGGTTAAGACGAGGATACGGGATGTGTGGAAGCATAATTTGGCGCAGGAGATGACTGTGCTGAGGCATTTGGTCGAGAAGTATCCGTACATTAGTATGGTAGGTTGAGCGACTCGAGTGGCGTTGTGTGTGTGTGTGGTGATATTGACGGTTTAGGATACGGAGTTCCCCGGAATCGTCGCTCGTCCTATCGGTTCCTTTACGAACAAAGCGGACTACCACTACCAGACGCTTCGGTGTAACGTCGATCTGTTGAAGATGATCCAGCTGGGTATTACGCTTTTCTCCCAGGAGGGTGAGGTTCCTCCGCCCAACGCGACAGATTCCAATGGACAACCGTATGGGAACAGCTTGGTGCCTGCTCCGTGCACATGGCAGTTCAACTTCAAGTTCTCGTTGGAGGATGATATGTACGCACAGGAGTCAACGGCTATGCTCGCCAAGGCTGGCATCGACTTTGCCACACACGACAAGAACGGAATTGATCCTTTCGAGTTTGGAGCATTGCTTATCAGCTCGGGTCTGGTCTTACTGGACGACGCCCACTGGATCTCGTTCCATTCCGGTTACGACTTTGGCTACCTGATGAAGATTATGCTTTGCAATCCCCTTCCGGACAAGGAGGAGGACTTCCACAAACTCCTCAACATCTTCTTCCCCTCGTTGTACGACATTAAATACCTAATGAAGCACGCCGGTCGCAATCAAGCCGTGAATGACACGCCTTTAACACCCATTGCCGCGCAGATCCTCACGAACCTCGGCCAGAAGTCCGGTCTTCAAGATATTGCCGATGAACTGGGTGTCAAGCGGGTTGGAATCGCCCACCAGGCTGGGTCGGATTCTCTCGTCACCGGTGAAATTTACTGGAAGATGCGCCAGATCGTCTTCAACGGCAGCATTGACGAGAACAAGTACTCGGGGCAGATCTGGGGTCTGAACGGCCAGATGCCTGCGTTTACGTACCACATGGGACCTCACCATACCCCCAACCTGAACGGAGCTACCATCTACACAGCCACCGGGACGCCTAGCACACCTAATGCGCACACACCTCAGCACCATAGTCTCGGTATGAGTGCCTTGACTCCCGGGGGAGGACTCATGGGAGCTTTCCAGGCGGCCAAGTCGTAGGCAAGCATTGTTCACGTATTCTGGGTTTGGATCCGGTGGGAGGAGTTAATGATTCTTTTCTTCCTTTGTTCTCCAATTATTTCCATCTTGTCCCTTTGGGACGATTGTCGTCATTTGATCTTTTGTTAGCCACGATGACTGGTTGGGAAACGTGGAATTCATACGATCTGATGCATGTACATAGCGCGGCACATTGTGCTGATCTTGTCATTTCCTTTCTGCATTTTTGTTACCGTTCCGTGTCTCGGTATCTGGTTCGTCCCTTCGTTCATGGGGCATGGGGTCATGCCATTGGCTTGCCTTGGACAGGTAGGTGTTCATGGAGGGGGTGTATGGTGTTAGTTCTTAGGGCTGGCAATGAATTGTTTCTACTGTTGAATGTTGATAGGTCTGCACGGGGTATTATCGGTCGTACATAAGCGGTTTATTACTATTGCGATACGACTATCCCCGCTCGGGTTGAATCCAGATTATAGTTCCTAGTGGGCAGTGAGACCATCGGGCTATTCAACCCGGCAGCACTGCCATATACCCTGGTATGCAGGATAGGGTCCGGTTTCCGTATTGTAACATGTGATGCGATACGCACGCTATACCCGATGCGGAGAAGCGATCCGGGTATTATCTACTATCACTGATATGCATGTGTTGTAGCCATGTACATCCAGCCATGGATGAGGAGGGGGAGGGGTAAATATAAATACCCCGTTGTCCAGCATGTGTTCTCAACATCCTCATTCTTACCACAAGTATCAGGAAAAGAAAACAGACAAAATGGTCCTCGACCGCATCCAACAACTCGCCCACCAAGTCACTGCAACAACCCCCCTCCCACACCCTCTCGACCCCCTCAGCACCACCGAAATCGACACCGCAGTCTCCATCATCCGGTCCCAACATGGCAACCTCAACTTCAACGCCGTTAGCCTGTACGAGCCCCGCAAGGTGGAAATGATGGCCTGGCTCGAGGATCCCTCCACAGCGCCTCGACCCATGAGAGCGGCTGACGTCGTTGCTATTGATGCGAGCGGGAAGGTGTACGATGGGGTTGTGGATTTGGGGGAGAAGAGGATTTTGGCCTGGAAGCACACGGAGGGCGTGCAGCCGTTGATTACGATGGAGGATTTGCAGGAGGTGGAGCATATTGTCCGGCGGGATGAGAGGGTTATTGAGCAGTGTGGGATACTTGGGATTGCGAGGGAGGATATGGGGAAGGTTTATTGTGATCGTGAGTGTTGTCTCTTTCCGGAAGGGGATTGGATGGTGCTAATTGGGTGCAGCGTGGACGATTGGTTACGATGAACGCTTCGGGACTGGGATCCGGCTGCAGCAGGCGTTGATGTACTACCGGCCTAGTGTTGATGAGTCGCAGTATACGTACCCGCTTGACTTCTGTCCGATCTATAATGCCCAGACAAAGGAGATTATCCATATTGATATCCCGTCTGTCCGACGACCGCTCAGCAAGGCACCCCCGAACAGCTACCATCCTGAGGCCATCGAACAAGAGGGTGGTTACCGGAAGGACCTGAAACCCATCCACATCACGCAACCAGAGGGCGTTTCTTTCAAAATTAACAACCGAATTATCGATTGGCAAAACTGGAATATCCATATTGGCTTCAACTACCGTGAAGGCATTGTGTTGAACAACATCACTTTCAACGACAAGGGAACCGTTCGACCAGTGTTCTACCGTCTGTCTCTCGCGGAGATGGTTGTTCCATATGGAAACCCGGAACACCCTCACCAGAGGAAACACGCGTTTGATCTGGGTGAGTATGGCGGTGGATACATGACCAACAGTCTCTCCTTGGGCTGCGACTGCAAGGGCGCGATTCACTATATGGATGCGGCATTTGTCAATAAAGCCGGTGCGAGCACGACTATCAAGAATGCTATCTGCGTCCACGAAGAAGACGCGGGTATCCTCTTCAAGCACACCGATTTCCGTGACGAGTCTATGGTTGTTACCCGTGGGCGGAAGTTGATCATCTCGCATATCTTCACGGCCGCGAACTACGAGTACTGCGTGTACTGGATCTTCCACCAGGATGGTACCGTGCAGCTGGATATCAAGCTGACTGGTATTCTGAACACGTACTCCCTGAACCCTGAAGAAGACACAAACGGCTGGGGAACGGAGGTGTACCCCGGTGTCAACGCGCATAACCACCAGCATCTCTTCTGCTTACGTGTTGATCCCAACATCGACGGTCCCAATAACACGGTATTCCAAGTCGACACCACGCGCGCTCCTGGTGAGGTCGGAAGCGCAGAGAACAAATACGGAAATGCGTTCTTTGCGAAAAAGACGAAGTACACTACGCCTCGCGAGGCTATGTCTGATTATGACGGTAATACCGGACGTACGTGGGAAATAGCCAACACGAACAAGTTAAATGAGTACAGCAAGAAACCTGTGTGCTATAAGCTTGTTAGTCGAGAGGTTCCGCCGTTCCTCCCTAAGCCGGGCAGTTTGGCTTGGAAGAGAGCTGGATTCGCGAGGCATGCCGTGCACGTTACAAAATGTAAGCCCTCCCCTCCCAAAAAACAAGAAATACTTACTAAAAGGCACACAAAGACAACGACGAACAACTCTACCCCGCCGGCCGACACGTCCCCCAAACCTCCGGCGACCCCTCCGCCGGCCTCCCTGCCTGGATCGAAGAAGCCGAAGCCTCATCATCATCCTCTAACAAAATCGACAACACCGACATCGTCCTCTGGCACACCTTCGGCCTAACCCACTTCCCGTCCCCTGAAGATTTCCCAATCATGCCCGCAGAGCCGATGACCGTGTTACTTAGGCCGAGAAACTTCTTCACGAAGAATCCGGCGTTGGATGTACCGCCTAGCTTTTTGAGGACGCCGTCGCAGGCTGCGAAGGGGGTAGAGGGGTGTGGGTGTGCAGGGAAGAAGGGGAATGATGGGAGTAGTGTGTTGGTTTAGGTGGTTTTACTTGGCGGACTTTTACTCTATTACCGGTGTTTCGTGTATAATTTGTTTTTTTATTGATTTTCATCTCGACGAAGTACACGTTACGCGTGCTTAAAGTGACTCATCTGCTTTGGAATGGGGTGACGGAGTATTGCTTTATTTGATGCGGAATTCTGGGTAGCCCTAAAAAGCAAACAAGAGGATGGGGTAGTGACTGCAACCCCCCATTTCTCTTATGATCAATCATCTTCTTTTCTAGCTCACTTTACTCTTCTTCCTCTTGTTTCTCTCCTCGTGGACACTTTAACGTCTCCATCTTTTTACACGTTATATATATTCTCCCTCCAAGCGACTCATACGACCCCGAAATTATAAGACAGTTATAAAGCTCTTCCATAGCCGCGTGATATATATCAAGTCTCTTCTGTGACTGCCACGTTTCAAGAAGCGCATCTTTTGCTTTTTGATTGGCCAAACTTCCTAACTACTGGCCATTTCAATGAACCGCTCGTCCGTTCGAGGAGAGTTGGTCTCTCACGTAAGTGAATTAGAGCTAATTAGGCTTCGGTATATCATACTACGGATTTGACTGACTGACTGGTTAAGAGACACAAAGGGGATTCCGTGAACGGCAGACCCATGTGTTTTGCGGGGTGTCGTGCTTCATATATAGGGTTGGGGATACTTTCCACTCTGGCCGAGGATGAATGTTGGGTCATGGTACTTGTGGATGATGGTCAGTTTGGAGTCTTACTTGACGAACCACGATGTATACTGAAAAGGAATGGATTTTGCTAACACTCATTAAGATCTGTTACAGCTATCCGGTCTTCAAAAGAACTACATAGCCCCATTATATTTCAACAAATATGTCATCGCTTTAAGCGGATCGCCTTTCGTGTCTTCCCGAAAAAAATCGCCATGATGAGCTCCTGTTCTCCATCAATCTCGCCAAACCCATCTTATGGCAGTTATATTTGGCTCTCTCAGGAACAAGGCTTACGGCAGAACATTCGATCAGTTTTGCCAACACCATGGCTTTGCGCGGATCGCGTTTCCGGCTGTGGTTGACTACGGACAACTACCTCCGCAAGTTTCTATATTTGTGGGGGGTAGAGGTCAAACAGCCTCAGGGGAGTTTGGACAAAGCCGTCATTCAGCTTTTGGCGTTCTTCATTGCTCACTTTGTGAAGTTGGAGCAGTCGTTTGAGGGTTTGGGCTGTCACATCTGGCTGCCGAGTATTGTAATTGTGTACAGCCAGCCAAGGTTATCTTACATTTTGCACTGTAAAGCAGGTCAGATTGTAAGTCCTTCACTTCTGGTGGCTTCTGGTCCGTACTAACCAGCATAGCTCAATTCAAGACTTGGTCCCTGAAGAGCCTGCTGCCGAAGAGTGGCCCGCTCAAAACCGTCTGGCCAAGGTTTCGCTTGAGGACATGGCTCTATACCAGAAAAGCATTTCCCCGAAAGAAAAGAGCTAAACGGACGCCGAACCCTCGCAGAAAGGGGTCTTCCAATTCCAAACAAAGATGGCCTAGTTTCCATCCTGGTAGTCTGAGGTTTTTTCTTGACGAGGAGGGGAATTGTCAAGCGTATGCCTTGAACAATTTTCTATAACTGTCTTGCGGAAACGGGTAATGAAAGAAAGATGCATTTGGTTTCGAATTACTTCCTTCGTTTTGGCGACTAGCGGCAAGCGCACCTGGAAGAGCTCGCCCAAACGACTGGACGTTCCACAATATTCTTCATGGTTTCGTGATATAGTGACAGCGCGCCTTGTGTTTTTCGATATATGTTTGTCTAGATCCTCAACGGTTGAAGATTAGTGCCTGTTCGATGTCTCGGATACCGTCAGTAAATTACATGACCCTAGCGCCTTTCAAATGGAAAGACCTTATAATAAGCTCGAAGTAGACCTCAGGTAGCAAGTGAAAATTCAGTGTTTTGAATTGACCGAGCAGATTATCCATTGCTTGATTCTGCTATTTGTTGTTTCCCTGGGGTGCAAGGCTCAGGGTATGGGCACGCTGATCTGAAAAAAAAAAAAAAAAAAAAAAAAAAAAAAAAAAGACTGGAGACGCTTTACAAGTACAACGTCTTTTGCATTCTCTGCTGAAAATTGAATCAATCCGTTGACGAATTCACGAGCCATCACTGGATCTCAAGTGTTGATGCTGTCTCGTAACAGAAGTGATTTTGACGGCTTTATACCTCTCTTCTGATCGATTACGCCTTGCTTAACCTGGAAGGCGAGGTGGACATGCTCTACATAGTTCTCAACCTCGGACGGTAAAGGCTCCGGCAGGATCGTATTCAGAAGAGACCCATCTACCAATCGTTTCCATGTCCGATGCCCAGCAGTGCAGGGGATTGCACACCTGAGTGTCATCTGTTCCCGGTGTCATCACGGAGCCGATTGAGCTTGTCTGCCAAAGAAGACGAAACTCGCAGAACAGCGCCACGGAGACCACAGCCCCCTCATCATCTTCAGTCGGCATGCTATGACGTTGTCACAGCCGAAGTATAACCTCTTTTCATATCCGTCCACCTTTTCCGCTCCACTAATCGATTATAAAGCCAGCGAGGGTTTATACCAGCGTGGTGGTGGGAGCTGAGGAGCGAGCGTGCGACAAACACGCACGGGGAGCTATAGGGACTTATGAGCTAAATTATAAATGAAAAAACTAAAGCAAAATGTATAATTCGTCCGATATGGTGTAATGGTTAACATCGCCGTCTCTCACACGGCAGCTCGGGGTTCGATTCCCCGTGTCGGAACTTTCTTTTTTGCCGGATTCCGGTCGACCAGATTATTTTTTTGCTTCGTTTTTGATAAATACTACTACGTTTATCTGCAAGTGACAAACACAATAGAATGCTTTCTTTCTCATGAACGCCATGATAAATACAATCCCATACATAAACAGCCATATCAATTCCGAACAAGACGTCAACCCGAAACATTATACTATACCATATAACCAGCCCACAAAACAAGCCAGAACATCAAGACTCCCCGATCACAGTCAATCACAATCAACTCGACCTCTTCAACCCCTCCTCAACCTCCTCCATCAACCCCAACAACTCCTTCCCCCCCTCCCCCTCCCTCCCCTCAATATCCAACCCCTTCTCCAGCACACCCTTCGCCTCCTCCCACCGTCCCATCTCCTCAAGACACTTCCCAACCCTCCACCACCCCTTCACATTCCCCAAGCCCTTACACTCAACACTACACCGCGCATCCACCAACCCTTCACACCAAGCCGACAACCCCATATACGCCTGCGCGCGATTCGCATACAGCCCTGCAAGTTCCTCCCTAGCCAGCGCAACAGGTTCCCACCCGGGTCTCGAGAGTGCCATGTCGATTGTCAACGTGTAGAGTTTCACGGCTTCGGCATGGTTGTTCTTGCGATAGGCGGTGTTGGCGGTGTCGCGGAGTTTCGTGATTTGGGCGCTGCGTTTGGGGTTTATGGGTAATGGGGCGGGAGGGATGTTGGGGGGGTCGAGGGAGAGGAGGGAGCGATGGAGGGCGTTGAGGGTTTGGAGTTCCGAGTCGAGTTGTTGGCTGGAGGGGGATGGGTGGGTGATTGCTTTGCTGGAGGGGTCGAGGCGGAGGGGGTATTGGGTGAAGAGGTCGATTGCACTCATCGTGATGGTTGGTTGTTTGTTGGTTGGTATAGTATTAGAGATGTTGTTCTTTGATGGCTGCTTTGGAGTTAGTACGAGGGTACGTGTGGATTAGAATGGAGTCACTCACAGTATTCGAGGATATTATTCAACTTGTGTATCAAGAAATATGGAGGCCCAGCTCCAGAAATGGGATCTAGATGAAGACTCGACGAGTGCAGTGTTGATGTGTAGATCGAGGTTGTGATGTGAAGCTGGCAAACTGTCCAGAAGCAGGGCGGAAGGCGGTGGCAGAATATTACCCCGATATATGGATGGCAGACTACGGACAAGCAAGACTAGGGAATCATTTGCTATTTATGCATACACAATCAGACAACCTCTCATGCTCAACTAATCACAAAACAAGAGAACAAGAGAACAGAGATGGATATACGCCCGCAACACCGCTCGATGACAACAAAACAAGAAAATCACAATCATCAACGTCCACCACTAACGATGACCATGACCATTCAAACTCGATCCATAATCAGTCGCCGGATACTCCGTAGCCGGATACTCTGTGGCCGGATACTCTGTCGCTGGATACTCCGATGGTGGCCCATAGTGCTGCCCATATGCACCGCCGTAGCCAGTCGTGCTGTAATCATGCAGAACGCTGCTTCCACCCGTCATAGTAGACGCAGTGGGATCGTACCCGCCGGATAGCGCGGAACGGCCGGGATGGTGGCCCAGATCATCGACTTCGCTTTGTTCGAGGAGGGCGTAGTCTTCGTCGCGGTCGCTGCGTGCGGAGGAAGTCATGTTACCGCGGCCAGAGCGGAATTCATTTTCTTCCTCGTCGAAGTCCTGGACGGGAGTTGAGGAGAAAGCGGCCTTGGAGTGCGCGGCAAAGCTGGGGTCGGAAACTGCGTCGGGGAGGGTACCAGTGCGACGGAAGTGCACGACGTTGCGGAAGGACATGAAAGCCGTGGCAATGAAGAGGAGGCTGCATTTGTTAGCAAGGCCCAAAATCAACAAAATATGCCAGAACTCACAAAATAACCACACCAAAAACCACCGTCGCCGTACTAATCTTGCACTTGGCTGCACTGCCATACTTCCAGTTATCGCATCCTCCCTTGCTGCTGTCGCTATCACTAGCCCGTTTATTGCTCTTGCTGTCCTTATCCGAATCGCTATCCTTGCCCTCAGACTTTCCCTGGGCAACATACGACGCAACACAAATCCACGCCGCAAACCACAGCACAGCATACAACATATCAACACTCGCAAAGGCATAAACGTTTCCGAACCTCCGGGCCCGCGGCCATATCGGGACAGCGACAAGATAGATCAAACCGGGGATACTAAACCAGCACTAACATCATCGTGTTAGTATTTTGATCGCCGTCAAACGAAGGCGCATCAACTCACCAAAGCCCAATACCAAGCTGTCCGTCCATCGATTCCATCGCCCTTTGTCCAGACGGCGATGGTCAAAGCCCATGCGAGGAAGATGAGGAGGCCCTGGCAACCGTGGATGATGTTCTTCATCCGTCCGGGATTGACGGAAGGTCGTGCGAGCTTCATCGTGACTGAACTTGAGTGCGAAAACGAGGTTCAGAAGTGTTTGGGTGGTTCGGGTAGCGGTGCTGACGGTCGAGGTCGCGGCTGTCTGACTCGCGGGGCTGACGGGTATTCGATTCGAATTCGAACAGATGAAAGGCGATATCGCGATAAATGTTTCTTATCAATTCTTTCTTCGCTAAGATGATGATGGGTCGTCGCTCGTAACTGCGTAAAGCGAAAGTCGTGCAATGCTATTGTTTACGTGGGCATCCAGAACCCAACCGGGATGAATCAACGGGGCAACAACCGATCAACAGATACAGTAGTACAAGAGAGTCAACAGTATTCAAAAAAAAAAAAAAAAAAGAGACGAAAAAGGAAGATGTATGGAAAAAGCAGAGATGAAACAGAGTCGAGGGTAGAAGCGAAGAGAAAGAGGAAACGACGGCGGAGAATTAATTATGCTGGGCGGAATGTCATACTTCCTTGTGCCGCTTCATATTTATGCGCCACGCCACACGCCACAGTTGCATTTTTACGAAGTATTTATTAGGCTAATGGATAAATCTGCTAGCATGGGACATGGGCACAGGTACGACTACGAGTATAATGTGTATATCATTGTGTTGTTGACCTCTCCTCTGTACAAGCGAATTGTTTATGCGTGGGGTCTGCTCGTCGCTCTGGTGACGGCGCTATGTGACAATAAATTCCACACACTATACGTCGGCAATATATCGCTATTCTCTACACCCTCTATATGGAGAAAGTACCCTGTTTCTATTACACCCGTACTTGCACTTCTATATTCAAGGCACCAGTATTAAAGCAAGCCATGGCAATGCTGTTCTTTTTTAAGAACACGCCACCTTGGCGGGGTTGCCTGATTAGGCTATGACATACGCTGCATAATAACTAACCAGTGTCTAACTAAAGAGATCAAGATCTAACCAAAATCACAATTCATGTCTAACAGTATAATAACCAAAATCAAAATCAAGCATAGTACGCCGTTCGTGCACATAGCATTCCTCACATTCATCATAGACCAAAACATCGCACATCAATCGTAAATCATAGTCCAATCTAGTCCAGTTTCAATCTAATCCTGCTTCAACGGCGCTCGATACAAAGCCACCCCAATCTCTCGGAACGGCGTGTAGACATGTGTATGCCACCACCAGGGAAACGGGTCGGAGTAAGAAAAGCGTGGATCTTTCCAAAAGGGTACATGACAGACTTCCCAGGCAGCTTCTTTTGCTTGCTGGATGAGGAAGGTTGGGGATAGGATCTTCTTCAGAGTGTTTGCGCTGGACTCCTTTGGTCTGTCTGTGGTTGCGATGGTAGCTTTGACATCATCGAATGGGGTTTCGCTTAGTTGTCCGGAGGCTTCGGTGACTTGCGATGAGAGGACGGATAGATAGCCAGAGACTATGTCGGATGATGGGCCCTGGAGTAGTGTCTTGACAGAAGCGGCACCCTGCGTGCAGTGCGCGATGTGCAGGACATGTCGGACGGAGTTTGCATCGAACTCCTCGTCCACCATTAGGTGAACAGCAAGGTGTCCGGTGAGACGAGATCCGCCCTTCATTGCAAACCGATCCATAAGTCGATGAATGGATATAGCCAATCCCTGATCCAGTCGAGAAGCACCCCATGCAGACTGTAGATCTCCAGGCCGGACCTTGATAGCCTTAACCTGTCCACGGACGACGAGTATTTCCGCAATAAACTCTCCTAACCGAGTCTGCTGCTGCAAGATCCACGGATTGTCCTTGTTGATCTGGATCTCGCTGACCTCGTGATATGTCATGCTAAGCGTCCTCTGCGGCAGCATAACAGGCCTGCTATCCTGACCACGCGCCCTCCGCATGAGATATGCCTTGCTAGGCGACCGATGCAGAATCTTATGAACCGAATCCCGCGACTGCACCTGATAATTCTCAACAACAGGCAAGTCCCTCTCGACGAGATACTGTCTCAACGATTCCGGCGAACCAAACTGACTCGCCAGTTCCGGATCCAGCTGGACACAGCGACATTCAGTCCGACTCTCGATGACATTCTTCGCAACCGTATCCTCCATGGTATCCACCTGCTCCGAACAAGGTATCCACACATCCACCTTTTCTCTACGCACGATCTCAACCAACTGCGAGACATACTGCGTCTTGACGACATCGTAAAACGCAGCCAGCGACTTGGACATGCTCTCCCCCGACCGAATTGGTGAATCCATCATATCCGCCCCGATCACCCGATGCCCCTCATAATACCAGCACCGAGCAACAGCCAGCCCATGTAACGAATTAACACCAGTAATAAGAACGGTCTTCCGACGGAATTCAGTCTCGCGAGGAATCGCCTGTCGACGACGGTGCACGGCTAATCGAAGCAGGGTGAGGTAGTGACCAAAGTACGTCCCGAGCAGAACGGCGTTATCCAGTGGCAACAGCACGAAGGAGATAATGATACGCAGTAAACGAAATAGCGTCTGTAGCATAGTCCGGATGAAATCGAAGCGCTGGGACTTGGGAATCGAGCCCAGGACCCGTTGAACCGTAGAGACGGCCATTGTGTGTTGTTAGTTGTGAGTTGAATTGAGGATGAGGAGTTTGCTTGTGAGACGGGAGGATCAGATGAAATTGAAAAAGCCGAGGCTGGGATTTCTACTATGTTCTGTACTGAGTATCAACGCCGGACAGCCCGGGAGATGTTATCATGATGACCACGTCATCGCTGCATTGGATTGCTCAGAATGAGTTGTACTAGGCATTGCTGGCTTGGTTTGCTGCTGAGAAGAACATTGAGCTCCTATAGAAACCGGGGCAGACAGACACCGCTTATCGATGCACGACATGGTGTTGGATGGAGTGTTTTGCATATGCCAGTGGCAGTTCCACTCTTCACCGCTTGCCGTTTCTATATTGGGGTGAAATGCGTCACTGGGTGCCTGAGGCCTCACATTGGATATGCCCGAGTGCGGCCTTAGGATCACCGAGGCCGAACTAGAGCGATATCGCCGAGTCAAGAGTTATCAGATAATCTCATCAATCATTAACACCGACATAGCTCACCTAACTATGAACTTGTACTCTGCAAATAAAGACACCCGGAACGGAGTTTACCAACTCCGACCCCGAGATCTACTTCTTGTGGAATGACGCAGTGTGGAATGCCGACGTAGTATGAGGTTATCCCCGACTGCCTACTCCGTACAGTAGAACAATTAGGGTATATATAGTGTGGAATGTTCGCCTCCATCCCATCATCCATCATCCATAATCACTTCACACTCAAACAAAGCAATCGATACTATACTCTACAGCTACCATGGCCCAAACCGTTGACACGACCAAGCCCCCTACCCAAGGAGGCGTCTGGGTAAGCTCACTCCCCCCATACCATGGACTACGACGAAGACTGACAGGCAAGAACAACGACGGCCGCGAGCTTAAACTCCTCGAGTTCATCTACAGCCAGCCCAACCTCGATGCCATCCAAGGCCACCCGCAGAAAGTCCTCGATCTAATCGACGAATTCGGAAAGCAATACCTGTTCATGAACGTCGGTTCCGAAAAGGGCAAGGTCGTCACCGGCCTAATTGATGAGATCAAACCGCATACCATGATCGAATTGGGCTGCTACGTGGGTTACTCGGCCATTTTATTCGGAGATGCTGTGCGTCGGAATGGCGGAAAGCGATACCTGAGTCTGGAATTGAACCCCGTTTTCGCTGCTATCGCGAATATGTTGGTCGATCTGGCCGGGTTGCGCGATTTCGTTCGCATCATCGTCGGTCGCAGCGACGCATCACTGCACAAGCTCTACACCACCGGCGAAGTAAACCACATCGAACTCATGTTCATCGACCACTACAAGCCCGGCTACACCACTGACCTCAAACTATGCGAGCATCTCGGCATGGTATCCCCCGGATCCGTCCTGGCCGCCGATAACGTCATTTATCCCGGAAACCCGCCGTATCTGGAGTACGTGCGGAGCACGGTCGAGCAGAAGCGGGAGGTGGCGAAGAAGAGTTCCGCGGGGGGTTATGACAAGAGGGGTATTTCGGAGTGGACTTCGCAGGCGTTTGTGGGCAAGGATGACAAGCCATTGTTTGATGTGGTCGGGAACCCGAATTTGGTGTATCAGAGTACGCTGAACCAGCCGGAGGGGTTGGGGGATGCTGTTGAGGTGACCCGGTGTGTGGGAGAGGACAAGGATTAGTTTTTTTTTCTAGAATAGGTCATTGTTAGCTCGAGAATGGCATTCATTATTGTCTGGAATTGACTGTCCGAAGCGAGATATACCGGAGCCCCGAGGTGAATTCCGAGAGTCGGCTTTTGACTGCCCCGCCTCCCATCGCGTGGACCTTCCCCGCGTGCTGTATATATAGTCAGTGGGAGTCATACAGCAGCTCTTTTTTCTTTTCTATAAAAATTCTTCTCTTCTTGCATTGCATATTCCTTTCCTGCATATTCCCTGCTACCTTCTCTAACCCCCTAACCAATCGAACATGTCCTCCAAAACCTTCAACATCGGCGTCGTAGGCTACGGCTTCAGCGCCAAAACCTTCCACATCCCCTTCATCCAAGAAGTCCCCGAGCTCAAGATCTACGCCGTCGTCCAGCGCACCCCCAAGCCGGACGACGATGCTGAAAAGGATCACCCGGGTATCAAGTCCTACCGGACGTCGGAGGAGATGGTGAAGGATGCGGGGGTTGATGTGGTGGTTGTTACTACGGCGCCGGATTCGCATTTTGAGTTGGTGAAGTTGGCGTTGGAGAGTGGGAAGCATGGTAAGCTTTATATCAAGTTGAATTGTTAGGAGGGGTTGTGCTAATGGGTGTAGTTGTCTGCGAGAAGCCGTTTACACCTACTTCGAAGGAAGCGGAGGAGCTTAATGCCATCGCGGAGAAGAACGGGAAGTTATTGGCCGTTTACCAGAGTACGTTTACCTCCCCCCTATACCAAAAAATACTAGCTAAGTAAAGATAGACCGCCGCTGGGACGCCGACTTCCAAACCCTCTCCAAACTCTACAAAAATGGCTCCCTGGGCCGCGTCGTCGAATTCGAATCCCACTTCGACCGCCACCGCCCCCAAGAACCCTCCTCCTCCGCCTCCAATTGGAAAAACAAGGTCATCCCCGGCGGCAGCGCGATCTACGATCTCGGAGCACACCTGCTCGACCAGGTTGTTTATCTGTTAGGGCTGCCGAAGCGGGTTACTGGTTTCATTGGGTCGCAGCGCGAGGTTAATACTTCTGGGTATGAGGACTCGTTTACGGTGTTGCTGCATTATGGAGGTGGGGTGATGGTTACGGCGAAAGCGGGGGTTGTTAGTCCTGAGGAGGAGCAGTTGAGGTTTTGGGTTAGGGGGGAGAAGGGGAGTTTTAAGAAGGTATGCTGCATTCCGGATGTGAATGTCGATTGTGGCTAATGTGGTACAGTTCCATCTTGATATTCAAGAAGACCACCTCAAGGCTGGTATCAAGCCTTGGGACAGCGGGTATGGTCGTGAACCCAGCGAGCGCTACGGTAAGTCCCGCTATCCCTCTACATTCAATATCATATCTAACAAATTCAGGTACTTTGACAGCCATCCAAAACGGCACCCCCGTCAAGGAAATCGTCCCTACCGTCGAACCGCCCACCTGGACAGAGTACTACCGCAAGCTCGCTCGGGCTCTTGCAGGAGAGGGCGCTCTTCCTGCTAGCGGTGTTGAAGCCGGACAGGTGATTCGGTTGATTGAGTTGGCACAGGAGAGCTCGAAGGTGGGGAAGACTGTTGATGTTTGAATTTGAGAATTGAGGGTTTATTTGGTTGCGGTTTGAAAATCTATAAAGCTTTTTGTTTTTGTGGTGCGGACGCATGTTTAGATTTGTTTGTATAGTTTCATAAAATATTGAGCATTGCTTTGCGGAATCTTTATTAAATTGCCTTTTTTTTTTTCATTCTTGTTTTGCCGTTCCTACCCGTTCACCACGCCTCTGGTGCAAGTCCCCTTCGCAGGGAGCGATTGTGTCCCAAATGAGGTTGACGCTCGTTTAATGGCTCTACTGAACCAATATCCGCGCAATTGATAGTGCCCTCGACTGGAGATACTACGAAACAGGGGAAGCACTTGAGTGAACTGTTATTAGACTTCAAGTCCCCTTCTCTTCCCTTCACTTATCAAGTTGAAGTCATTTCCGAAAATAGAATCATCGTGGAGACAAATCAACCACTAGTCATTTTACAGGGTACGCCGAGCAAAGGTATCCATTCCTGTGATGATAATCACTGAAGAAGGATATACTAATCTCTATGAATTGCTACATGTATCTCATATCTCAGCAAATATGTAGTATGGCAGATTTCTATCCCGGATCATCTGCACTTTCTCTTCCCAGAAATGGAACCCTTCGTCCGTCATGATACTCCACCATGTATAATATAAGTTGGTGATTGATGTGTGAATGCCGGAATAATCTTGGACGTTATTATATATAGCCCGGTCCAATTCTAACGCCATCAGTCTCTTTCGGTCCCAGATAACAAGGCCGTAGCGTCGAAATGGTGAAAATCCGACGTAAGGCAGAACCGAGGTTCTTGACAACTCCTCAATAAAGGAAAATCCGCGCGATCGGTAGTTTAGATATGCAGCTGGCGTCAGACGCGAATATTGCGGTACGAGATTATCAAGGCTTAATGTTGGCCAGTTGTAACAGATATTCCCTCGGTAGATCGGTAACTGCGTCTTGAACCAGTTTGGGTAAAGTCGTTCGACACAGCCTTTGACTGTCTTCAGTTCTTCCAGTAAACTGTGCTCCATGGGACCCCAGAATATTTCAGGGACCATATTCAGGATCTTTTGCACATGGTCCGGGGGCCAGTTAAGCTTAGTATCTCCGCTGGCAGCTTTTTGGACGTCAAGGAAGAGCTGTAGGCGCCACAATGCGCGGTAGACACGCTGTACCTCCACCCAGGACGGAGGGCCTGAATCGTGAACCTGGTATGGTTGCATAAGTGGGTGTGGCGGTCGAGGATGAAAGTAGCATTCCTGACCCGTAGGATCTTTTGGGCTGTTTTCGTCGACCAGGTGCGATGGCTTCAACGTTAAGCATTGCTGGAGCATATCGTGAATACACTGATAGCCAAGGTGCTGGATATGACAGGACAGCATCAGCATTTGTCGAAAAATGTTCGATGGCGGATGTTGCTTCGCATTAGATGTGGGGATTTGATTTCGGTCATGCACACAATAACTCCCAATTTTGCTTATAAAATCGTATAAGCCATGAGACGCGGTCTTCCCTGCTCGAACATAGGCGACTGTGTACAGAAGACCTTGAATACTTGACGGGATGCTCTTTTCGACAACGGCATCAAATATTTCCAGTGCACAGTCATGGAATAGGGAGGCGACTACCGGGGATGCATGGAGAAGGTGTAAAAGCGAGGGTAAATCTTGGACAGACTTGACAATCTGTAGTAGCACATAAAAAGGGACTTTCTGAAAAGGATCCATGTTCGTGTCTCGTGAAAGAAAAAAAAAATTAACAGTCGAGTATATTCGGTGAGAAGATGCAGGGAGCTAGGGATGGGCTTGTTTTGTACGAAGTATGGGCAACACGGCCACGCCTGGAAATCAACCTTATCACCCAGCGGGTAGTGCACAAAATATGCAATTTTCTATAAAAACCAACACGTAAAGGAAGTCTTTTTCGGCATTTCAAGTATTATTAGTTATGCTAAAAATACCAATAAGATTGACCATCATGCTCTTTTCCGGGGTGAGTGGCCTGTATAGTCGTTCGAACCCGACAATGAGTGAAAGGCCTCTAAATACATATACACCATGCACCCCATAATAGCCTCTCGAACCATTCCCCATTCCACCTCCAACAATCCCCTTTCCATGCACATCCTTGAAGCCAACTATTCCCCCACCCGAGACCGGCCCCTCATCATCATCCTCCTCCACGGCTTCCCTGAGCTCGCCTACTCCTGGCGCAAGGTCATTCCGCCTCTTGCAGAGGCCGGGTACTATTTTGTCGCTCCTAACTGTCGCGGCTTCGGCCGTACCACCGGCCACTATGATCATTCCTACGAAAATGTTTACAAGCAACCTGAGGCCTTGGATAGGGTGATAATTGAGATGAAGTGTTGTGGTTTCGAGCGTTGAAGTTCATTGGTATTGGGTGTTGAGTGCCGCAGGGGTGATATTATTTGGAACTGGCATAGCAGGGGAGAAGGCCAAGTTGATGGTCGTTTTCCCCCGTTTAGAGTCCAGAAACTCCTCCATCACCATCTTATGACACATCAACAACTGCCTCGAAAGGTATATGCAGCATGATATCATCCTGAAATGGTAAAATTGGTGCAGCATCTAAAGTACGGGCTATGTACAATAGGGATTCAAATTTCCATAAAGGGAAGACAGAATACAAAACGGGATAGTACGTTGGTCTAGTGAGGTGAGTTTCCTTAAGGTTGATTAATTTTCATTTGCGCGGTATACAAGTGAACCGAAATGCAGAACTTTAGCAGATACCGTTTTCCTAGCTGGAATAGATCAACAAACTTTCAAAGTTAGCAGACTTCATTCAGCTCGAGCACTCCAGAATGGATATGAGTCTTACTGCCTATAACACCATTCACCAGAATATCGATTGAGGTTATATAACTAGCAGCATCACTCAACAAGTACACATATGCGCCACCAAGCTCTTGTACTTCAGCCAGTCTGGGGAATCCTCCATAGTATTTCAGCTGCTACTCCCAGTCCGGCTGCTGTGGGACCCAGTAGGTCATGACAATCTTGACCAGACACGGAGAAACACTGTTCACGTGGATGCCTGCTTTTGTGGCGCCTTATGGGGTGGAGGAAACTAGCTTTATTAATACATATACCAAAAGCTCTGTGCGAAGGGGATAGTTTGGTGAGAAGAGAAGCAGTAGATGCCCTAGGCTAATGCCCAGGATTGCCGTACAAGATATTCGATCTTTTGGTAGATTGCTTGCTTATATGACAGACTCACATGTCAGATGGGAAATAATCAATGCTCTCGTTTACCAATCGCCCCTCTCAGAGAATGTATTAATTTCTCTGGTGAAACGATTAGGTGATGAAGATGAAAGGGTCCGAGACGAAGCAACATGAGTCCTTGGCAAACACCCAAAATTCATACGCACAATAATCGACCTCGTGCTGCATCGTCTACATGACAAGGACCAGTTTGTGAGGAAAACGGCAGTTCAAGCATTCCAGAAAGATTCGCCGCCTCGAATCCGTCCCCACTTGATTGACTATTTGGATGATGAAGATATTTCTGCGAGACGAGAAGCTTTTAAGGCCTTAGGTTGCCAATCGAAACTTTCACCAGATATCTTGCACCTCTTGATGAAAAGGCTGAATCATGGACATGAACAAATTAGGAGAGCAGCAGCAAGTGCTCTGGGCCCTCAGCCGAACCTACCACTTGATATACTTTGTTCTTTGGCTCGAGGCTTGGATCGCTTAAAAAGCGAGGGAGTCAAGGCTCAGAGATACCCCCACCTTCATTTTGAACAACTGGAACCAGCATATTGATGATAAGCTTTGAAGAGAGGTGTAATGAGTCGGAGCTCAGGGAACTTTGGTTCGAAGCGGCTATGTAACTGGGAGTAGACTTGACTAGAACAGGTCATTCTGCGCCGTTTGAAAACAATTATACTTCATCAATCTATTCCCCGAAGCCTGCTTCGAATATCTGCAGCTTTGGGTGTGTATTGGATTTTGATATAGAAGCTCATGGGTTTGAATGAAATTCACAATAAGGATGTAGAGCTATAAAACACTCATATCATAAAGGAATCGTCGAGCCTATAACGCGGGCCAAGGGATCGAAAGATCTAGGCATTCCCCTCTCGTAGCTAATTGAGAAAGATGAGATTCGTGAACGACGAGACCAAGCCTTGAGAGAGCGGTCATGGGCGAGGATTATGATAGCTCCTCGCGGAGGAAGGAACATATTCGGATTGCGTTTGATGAAAGACTGTATAGAGTCGTACCCACGAGCTGTTGTTTATACCTGGCCAGATCTAATCTATCATTTTCACTTCAGCATAGCCTGTACGATCTTCAACTCGGATTTTATCAGCATCCTCTCCCAGGACAAATTACCCTCATCAACATCCTCCTCACTGGGTAGCTCCTATGTATTCGAGGTAAAAATGAATATGATTAATAGTGCTACCCTTTTAGGCAAGTGACATGCGAGGCCGATTTCAGATATCGTTATGTGGATCCAGCGGAGCCATGAAGGCACGTTCCGAACTCCAGTATCCACAGTGCCGCTATTGTAGCTTTTCAATTGGTCCGGGAACCCTTGGCAGACCCTGAGAGTAACCGATTGGCTGACGGGATCCGCGTTACCGCCCTAAACCTGCCCTCAACCAATTACTGTAAAACCCCGTTATAAGCAACTATTTCGGCAGGTCGCGGAAATTGCTTATAACGGAGTATTGCTTATATCGGATTATACGAGCTTGCTGCCATAAATATATATATAGACGTCATCTAATTACAAAAGAAGTCTCATATATCACTCTGCTGCTGTCTGCTAACCTTCTTTCTCAAAAGGGTCCTCTCATGGAAGAGAAGTTGCTGGATTAAGGCCTTATTTCCATCCACCTGCTGCTCCTCGAAAAGCCGGAGTTTATATAGACTCTCCAAAGCATCTGTTATAGATATCTGTGGAAGAGACTCATAGTTTTCTTCCTCTTCCTCCTCTTCTTCTGGCATGCTTGCAGATGAAAACTGGCTTAGAATTAGATCATCTGCAGTTGCTAAGCTGTCGTCAACCTTCTCTTCTTCTGGATTTAGGAACTGGTGTATATCCATGGCATCATGGATGTTATTTGACACCTGCAGTTGCTGAATTCCGCAAGTAATCTCATTGATAACTGCCTGACAGTGTATTTCTCTTGTATTCTCAGAGGAAAAAGCCTTTTTAAAGCAGTTCTGAATGGTATCCTCTGCCAAATCCAGATTCCATGCTGAAATAGCCCATCGGACAGCCTGAAGGATTGTCATAGTTGACAAAGGATCATATCCTTTATCAAATTGATCCATCATGAAAAGAACCCATTGCCGGCGCCAGTATGCTTTCCAAGTCCGGATAATTCCCTGGTCTAGAGGTTGATATCGTGTGGTTGAGTTGCAAGGAAGCCAGATGACTAGAGTATTCTGCAGCTGTGGCCCTATATCTCTGAATGCAGCCTCATGCGCAGAGAAGTT